ACTTTACACCAATCATAACTAAGATATGCTTGACTAGAGCCACTCAAGCTCCACCTAAAAGATAGAAAATAATATAAATTGGCCCAAGAGAGAGGGGATGTTAGGGAAGATACCATCGTCAGGGGAGATACCATCCCGAGGACATACAACATCCTTAGGACCTCCTGACTCCTGGGATCAGTCGACGGGCTGAGCCTCTCTTCCCCCCCCATTGGGACGCCTTTGGGTGAGATCTGAATATTTGCTTATAAATCTCTATAGAGTCTTTGATCCTTTTAACGCGTTTATTTCTAGGCTGCGCACCTGGAACACCTATAACACCTGGAACACCTGGAACACCTAGAACCCGCACCTAGAACCCGCACCTAGAACCCGCACCTAGAACCCGCACCTAGAACCCGCACCTAGAACCCGCACCTAGAACCCGCACCTAGAACCCGCACCTAGAACCCGCACCTAGAACCCGCACCTAGAACCCGCACCTAGAACCCCTGTAACACCTGTGTATTTCATGCATACTAGCTTGCTTTTGCAGATAGTCACTATCACCGGCAATCCAAAAGAACCTGATTATCTGTTGCTGTAATAAACCATACTTGATTGCATTGTGATAGCTCTCATTAATGCAACTAGGGTGAGGGTGGTTATCCGTGATAGTTCAGTGTTCTGAATCTAACCAGACCCCCAGAGGGTTAATGCATTGTTGGTGAATGTCCGAACGGACCCCCAGTTTTGGTGAATGTCCGACTGGTTCAGTACTCTGAATCCAACCGGGCCCGTAACGGTTAATCAGCTACACCCCTTTAACGCGACACCCTCACATGTCAGAGCCCAGGGCTGCATCCTGCGAGCAGCACCGAGCTTTGGCAGGTGCTCGGAGCTCTGCCAGAACCTGCAGCAGCAGAGGAGGAGGAGGAGGAAGAGGAGGAGGGAGCAGCCGAAGATATGACAGAGCTGCTGCCGAATTCACCCACACCCACGACAGCAACTGTCTGCAGTCATCCTCTCCCGCTGCCAGCGCTGCCTGATCAGAGCTTTTGTGGTGTCTGCAGCACGAGTCTCAGAGAAGAGACATGAATCCAACTCATCCCTTCAGGCTGCGCACACCCCCGTGTGCCCACGTGCAAGGGAGACAACAAACTGCCAGACCGGCACCCTCCCTCCTCGCTTAAAATCCTCCCGACGCAGGCAGACACCCAGCACACGCTCAGCACCCACAAGGATCGTCTCGCAAAAAGGGGAAGGGAGGAATCCTGAAGCTCTCACCCTTCTCCTAGGAATGGGGCATCTGATGTCAGGCTGGTCACCGAAGTTTTTGTACGTGATGTAGTTCTCGGAACAGATCAGCACCCCGCTGGGGCCGTCAGATCCACCAGGAACTGAAACACAACAAAAAAACGTTACTCTGAAGAGTCTTTGCCACGGGTCTGACTTATTGCTTGTAATTATTTTAGTTTTCTTTAGGATAGCACAGGTCCTGTTGCTCTGCATCACCCTAACCATGAGTCTGTTTTGACTGAGGAGAAAGAGACCCTAAACCAAGGGCTTGGAAGGAGAAAAAGATGCGATTTCAGACAAATTGCCTGCTTTACCCTTCACATCTCACTGTCCAGAAAGCCACGCCATGCCCCAAATACCAGCAGCCCATCAGTTTCCACTTGGGAACCTGCCTCCCACTCAATTTACCCCGGTGGCTCAGACCAAACAACCCCCAGGACCTACAGCAGCCCGGTGGCCAGTACCTGTTATAAGGAAGTTGCCGTGCTCTTCCAGGGGCTCGCTGTATTTCCTCACAACGTGGTTCAAACCCAGGTCCAGCTCGTAGAACGTCAACGTCTGCTGCGTGTTGGCTGCTGCTTCCCCTGTGGGATCGTTGTCTGCTTCCTGAAACAAACCACAGATTGCAGGATTTTAATTCTTTCAAGCCACCGATGGCAGAATACTTTTGGTGGAAGTATTCCGAAGCGCTGAAATCCCAAAAAAAAATCTACAAAAAAGGTTCAGAGAAAGCAAACGTGCACATTTGCAGCTGAACAGCAAGACCCTGAGCAGAAGCACCGAGACAGAACAGAATCCCAGTTCTGACTGGAGGCACGACCAGAAGCAGGTGAGCTCGAGACAGAAATTCCCTGGGACAGCAAAGGCAGGCAGCGCTCCCTGCCTTCACGCGCAGAAGGGAAAGGGCAAAGAGAAATAAAGCACAAGGGACAGCAAAGGGCAGCCGGGTGCTTCTCACCTCGTAATCCATCTCCAGGCAGGCAAACATCGGGTTCTCAAACCCCACGTCGACTCCCACCACGTGGTAGACCAAGGTATTGGCCTTGTGCGCCTCCAGCGGGGAGGAGATGGTGAGGCGGGCGGCGGCGTCCCTGTTGAGGATGTACACCAGCTTCTGCTTCTCGATAGCGCCTGAAACAGGAGGGCGGCAGGGCAGTGGGGGCCACAAGGCTCCTCGTGCCCGCTTTCCCCTACACAGACAAACTTTGTGAGGAAGTATCAGCGTTATTTCCACTGCTGTGGGCACCCCGTGCCTGTAATTAACACCAAATGTTTAATTTTCAGTGCCTCAGACTCAAGCAGCAGCAGGACCTGCAGCTCCTTGATGCCTAACGCTGCTCTTGGGGCCTGCCCGGCCCCGTGCTCGCTCCCATCAGCACCACACAGGCAGAGGGAACTCACACACAAGGTTTCTGCTCCCACACCATGAGCTCGCCATCCCTTCGGCTGCAGAAGCACAACCGTTAGTGACACTGGCCAGCTGATTGAGGAACTGAGACAGCTGATGATAAATCTTATCAAAAAATAAAAATAAAATAAAAAAGCCCACCCCAGGCTCCTCCTGCCTGCAAAGCCTGATCAGAAACGCATCTGGTTGTCCTCACAACTCATCTCGGAGAAGAGACATGAACTCTCAGCATCATTTCAGGCTGTAGGACCTCCTGGAAACCCCAACCCCTCTGTCTGCTCACTGTGAGGCAAGCTGCCTTCCCAAACTGTTGTGGACCAATTAAGTCATGGGATAATTAAGTTGTGCAGCATCCAGGAAGCAGCCCACGTGCCTGCACTCTCCCTGACGTGCCTAACAAACTTCCTGAACACAAACACCCTGTTTACACCTGGCAGGAGCTCGCTTTGAAGCCGCCACCCCCCGGCCAGGCACACGAAACAGAAAAACCCAACCCCGTGGGCGACTCACTGATCATAACCGCGCGGCCCTTGGGGTCCACGGCCAGGTACTGCCCGGGCACGATCCTGCGGCAGCCGCTCTTGCCGAAAGTCTCCTGGTGGATCTTCTCGAAGACGTTTTTGGAGGGCTGGTACTCCAGGATGACGATGCGCCCCGAGTCGCTGCCCACCACGATGTAGTCCTTGGTGCCGCCCGTCAGGCGGAAGGCCATGAGCGAGCGGATGACCCCAAAAACCTCCACGGTCAGCAGCGTGTGCACCTTCCCCGTGTTGGGGTCCGGGCGCAGCAGCTCCAGGATCTTGCCCCGGGACACGACGATTTCTTGCTGCTTGGTTCCTGCGGGGCCCGGAACGCAACGGGGTGAGAGGCAGCACGGCCTGAGAGCGCTCCCGGGCGCCTTGTGGTAAAAGCTTCTTGGGAATGAGAATTGAATGAGAATGAAATGACAATAACTGCAACTCATTAGCGTTTATTTACCGCCGTAATTACTAATAAAAGAATGTAAAGTGGCGCCTTCACCACTAACAACGATGCTGGAGCATCTGGGAAACGATCACAGACTCATAGAATATCCTGAGCTGGATGGGTCCCATAAGGAACATCAAGTCCAACTCCTGGGATTAATCTTTGATTAATCTTTACAAAAGCTTTTACTCATTTTGATGTATTTATTTTACTGATTTACACATCAATTATTATCATACCAACTTGGCTCCCGCTTACCACCTTAATGCCTTTTCATTATCACCCTTTGCTTAGGAACTTAGTGCCCAGCCTGCGGTGCCAGGGGGCAGGGAAGGTGGATTTTTGGGTCACTTTCCCATTTACAGAAAGAAAACTTCAATGGCAGGTAAGGAGCTGGAAGCGAACCAAACGCCCACCACCAAACTTCCCTCCATCCTTCCACAGGTCCCAACCACACATTCAAGACAACAACAACTCCTGGGCATTCATTTACTGCTACATGCACTAATTACGCACTAATTAAGCGCACAAGGACTTATTCACTATTAACGACGCTGGAGCACCTGGGTGACGATGGAAACGCACCAAACTCCCCGTTACACCCCCAAACTTCCCTCCATCCCTCCACACACCCCAGAGGAGGTGACCCCACCGCCCCAAGCCACACAGACACCGAGGGCTCCACGCAGCCCCTTTTTTTCCTTTTTTTTCCCTTTTTCCCCCTTTTTTTTATTTTCCAGCTACCTGAGAAGTTGCCGTGGATGGCATAGCTGATGCCCGTGGCGCGCTGCAGCGTCAGGTTGTACAGGAACATGGTGGCGGCGCTCCCCCCGCGGCCGGGCCGGGCCTAGAGCTGCACAGACGGGCACCCGTTAAACCCCCCCGCGGCCTACCCCCGGCCTAACCCCCCCCCCCAAAGCTTCCCTCAGCGCTATCCTCCCGCCGCCGCCCCCCATCCCCAAAATGTCGCCCCTCCCCGCTTCCCCCCGGCCCCGGGATGCGGCCGGAGCGGCCGTACCGTGCGGATGGCGGCGGGCGGCGGCGGATGGCGGCGGATGGGCGGCTGGCGGCCTAGGCGGGCTCCCCGCCGGCCCGCTCCGCCATGAGCCCCGCGCCTCCCGCCTGGGGGCTTTTCACGCGAGGCCCCCCGCGGGTTGTGAGGGGAGGGCTGCCCGCCGCGCTGCCTGAGAGAAAATCCACCCCAAGCCGCCCTCTCCTGGCTCACGGAGGCTTCGAAAAAAATCCCCGGGGTGTTCACGGCTTCGGGGAACCGGGAGGGAGGCGGGTGTGGGGTCGGTGGGCGGAGGGGGGCGGCGGGGGGCGGGCAGGCAGCGCGGGTAGCCCCGCGGGTCGGGGCGGGGCGGGGCGGGGCGGGGGGAGGAGGGGCCCGGGCCAAGATGGCGGCGGGGGGGGGCATGGAGCGGGTCCGGGCACTGACGGGGCTCGGGGAGCTGCAGGAGGCCTACGGGGAGCTCTGCAGGGAGGAGGTGGGGGATAGGGGACAGGGAGGGGAGAAAGGGAGAGGGAGGGGAGGAGGAAAGGGAGGGAAGGGAAAGGGGAGAGGGAAGGTGAAGGGAAGGGGGGAGGGAGGGGAGAAGGAGGAGGAAATAAGGGAAGGAAGGAGAGGGGCAGGGAAGGAGGAAGGGAAGGAGAGAGGGAGAGGAGAAGGAGGGAAAAAGGGAGGAGGGAGGAAAGGGGAGAGGGAGGGAATGAGGAGGAAAGGAGAGGAAGGGGAGAGGGGAAGGGGAGAGGAAGGGAGGAAAAAGAGGGAAGGAAGAAGTAAGAAAGGAGGGAAGAAGGGATAAAGGGAGAGGAAGAGGAGGAAGGAAATGAAGAAGGGAAAAAGGGAGGAAGAAAGGAGAGGGAGGGAAGGAGAGGGAGAAGAAGGAGGGGGAGGAGGAAATAAGGGGAGGAAGGAGAGAGGGAATGAGGAGGGAAGGAGAGGAAGGGGAGAGGGAAAGAGAGAGGGAAAGGGAAAGGGAGGGAAGGGAGAGAGGGAAGGGGAGAGGGATGGGGAGCAGGGAAAAAGGGAGGAGGGAGGAAAGGAGAGGAAGGAGGGATAGGGGAGGAGGGGGAGAAGGAAGAAAGGAAATAAGGGAGGAAGGGAGAGAGGAGAGGGAAGGAGAGGAAGGAAATGAAGGAGGGAAGGAAGAAGGAAAGAAAGGAGAGAGGGAGGGAAAAAGGGAGAGAGGAAGGGAAGGAAGGAGGGGGAGGGAGAGAGAGAGGGGAAGGAGGAGAAGGAGGGGAGGAGGAAAACGAGAGAGGGAGGGAAGGGGGAGGAAGGAGGGAGAGAAGGAAGAAAGGAGGAAATAAGGGAGAGAAAAGGGGAGAGGAGGAGGAGGAAGGAAATGAAGGAAAAAAGGGAGGAAGAAAGGAGAGGAAAGGAAGGAGAGATGGAGAAGGAGGGGAGGAGGAAATAAGGGGGGAAGGAGAGAGGGATGAAAGGAAGGAGAGGGAGGGAATGAGGAGGAAAGGAGAGGAAGGGGAGAGGGAAAGAGGGAGGGAGGGAGGGAAGGGGAGAGGAAGGAGGGAGAGAAGGAAGAAAGGAGGAAACAAGGGAGGAAGGGAGAGAGGAAAGGGAAGGGAAGGAAGGAAATGAAGGAGGGAGGGAAGAAGGAAAAAAGAGAGGGAGGGGAGGAGGAAATAAGGGAGGAAGGAGAGAGGGATGAAAGGAAGGAGAGGAGGAGAGAGGGAAGGAGAGGGAGGGAATGAGGAGGAAAGGAGAAGAGAAGGAAGGGGAGAAGGGAAAGAGAGGGAGGAAGGAGGGATAGGGAAGGAAGGAGAGAAGAAAGGAGGAAACAAGGGAGAGAGGAAGAGGAGGAAGGAGAGAAAGGAAATAAAGGAGGAAAGATGGAAAAAAAGGAGGGAGAGGGGAGGGAAAAAGGGAGAGAGGAAGGGAAGGAGAGGAGGAAAAAAGGGGGAGAGGAAGGAGAGAGGGATGGGGAGGAAGGGATGAAAGGAAGGAGAGAGGGAGAGAAGGAAGAGGGAGGAAACGAGGAAAGGAAAGGAGAAGAGAAGGAAGAAGGAAAGGAGAGGAAGGGGAGAGGGGAAAGAGAGGGAAGGGGAGAGGAAGGAGGGATAGGGAAGGAGGGAGGGAAGGAAGGGGAAACAGGAGGAAAGGAGAGAGGAAGAGAAGGAAGGAGAGGAAGGAAATGAAGGAGGAAAAAGGGAGGGAGGGAAGGAGAGGGGAGGGAAAAAGGGAGAGAGGAAGGGAAGGAAGGAGGGAGAGAAGGAGGTAAAAAGGGAAGGGCAGAGAAGGTGAGAGGAAAATGGAAGGAAGGAGAGAAAGAAGAAAGGAGGAAATAAGGGAGAGAGGAAGAGGAGGGAGGGAAGGAGGCAAAGGAAATAAAAGGAGGAGAGAGGGAGGGATCAGGGAAGTAGGAAGGGAAGAAGGGAGGGAAGGAAAAAAGGGAGGGAGGGAAGGAAGGAGGAAGGGAAAAAAATGAAGGGGAGAGGGAGGGAAAGAGGAACAAGGGAGGGAGGGTCGCTTGGTGCAGGTGCAGCCACCAGGGCTGGGGGTGCCGGTGACAAAAAAAAAAAATAATAAAATCATATTGTGGGGTTAAAACGAGAGCTTAGGAGTGGGTTCACTGACACCTGAGCTCGAGGAAGCGCCAAAACCTCGCCTCTGGTGCTGAGCCCCTGCCCCTCAACCCGCAGCAAGCCGTGCAGGAGGAGCTGGAGGCGCTGGTGGAGCAGCAGAGCGTGGTGGAGAACAAGATGGTAGCCCTGCAGCGCATGGGGTCAGTGCCACAACGCCCTCCTCTTCCTCACCAGGGGGGGAAAGGGGCGTTCATCCCCCCCCACGGCCCCCTCCAGGGCTGCCTGACTGCAGCTTGGCTCCCGAAATAAAAAACTGGGGCTGGGTTTGGGGCAGGAAGGCAGCTTTTTAACACTTTGGTGTGTTTTGTGCGCAGCCCCAACCTGCAGCTGATCGAGGGGGACGCCCAGCAGCTGGCGGGGATGATCGCCTTCACCTGCAGCCTGGCCGAGAACGTCAGCAGCAAGGTCCGGCAGCTCGACCTGGCCAAGGTGGGTGCAGCACGGGGTTTGGGGCTCGGCCTCCTCGGGCTGCGTGCCTGGAAAATAAACGGGGAAATAATGGGGAAATCGGGGTGCTGGGAACGGCCTCGGTGCTGCCGGGCGGTGGCTTCTGGGTGTCGGAGGGAATGAGAGTAAATAAAGTGTAGGATTTCCGTGTGGGGAGTAAATAACTTGGAGGATTTGCCACGTGGCAGCTGGCTCTGCAGCCCGTCCTCGTGGTTTCAGGGCAAGGAAGCTGAGGTTGGTGTGTGTCAGCCCTCTGTTAGCTGTCGCCTTGCTGGGGGTGGTCGTTGTCCCTCGATACCCGCCTGTCCTCTTCCTTGCATGGGGATGGGCTCAGAGGGTTTAGCTTCCAGCTGCTCAGATCACAACATGTCAAAATCAAATCATCAGAATCCATCAGATGCAGAGAAGCATCGCTTCGATCCGTTTCTTCCATCTTTTTCCCCTCGTGTTGCCCTCTCCATCCTTTCTTCCCGCTTCTCCTTCCCAGCAGGAGACCCCATTTCTTTTCCCTTCCTTACAGAACCGCCTCTACCAGGCCATCCAGCGAGCCGACGACATCCTGGACCTGAAGTTCTGCATGGACGGCGTGCAGACGGCCCTGCGGGGCGAGGATTACGAGCAGGCAGCAGCTCACATCCACCGCTACCTGTCCCTGGACAAATCCGTCATCGAGCTCAGTCGCCAGGGCAAGGAAGGTGAGGGCTGCTCCAGGGGGGTTTGGGGTGGGGGTGCCTCAGCTCAGCAGGCAAAGCAGGACATCCAAATATCGCAGACGTGGAGAATTAATTGAAGGAGAATCCTTAGCACAAGGTTTTTGATGGCAGCTGGGTGAAAAAATACAAAGGACAAAAGAAGAGAGGGAGGAATGTGATGGCTGCGGGGTGATACCGGCAAAAAAATGCTGGGCAGCAAGGAACGGGTTGGGTGATCCCTGCAGAACCTGTCCTGTTTGGTTGGGTCACGTCCCCTGTGTGAGAGCAACGTGCTGTTATCTCTGTCCTTCTTCGAGCAGGGGGCATAATCGATGCCAACCTGAAGCTCCTGCAGGAGTCGGAGCAGCGCCTGAAGGCGATCGTCACCGAGAAGTTCGACACGGCGATGAAGCAGGGAGACCTGCCCCAGGTGGAGCGCTTCTTCAAGATCTTTCCCCTGCTGGGCTTACACGAGGAGGGGCTCAGCAAGTTCTCCGAGTACCTCTGCAAGCAGGTGAGGGGTTCTAAGGCTGCGAAACACGCAGAGACCTGACTGTCTCCTGGGGAGAGCAAAATCCAGCCTTGGCTGTGGCTTGTTCGTCTTTGAAGCCATCGCTGGCCTTCAGCTCAGCTCTCTGCCTGTCCCTGCTGTCACCCAGGTGGCCAAAAAAGCAGAGGAGAACCTGCAGCTGGTGATGGGGACAGACATGAGCGACCGTCGGGCTGCTGTCATCTTTGCAGACACCCTGACGCTCCTCTTCGAAGGTAATCTCCTCCCTCTTCTCTGTGCAGCTGGCTTGGAAGCAGTCCGTGATGGGATCCATCAATTTAAACACTTCAGTTTTAGTTCCAGGGGAGCATAAAACACCCTCTGAGCCATGGGGGGGTCACGCTGGAGGGATGGGGACACAGACAGATGTTTTCCCAGCCAGGAGAGGGCATTAAACAAGCAATCTGTCCTACCAACAGCGTAGTGGGTTTGCAGAGGAATTTTTTGGCTTCCTCCAGGAATCACTCTTCTTGTTCCCTGCATCTTCAAGATGTGTGAAAACCCTGCAGGGTTTTCAGGCCTGCAGCTCCCAGACAAACAAATCAGATCCCTAAAAGCTGAGCAGCTGTTGATGGCCCCAGGCCTGGCTGTTCGAGGAGGGACGTGGCAGCTTGGAAACGGAGAGGGAAAGGAGGAGGGGGAATACGAATGCTGTGTGGGAGTGTCGCCAAGGCAGTAATTGAGATCCCGTGCTGATTAACCCTCCTCCTCTATTGTGCCCGCTGCAGTTCCAGGCTGTGGCACTGCCAGCCTGGCACCGTGCTGCTGCCTGAAGGTCCTCAAAGCCAACGGGGCTTTCCTGGCAGGAGTGCCAGCAGAGGGGGAGCGGCACTAAGTCTTGAGGCAGAGGGTTTGTGAGAAGGAAGCAGCCTTGGAGAGAGGCTTCCTTGGAGAGGAGCTTTGGCTCTGAGCAGGTCCTGCCCTCACTAGTGCACGATGGAGAGGAGCAGAGCTTTCCTCGTGCTGCTTTTCCTAGCAGTGATGTTTTATAATTTGATCAGTGCTGGCTGTGGCTGGCAGCTGCGTGCCCCGCCAGGTTCAGCCTGGGCAGCGTCCCTGCTGTGAAAGCTTCGCCATTCCCCACCTTGCACCTTGCTGGGGGGGATGCAGCTGCCCATGTCCCATGGCAGGAGCTCTTCAGAGGTGGCTTAAACCCCAGGAGATGAGCACCACAGCCTTGCAGTAAGCAGGAGGGAAGCCAGAAGGCATCGCATGCAGAGAGAAAGGGGTGGGAGAAGGGGTGGTGATGACAGAAAGCCCCTGGAGAGTGTGACCTGTTAATCCAGGCCCTGGCTGAGGACCTGTACAGCTCTGCTCTGGGTCCAGGCTGAAGGAGAGCTCCTACCTGAGGCTGCTTCTGGCTCCTGGGAGAGCTGAGCCCACCCGGTCACCATCTCTCCTCCCGCAGGGATTGCTCGCGTCGTGGAGACCCACCAGCCCATCGTGGAGACCTACTACGGGCCGGGGAGGCTGTACACCCTCATCAAGCACCTGCAGGGAGAGTGCGACCAGCAGGTGGAGAAGGTGGTGGAGAAATTCGTCAAGGAGAGGGACTACCACAGGCAGGTAAGAGCGGGGTGATCCTGCCCCTCTGCGGGGCCCTGCCTGCCCTAGGGGGGAATTTGACCTCGTGTTTGGGCAGAAACCTTGCCTTACTCCATCCTTGTGATGGTTGAGGTGCTCCAGCCTGTAGCTGTCCTTTCTTAACACAGGAGGAGTCACTGTGAGCGTGATAAGCAGACCCTGGGCACAGATTTACATCCGCGAGGGTCTGTGGGGTGCTCTCAGCACACCCTGCCTTGCTCCTGCCCGAGGCAGGGCTGCTGTAACACCTCACAGTCACATCCCTCGGTGTCCTCATGTTGGTGTTCCCATCCCACAGCCCTCCCTGGCAGGCTCAGCTCTGTCCTGGAGGTAGTTCCCAGATGCAGTTCCCAGAGTGTCGTCCTCCCTGGGTCACAGCACGAGAAGGGGCTGTTAGCTTCAGGTCAGCAGCAAACGCCGCGATGACTCCCATTTTGCACTTGCAGTTCCAGCAAGTTCAGAACAGCATGATGAGGAGTTCTGCGGAGAAGATTGAACCAAGGTAAAACAAAACCTCCTTCTGCTCTCTCATTTTCACTCATTTAGAGAACTCTTCCCATCTTCCCGAGGCTTTGTGGCTACTGAACCTTAGCGTCCGTGCACTAGGTACCCCTCACTGCCCTTTAATAAAGGCACCTTCCATGGTGGTGCTTTATTTTGCTGACTCCTTATTTGAGGTCTCGGCCTCGAACGTTGCTGGAGGGCTGGGAATATCACTGTACTCAAAGCACTGAGGCTTTATTTGGCTCTTCCACCACTTGTTGATGGGCAGAGTGCAGTCCTTGGAGCCCGTGAACTGGAGCAGCTCTCCGGGCAGATAATTCATGGCGTAATTAGGAATTAATTTTTGGGTCCTTTCAATCTGTACTGCTGCTGTGGTGCCGCTGTAACACCGGCGTCCTTGGTAATGAACTCGAGCAGCCTCAGTCTCCCTTCTTGTCTTTTTTTTTTTTCTTTTAAACTGCTCCTGCCTCATTTCCAGAAAAACACAAATCCAGGCCCAGGAGCACAGTGCACGGAGGTGGCAGGGACCGGGCGTTTCTAGCACCAGCCACACAGGGGCCAGGACTCAGAGCAGAACCGAGGCAGGGAGGAGGCTGCTGGAGGGCTCTGGTCTGACCTCCCGCTCCACACAGAGCTAATTTTGAGGTTGTCAGATTGCTCACCTTCCTACAGTGATTTTATCATCATATTCTATGATGATTATCATAGACGGTAAGCCCCTTAAAAGGCAAATCCCTGAGATGGCAGCTGGCCCGTTGATCATGAAAATAAAATGGGAAATAATCCCCAGGTGGGCTGGCGTCTCTTACTCAGGAAGATCTTCCTGGAATACGCCTGTAGGATTTTTTTGGGTGGCTTCCCCCACATCCGAGGTCTGAGCTGCGTGCTTGGTGCTGGCAGAGTGCAATCTGCCTTAAAGATGCAAGTCTCGTGGCTGGGCACAGAGCAGGGAATTGCTGCTGCTGCTGCAGGAACCTGCTGTAAAGCAGCTGCTGCTGGCCTGGTTTGCCACCGGGTGCCTGACAGGCGAGCTGCTGAGCCAATCCATCCTGGTGGCGCTCGGCTGCTTCCCAGAACAACTCGACCTGTTTAATTCAGCGCACGGTGGCGAGCTGTCAAGGCTAGGAGCAGCTCTCCACGTAAACGAGCTCCCCAAATATCCTTCCAAGCAGGACTGGCGGTGCTTGCATGTAGCAGTTACTCTGCTGAGCTTTGCTGCCTGACAGCACGGGTGGAAACGGGCAGCATTGATCTCGGAGCAAAACAGAGAACACTTCACGGGGTGAGCGGGCGTCCCTGCGCTCGATGTCTTACTGCCCTGACTCTCGCTGTGCCCCCTTGCAGGGAACTCGACCCCATTTTGACAGAAGTCACCCTGATGAACGCCCGCAGCGAGCTCTACTTGAGGTTCATCAAGAGACGAATAACGGCGGACTTCGAGGTGGGAGACTCCATGGCCCCCGAGGAGGTGAAGCAAGGTAACGCCGGCAGTACCAACACCCGTGGGCTCTGCTCCTCGTGGAGCTGTACCAGTTTGGGGTCAGGGCAGCGTGGCACAGCTACAGGGGCACCAGGGAACACTCTGTAGAACAGGACCACGTAGCCTGGCCTCCCCAAAGCTGTTTCTAGCAGTGAGTTTCCTGACAAAGCCCTACCGTAACCATCCTCTGCACGGGGGCTTTTCAGACTCTGGTACATCTTAGTGAGGGAAGTTGGTTAGGTCACACAGGCTGCTACAGCTCTGCCAGGAAAAAAAATATCTGGCTGCTGCACCAGGTGGCAGCACCCAGGCACTGTATGACCACAGAGGAGGGCAAGTTGAAGGGAAACTCTTCGAGAAGATCGTGACCAGCAGTTGGCATCACCAGGGCAGGAGGCGTTCCCTGGTCGATGTTCTAGTCCAACATCATTGAGTTATTCCCTCTAATAGGAAACCAGCCTTAGGGGTGACTGCAGAGCAGAATAAACAAGGTGCCCAAAGGAAAGGAGGGCCCTTTGGTCACCGTAGGCACAAATGCTAAAGGCAGAGGCTGCAGGGAAAACAGGTTAAGATTTTTGGTACTCCTTGGAGCTCTGAAGTCAGGTGCATCCCCTGCAAAAGTCAGCTCAGCTCTTCCAGCTCCACGCTTTGAGGCCTGTGGTTTATTCCAGGTTGAGCTTTGCAGGTGTGTCCATCGGGTTCCCCCTCGGGCAGGCAGCAAGGGGTTAGGTGGAGCTGCTTCCTGGCCCTCGGTCCAGCTGACGGTTCCCTCGATGTTTTGCAGAGCATCAGAAGCAGCTGGACAAGCTGCTCAACAACTGCCTGCTGAGCTGCACCATGCAGGAGCTCATCGGCTACTACATCACCATGGAGCAGTACTTCATGAGGGAGACTGTCAACAAGGTGAGGCTCAGAGGGTGTTTGCAGTAGCCTGCGCTCCGTGCCCACACCTCCAGGAGGCCCCAGGGAGGGCGATGGGCACGCAGCAGAGCTGTGGTGGTTGTTGGGAAGGTCTGCCAGGGCCCCTGGCCTTGGAAAACAAGCGGGCTCCTCTCTTCCCTCGCTGGGCTCAGGGCGCTGAGGCTGCTCTCTCTGCAGGCTGTGGCCATGGACAGCTACGAGAAGGGGCAGCTGACCTCCAGCATGGTGGACGACGTGTTTTACATCGTGAAGAAGTGCATCGGGCGGGCTCTGTCCAGCTCCAGCATAGACTGCCTCTGTGCCATGATCAACCACTCCACCACCGAGCTGGAGTCCGACTTCAGGTGAGGAAAAGACACCAGGTTCGTCGTAACCTCCCTTTGTAACCTCCCTTCTCCTCGTGTCCTGCACGCTGTGTGCTGTCGGATGGTCTTCTCTGCTCTCTGCCTTTGTCCCTCTGCTTTGTCATCTCTGGAAGGCGCTGGTAGGAAGCAGTGCTGGGCGTGCTTTCCTCCCAGCAGCAGTGCTCACCTGTAGGACTGGCAGCTACGGAAGAGAAAAAGGAATTTGATGGCACCGTGGTCACTCCCAGGCATTCTCTGAGTTGCTCGTGGGCCTGCTTGGCTGCCACTTGAATGATTATCTGATAGACTTTGGGGTGAGCCTGCAGAAATTGGCCTGCTGCTGTTTCTCATCCCGGTGTGGGAGCAGAGAACTGACTGAAGACAACAGATTGCTGGCAGGATTTTGAGGAAATATATATATTTTTAATTATTTTTTAACCTCAGCCTGGTGTCTTTCAGACGATGCTGGCGGGACATACCTGCCATCCTTTGTCCCTCTGAAATTCCCCTTCCCTTTTCCAGGCTGCAGCTCAGCCCAGCACGGCTCTGTTGCTTCTTGCAGTGCTTGCTCTAAGCCCCGTGTGTCCCATTTGCCCCGCAGGGAGGTTCTGTACAACAAGCTGAAGCAGGGCTTCCCGGCCACCACCTTCCAGGACTTCCAGAGAGGGGTGACCAGCGCCGTGAACATCATGCACAGCAGCCTGCAGCAGGGCAAGTTTGATACCAAGGGCATCGAGAGCACCGACGAGGCCAAGCAGTCCTTTCTGGTGGGTTTGGCAGCTGTCCTGGTAAAAGATGAGTTGGGGTGAGGGGAAGGGTGATGGGGAAACTCACAGGAATGGGATCAGTGCAGCTGTCACAGTCAGAGAACCTGAAAACCTGTTTCAGGCACCTGCACCTGCCCCTAGATGAGAGAATTTCCTGGCCCACGCTCAGCACTCTTCAATCCTCGCTTACCAGATGGGAAATTTTCCATTAGAGCAGGGTTGTCTGCTCCCCTTGGCATGCAGGATCCTCCTCTTGCCTTCTAACAGCAGCACCACAACTCTGTGCTCGAGCTGGCCAGAGCACAGCAGTGAGCGTTACAAATTCCCAGAGAGCTTTCGGAGGGCTGTTGCTCCTGTCCTCTGCAGCACAGTGTGTCCTTGCCTCTGGTGGGGACAAGACCCCGCTGGGAGGGGATTTCTGCCTGGGTCTGCTCCCTGCTTTCAGCCGGAGCTCCTGGGAGCGCTGGGGAGGAGCTGGCTCAGCCATGAGCTGCTGTGATGCTGCTGCACAGATTCCCTGGGACTCCCACTGTACGAGGAGAAGAGGAGGGAGCAGGAGGGACTGCTTTCGTTTCATTAAACTCGGTTACGGGTTTCGTGATGCAAAGCACTTGGAAGCGTCAGTTCTCCCTTTGGAATTCATCCTTCACCTGTCAGCTCGCCTCGTTCCCCCGTCTGCACAGAGGCCGGCCTTATTCTGACAGTCAGTTCGGCTCCAGCAGGTAGAGAACAGCCTGTTCGGGGAGGAGCAGATACTCGGCTGGCAGGAGGGGTGCTGAACTGTTGTTCTTCCCCTCCAATATTTCCATTTCAGCCTGTAGCTGTGAGCAGGGCACGGAGCAAGAGCTGGGAAATTCCAGTGGTTTCTACTTGCCTTTCTTTTCCTTCCCCAGGTGACCTTAAACAACGTGGAGGTCTGCAGCGAAAACATCATGACCCTGAAGAAAACTTTGGAGGTGCGGTCTCGATTGTTTGCTGTTTTCTCTCTAATCAATTACCCGCGGGGTGGGGTAAAATAAGCTCTCTGGACTTTGCTTTGCTCAAACTCCTGCTATCTTCGCCCTCCAGCCGTAGGAAAGCAATTTTGAGCTGGCAGAGCAATCCCTGGCTGATACCTCAGTGGTGTAGCTCGGCCTGGCTGGAAATACCAGTTCCTCCATGTGGACCAAGCCAGAACTCAGTGCAATAAAACCATTTTATTGTGGTTCCCTGGTGCTGCCTCAGGTAGCCTGGGGCTTCCTTTCTTGCTGCTCTGTCCCCAGCAGCTCCTGCCTTGGGCTTGGTGGCTGTCCTGAAAACTTCAAGCCCGCTGCCAGGGCTGGGTGGTGAAGGGGCAGAGGGAGCCCAGGGGATTAACGAGCAACGTGCCCGGGGGTCTCTTCCCGCAGAGCGACTGCGCCAAGCTGCTCAGCCAAGGCTTCGGGGGCGAACAGGCACAGGCCAAGATCGAGAGCTGCCTCTCCGACATGGCTGCTGTCTCCAACAAATTCCGGGACCTGCTGCAGGTGAGTGCAGGGCGCTGCTGCCGGCCAATTCAGGGAGAGGGGAGGCAGCCCACGCCTGGTGGCCCGCATCGAGGCCGTGTCTGGCTCCTGGAGTGCCGGCTGAGGGGTGCAGATGGAACCAAGCAATCCATTTTGAGGCACACAAACGGATCCAGCCCATGTGCACAGCTGCACCAGCTGGCAGCCGGGTGAGAAATGCTGGAAGCAGCTGCAGAGGCAGGAGGAACGTCGTTCCCTTTGTCTTCGCTCAGCACAGAGCAGCGGTTGGTTGGTTCAGCGTGTTCAGGAGCAGAAATACTGGTGGCTCCTCCGTTCTCCTTGTGGCCCAGTGTATTCTCAGCCTGTCCCCAGCCCCATGGGGCAGAGGGAAGAAGGGCTGCTGGTAGAGAATATCACAGGAAGATTATCAGTGAACCTTCATGAGGCCTGTGGTCAGCACTGGAATCAAACAGCTCGCAGATAAGGAGTAAAACTCTCCAGTCTGGTGTTAGTGCAGTATTAAAACCATCTGCAAAGCACTCAGGAGGCTGAGCAGCGAGCTGCTGCGCTGCCTGAGTCACGCGCACATGCAATTTGCCTTGGAAAAGGGCAATTGCCAGCAGGGCCTGCTCAGAAATGCCAATTTGAGTTAAAAACTCTCATCAGATGCCAGGCAGCGATGGTACCTGAATAGCTTCGTGCTGGGTGAGCTTTCTCGACATCGTGCTGAGCTAAATGGGGTGGCTGGCAGGAGAGGGCTTGCAGAGAGCTGTCGAGCAGTGGAGCGGAGTGAAGAGCCTTCACTGACAGCCTGCTGCTCGGGGGAGAGGGCGCGTGCTGGGGCTGCGATTAATTCGGGGCACTGCCTCTGCTCGCAGCTTGTAGCCTCCTTTCAGCTTGCCCCGCCGTGCTGGGGGTGGGAGGCTGCAGCTCAGCCCCGTGCAGCCTCAGGGCCGATGTCCTCCCTCTTCTTGTCACCGTGGTGTCCTCGGAGCCACGCGATGCTGGAAGAGCGTGGGATCTGGCTCCAGCTCCAGGATTTTGGGTTCATTTTCCTGTGGAAGTCTGCGGGTCGGTTTTCCCAGCTCGTGCTGAGGATGGAGGCAGCCTGGCTGCAGAGGTTGGGCATTGTTGGACGTTGCCTGTGCTCAGTTCCCTCCTGTCCTCTTCTCACCCCCCTCAGGAAGGTGTCAGCGACCTGAACAACACGGCCATCAAGCCCCAGGTGAAGCCCTGGATCAACCTCTTCCTCTCCATCTCCCACAGCATCGAGGAGGTAAGGCTCAGCCCCTCTGCTTCCAGCTCCCTTCTGCGCTCCCCATCAGCTTTCTGCTGTTCCTCAGCACAGAGAAATGGTGAAATACCCAGACTTTGCTCCCCAGCCCAGCCTGGAAAGGGGCAGCTGGCTTGACAGGAGCTCAAGAAGAAGCCCCATGTTCACGGCAGGTCCCCCAAACAAACAGCCCTTCTTGTATCCCGCTGGCAGGAGGAGTTCAGCGAGTACGAAGCCAACGATCCCTGGGTCCAGCAGTTCATCGTCCACCTGGAGCAGCAGATGACAGAGTTTAAGGTGAGGAAAAAGGGTGTAGGGGGAGATCCAGCAGCCTGCCAGCCTTCCACCAGGCGTCTCCCAGCTCTTCCCCTGCTCAGGGCAGGGTTCAAACCCCCCCTCGTACCTGGATCGCTTCTGCCAGCGCTGTCTGCTCGCGGAGTGTGGAAACGATGTTCTTGGTGTGAAAGCTCTCCTAGAACTGTTCTTTTTTCTTTCTGCTCCTAGGCTGGCCTGTCCCCCGTGATTTACGATAACCTTACCGGCCTCATGACCAGCCTGATAGCCACCGAGCTGGAGAAAGTGCTCCTCAAATCCAGCTTCAACAGGGTAAGCAAAGCGCTGCACCGGGGAACATCTCGGCGCTGTCCAAGCCGTGCTAACAGAGCTCTCCCCGCAGCTGGGCGGGCTGCAGTTCGACAAGGAGCTGCGGTCCCTCATTGCCTACCTCACCACCGTCACCACCTGGACCATCCGCGACAAGTTCGCCCGCCTCTCCCAGATCGCCACCATCCTCAACCTGGAGCGGGTGAGCTGCGCTGATGGTGTTTTTTTGGGGTTGCAGGAGCCCCAGCTGGGCTCTGTGGTGTCCTGGGCTCAGCCAGGCGTTGTCACACGTGTGGGGAGGTGAAAAACTGGGAAACTCACCCCAAAATTTGATGGGTGTTTGCCTGCGGGGGGGTGATGGCAGGAAATCCTGCCCCTCCCAGTTTGAACTGGGCCGGTTCCTGCAGCTCTCTCCCCTTTTCCCCCGCAGGTGACGGAGATCCTGGATTACTGGGGCCCCAACTCGGGCCCCCTCACCTGGCGCCTGACCCCTGCGGAGGTGCGGCGGGTGCTGGGGCTCCGCAAGGATTTCCGTGACGAGGACATCAAGCGCCTGCGCCTGTAGCTGCGCCTGGCCTCAGCACAAACCCGTGGAGCCAGCCCCCGTCCTCCCATTTCTGTGAGGTTTTGGGGTGGTGGCTGCCCTTCTGCTCACCTCCCTCAGAGCAAGAGGCTCTTTGGGGCACGGGACGGAGAGCCCCTGTCCTTTTGCAGGAGCAGAAAGAGGGCGGCAGAGGAAATCTCTCACGTTGAGAGCAGCTAACGCTAAATGGGCAAGTTTTTAGGGCCAGGCTGGTGCTAGCACACAGCTCTCCGTCCCCCAGGGGAGGCCACAGGAGGCTGGAGAAAGCTGGGGGCTGTCAGAGCACCGCTGAGCTGCACCCCTGGTTGTGGGGCTGCTGTCCCTGGGGGAAAGGGAAGCCTTCCTGGGGAGAGGGCGCTTGGAAAACCATGAATTTTCCAAAGAAAATGCGCTGTAGGAAGCAGGGCTGTGTAAATAAACCTCGCCTGGCTGAGCAGCGAGCTTGAGATCTGTGTGTGTGTGTGTGTGTGCCTGGAGGGGTTTGGAGCCCTGAGCTGAGCCGGTTGCTGTTCCATCTCCCCTGCCCTGGGTCTTTGCTAGCTCAGGGAGAGGCCGGGGAGGGACAGAGGAGACCGAGCACAGGCTAGGAACGAGATTTTTTTTATTCAAAAGACTGCAGGGATCAGGAACTGCAGAAATAACCTCTGGGCTGGGGAGGGGGACGTGATTCCACCCCCAGGGCTGGGGGGCCGGGCAGGAACACTCACTCACCTTCCTCCTGCTGGAGGCAGCGTCACCAACACTCGGTTTCCTTCAGCGACTGCCAAAAGCAGGGGCAAGCCCCCAGCCCCAGCTGTGCCCCCAGCTCCTGCCCGCCCAGCTCAGCGCAGCTCCTTGAGCCTGAGGGGTTTTCAGGCCCAGCAGCAGCACAAAAAGGCCACATCAAACCCAGGGAGCCCCCCCAGGAGTCCTGCTGATGAGTGTGGGGTCAGTGCTGCTCCCACACGGGGTGCCCTGGGGCACCGCTGGCTCTGTCAGCCCCATGGGGCGGGGACAGCCCCGAGGGGAATGTTTCTGGCTCCTCAGCCCCGCGTGTCCCTGATGAGCAGGGCAGAGCCGAGACCCTCACACAGCCACGTCCTCTCCTGGAGGAGCGTTGGCATCCAGCTCGCATCCCAAAACCTCCACTGAGATGCCCCCAGTGTCCACTTCGATGCTGTGGATGCTGAAATTACCCAGCCCCTGGAAAAAAAAGAGCAAAAGGGGCTGGAGGAGAGGTAACACAAGGGGCTCACCCCCATCAGCAACCCACCCACGCTGCTGAGCTTTGCAGCAACCCCCTCTAGCACTTTGGGGCCGGGAAGTCTTTTTCTTACCTCAATTTTGGCCAGAACTTGGTGCAAAGCCTCCTTCTGCCGCGGGGCTTTGGTGAGGACGTAGAGGAAGCCGCCGCCGCCAGCACCGGCCAAGCACTGCCCGTGGACGTAGGGCCGGAGGGCGCCCATCATACGCCCCACGGCCAGCGGCTCGCAGCCGGGGGCCATGCGCTTCTTCTGCTGCCAGTAGCGCTCCAGGCACGTGCCCAGGAGCTCTAGGTCACCTGCGGGAGGAAGCTCATGAAAATACGGCCCCAAAAAAAACCAAATTGGGCAGTTTTTCTCCTTCTGGGGTAGGCGGAAACCTAGTCCTGCCCCCAGTGAGCTGAGTTCTGCCGTCTCTCTGCCCCAGCCCTCTGCCTCCAGAGCAGAGCACCCCAGCACAGCTCATTTTTAACCCTCCCCAGGATAGAATTTACTTATTTTCACGCTCCCGCTTCCCTCCCGCTGCAGCCCAGCAGCCAACCACCCAATAAATCCACCTCAAGGCCAGGCCTGCCCCCAGGCCCAGCAGATGACTCAGGAAAATCAACCAGACACCACACGCCCCGCAGGGACACTTCTAGCCCTGCTTCCTCCATGTCTTAGCTAAAGTTTCGGGGCACTGCCTGTGACACAGGGGTGAGGACGTGAGGTTGCTGCAGCTCCTAGAGCCCGCACCACCCTAGCGTGTGCCCCCCAAGCCAGCAGGGACGCTCCTGGGGGTGTTTGTGTTGCTTAAAGGGGCCAGCCCGGCGCAGGGAAGGGGCTCCCACCTTGCCTCAAGGCCTGGGCACACTCCTCAGCGTTGCTCACCAGCGCGTGGGCGTTCTGCACGACGGAGGGCAGCCGGGCGTACCAGTTCCTCACCACGTCCTGCGGGAGAGGCCGGGCTCAGGGGAGGCTCAGGGGAGATTTGGGGGAGGCAGCGCCGTACCCGCAGCCTCGCAGTGGGGCAGGAACCAGGCTGCCAAACCCAAGGGGGAGTTACCTGGAGCAGGTTGCGAGCCAGGCGAGTTTTCCCCGTGTACACCAGCAGGAGGTGGTCGCTGAGGGTGCGGGCGAAGCCCTCGGGCACTGAGATCTCCTCCACCTCCACCCGCAGCGGCAGCTGAGCCTTCGACCTCCCGATTTTAATACCAGGCACCAGCCCGCCCACCTGGTCCTGCCAACCTCCGCCTGCAGGACACGGGGGGGGCTCAGCCTCCTCCTAAACCCCCACCCCAAATTCTAGGGGCTCCCCTCGGTCCTTCTACCTGTGGTCAGCCTCTGCTCCAGGTGCAGCACAGCGTGGATGAGGGACTCGGTGCTCGCCGCCTTGCCGGCTGCCCGGTACAGCGAGGCCATCGCCGCGCCCGCCAGGATGCTGCTGGTGCCTGCGGGGAGGGGCAGGGTCAGGGCAGCGAGGGGGGGGGGACACAAACGCCACCCCCCATCCTTGAGGACGTACCCAGGCCGGATCCGTGGGGCAGCTTGGACCAGGTGTGCACCTCAAAGCCGCCCCCGAAGCTGCGCGTCAGCTGGGCCCGCAGGGGTTCCTGCGAGGGGAACTGCACGATCTGGGTGCAAATGAAGGCAGCTTTCAGCAAGGCCCCTGGAAATAAATAAAATTAAAAATAAAGAGAGATTAAAGCTGGCACCGGCTCTGTCACCCACATCACCCCTGACAAGAAGAGGCTGTAGGAACAGAGCGGGTTGCTCCCAGCAGCTCGGGGCCACCAGGAGGACACCGAGTTGGGCATGCAAGCTGGGTGTCCACCTCACCTGGGGCGTGTGGCTGGCAGAAATCCCTCAAATCCTCCAGCTCCCGGCACACCAGCTCGGCCACCGCCTCACCTCGTGGCACGCCGCCGAGGCTGAGGAGGCGCAGCTCCGGCTCGGGGATGCGCCGCACGCGGGCGCCGATGGGCCGGCAGCCGTCCACCAGCACCGCCACGTCCAACACGGCCCCCCCGTGCTCGTAGGTGATCGGGGGGGTGTCGCTCCAGCCCCCTGCCGAGGCACGCCGTCAGCCCCAGCTCCTTTTTCCCCCATCCCCTCTTGCCCCATTCGGGCTGGAAACGCTCACCGGAGAGGTCGAGGCGGGCCGGGCACACGGCCTGCACCCAGCACCCCAAGGGGGGCAGCTCCGCCGGCTGCACGGTGACGAAGTGGCAGGAGGACATCACCGCCTGCCGGATGAGGATCTGCTCGGCCCCCTCGTAGTGCCGGGCCGCCCTCACCAGCAGGTCGGGTCTGCAGAAAAAGCGAATCCTGAGTCCCCCTCCGAGCCTGATAACACCCAGGGTGTGATGCCAGCCACGAGCCAGCCCCCGCCTCACCCGCTCATCCATTTCTGCCGCTCGGCTGCCAGCTCCCGCACGCCGCCAGCGATGTCCCCGCTCTCCAGGCGCCTGAAGGCTGAAGCCCACCGGGTGTTGGCTGCGGGGCCGCTGCGCAAGCCCCCCTCCCCCTGTGCCAGGCAGCCCAGCACGTCGGCAATGCAGGCGAGCGCCCGGGCTGCGACACCCGCATCATTGGCCGTGGAGGCAACTGGAAAACAAAAGGAGTTTAGATCATCACCAACCCAGTCCGATTCTGCAACAAGCTGACCCCAGAAGAGAGGGATCTGCATGGTTTGAACACCCCGGAGGCTCCTGCAGCGGGGCTGCCACGCGCTTACCCTCATCCAGCGTGCCCAGCACGGCCTCGTGGTAGCCCTCGTGGACGGCGCTGCGGATGAGGGGCAGGAGGCTGCCGTCCTGGCGCCCCAGCAGCACCCGGCGCACCTTGCGCTGGCCCTGCAGGAAGAAAAGGGCCCGGCGGGCGCCCAGCTCGGCCTCCTTGTCCAGGCAGGGCAGCAGCTCCTCCCAGGACATTCGCCAGGCCGCCCGCCAGCGTGCCAGCCTCCCACCGGGCCCCGCCGTTGGGGCCAGCAGCCACAGCACGTCCTCCAGCCCCAGCGCCTCGGAGGCGTGCAGCACCGGGAAGAGCCGGGCGCTGAGCAGGCAGCGGCTGCTCGGCAGGGTCTGGGCGTCCCAAAGGTCCCCTTCCCTGGATGAGGGAGAGCCCATCAGCAGTGCCCTGAGGCTTGAGGGCAGCTTCCAGGTGGGGAGGAGGGGTTGAGGTGGCCACGATGCCTCCTGATGTAGCCTTAGAGGCGTGGGGTGGCACTGGAAGCCCAGGGGAGCCGGGTCCCTTGCTCTGTCTGAGCACGTGGCACTCACCGTATGCCCGTCCGATGGAAAAACTCGGCCCAGGGCACGTTGAGGTAGGTGGAAGCTTCAGCAGGGCTCTGGGGGGGACACGGAGGGGTCGGTTACGCCCCAGCCCCGCGGGGAATCCCGCCCCACCTCGCCCTCCCTCACCTGCCAGTCGTCGAGGCGGCCGCTGAGCGTGAAGACGCGGCAGGACAGGTCCCGCAGCCGGACGTGGTGGCCCTGGAGGACGACGTCGCGCAGGGGGCAGCCCTGCAGGGCTGGGGAGGAGCTCACCGTGAGGCCCGAGAGGAGGCAGCCGGGGCCGATCTCCAGGGGACCCTGCGGAGGGAGCATCAGGACCATGAGCAGCCCCCCGAGCAGCCCCCGACCTCGGAAGGGGACAGGCACCCCAGAAAACATGCTGTGGGCAGCAAAAACCGGGTACTGGGGTGGGTCACCAAGCTCTGAGGGGACATGGACTGCAGAAATTCAGGCCTCCAGGGTCCAAAAAGGCAGCCAGAAGGGGCAGGGCGCCCCAAAACTCACAGCAGTGGGTCCCCTCCGAGTCCCCCCGGCCACCTACCTGCAGGTGACAGTGCTGGATGGCGCTGCCGGCCGCCAGGCACACGGCTCCCTCCAGCAGGCTGTTGGTGACCGAGGAGCCGTCCTCCAGGAGCCAGGGCTGCTGCAGGGGGACACGGGGACGCCAGGGGCTGGCCACACAGCGGGGAGCAACACCCCAAAAAACATGCCCGAGGGAGAAACGGGGCTGGAGGGACCTACGTCGGCCTGGGAGTGGGCTGTCTTGCAGAAGCGGAGGTGGCTGGCGGAGCCGGGCAGGAGCGTCAGGCTGCGGATGTGGTCGCTCGCCGAGGCGGTCAGGTAGTCGTAGGACGCATCGGGGATACAGGCTGCGGGGAGCCAGGAGAGCTGTCAGCATACAAACCGCAAACACGGGGCCAGGAGGTGCTCCTGGCATCCCCAGCAGCCCTCCCTGCTCCCCTCCTCCTCAAAAAAAGGGCTGGTACCAGGCCCTGACCCCAAATTTCTCCCCACCCAGGGGTCCAGGCCACGTCCCCACGCAGCGCCGCTCACCCACGCTGAGGGGGAAGGCGCGGAGAGACGCCCACAGCACGGAGCGGGCGCTCCTGGCGCTGGCGTCGCTGCCTCCCTTCACAAAGTCCTCCTCCGTCACCCCCCGCGCCATGCTCAGCACGATGTCGAAGAAGAGGGAGAGCTGGGGACAGAAGGGACGTCCCCAGGTACAGCCCCGCTGCAAGCACGGCACCCACGGGCGCCCCGTTGTCCCCGCGGGGTGTCACCTGGATGGGCGGCGCCCCCGAGTCCAGCCCCATGTAGGTGCAGGCGTCCAGGGGCGGGATGACGTGGGTGGCCAGGAGCTGCTCGGCGGCGTCCGAGGAGAAGAAAACCACCCCACAGACCTGCGGGGGCACAGCGGGGTTGAGGCCGTGCCGGCCCTGTCCCTCAGCGGGGTAGGGAGGTGACACGAGGGGAGGTGACACGGGTGACATACCAGCGGGACGCTGCCATCGGGCCCTGCACACTGCCGGATCTGCGCCTCCGTGCCTCTGTAGATGATGTCGTGCACCAGCCCCTGTGAGAAAGACAACCCCAAAGAGGATTTTGGGGCACCCCACGCCACACAGATCCCGCAGGGACAAAGGGACAGAGACCCCACAGGGCAGGGGAAGGGAGCGGGAAGCTCCCACCCCTCCGAGGGGGCTCCAGGAGGGTGATACCATTAGGACTGCTACCGACCTGCTCGTCAGCGAGGTACACCCCGTGGTTCCTGGCGTAGGCCTGGCTGCCGGGCACGGCGATCACTCGGACGCCCTGGAAGCCGTCCCAGTCGATGCCTGGGGACAGGGACATGAAGAAGTGCCTGCTGGTGGCGCCTGGCCCCACACAGCCACCCAAAATCCAACCCCCGTGGCAGCAGCACCCGGCCTCGGCCACACCAACCGCCCCCGAGCCCTTCTGGGTGCCACCCATGGGTGCGCTCTGAGCAGCGGGTGCCCAGCAGAGGCTGAAGCGGCCGCATTGCTGCCACCCCGAGCCCAAGTGGGCGCTGGAGGCAGGGCTGGCACCCACCCACCTGGTGCTGAGGGCACGGTGAGGAGCATATCGGTGCTGCACACCCACAGGCCGGGCGGGGAGCCCACGCAGAGCTGCCAAGAGAAGAGCCGTGCACTCAGGGGGGGCTCATAAGGGGGCTCAGCCCCCATGGGGGGCACCCAGCGCCCTTGTCACCCCGCTGGCGGCACCCAAAGGTGCCCCAGGCCCACGTTGGTGCTGGGGTGAGCCCGTCCCACACGCACCCGGTGTGTCAGGGTGTGCAGCAGGCTGTCCAGGTTGCACACCGGGGCCTCGGCCGGGGCGTCGGGGTCCTCTGCGGGGAGGCAGGTGAAGGCCCGGCCACAGTCATCGAAGGAGAATTCGCGGCCCTGGGGGGGGGGAGATGGAGAGGGGGATATCAGCCAGGGGTCAGAGGGTCCCAGGACGGGTGGGGAGCCCATCTGCAGCCCCCGCCCTCACCATGTGCAGCACGAGGATCCGGGCATCCCTCAGGACATCGGAGGTCACCACCTGGGGGGGCAGAGCGGGGAGCAGTCGGCAGCGGGGACCCCTGGGACCCCCACACACACCCCCACCTTTGTACCTCCCCCAGTCTGGGACCCCCTCCCCAAAACCCACCCCCAGCACTCCCCCCTCAGGACCTCCCCTTCCCGTTACCCTCCCCACCTGCGACCCTCCCCTCTCCCAGGACACCCCCTGCATCCCTCTCTCCCCCAAACCTCCCCCCTCCCTGTACCTCCTTCTCCCCCTGCCCCTCCCCACCTGGGACCCCCCCATTCCCTGGGCCCCCCACCCCATGCTCCTGTACGCCTCTCCCTGCCCACCCCCTCCTCCCCCAAACCTCCTGCTCCCCCCAGAGCCCCATCCTGGGACCCTCCCCCTCCGGTATCACCCCCCTAGACCCTACCCCTGCCCCTCCCCACCTTGGAACCCCCCCCCCCTTCTCCCCCAGGGGACCCCTCACCCCCAGGCCCCTATCCCGTGTCCCTCCCCCCCAGGACCCCCTCAGACCCTCCCTCTCCCCCTGCCCTTCCCCACCACCCCCCCTCCCCCCAGAACCCCCTCCTCTCCCCCTCTCCCCCAGGGGACCCCTCACCCCCAGGACCCTCCCCACACCCCCCCCCTCTCACCGTGCCCCCCGCCCTGGCACTCAGCCTCTCGGCAGCCGCCAGCAGGGCGTTGAGGGTGGCCCCACCGCTACCCAGGCGGGCCCAGGGGTCCTCCAGCACCACCACCACCATGGGGGGCTCCGGGCCCAGCGCCCCCCGGCGCCGCCTCAGCTCCAGCTCTGCCGGGCGAGCAGGGGGAGCTGAGGGCCGGCTCCCCGCCGCCCCCCGGCGCTGAGGGAGCCCCGGCCCCGCCGCTTGCCTCGCCGCAGGGCCGGCACGGAGCCGCCTCGCCGGCAGGTCAGCACCACCGCGGCCCAGCCGCCCCCCGCCGCCGCCGCCGCCATCGCCTCAGCTTCGCCTCAGGAGCCCCTTCCTCAGGCGGCGCCGCGGTGCACGCTGGGAGTTGTAGTCCGCCGTGGCCCCGCCCTCCCGCCGCGCGGCGCTGGGGAGGGGCCGGCGCTGGACTACAACTCCCAGCGTGCACCGCGCGGGGGGCTCCTTAAAGGCGCAGCGACCTCTCTCTGTGTCTGTGGGGGGGGGGCTGTTAGGAATTATAAAATAAAGATTTTCGAGTATTCTGCCCCAAAAAAATGGCTCACGGAGAGCGTTCTGCCCAAAAAACGTCCTAAAAACACACAGCACGGCGGCAGGGGGTGGCGGGGCCTGAGGGAAACATGGCCAGGGCTGCACTGTGCCCGTGGGTGGGGGGCTCCGTGAGGCAGCGGGGGGGTCCCTGAGGTACCGGGGGGGGTCTGGGGGGTCCCGGGGGGGTCCCGGCGCCGCCCCGGTTCCTACAAGTCCCACAACCCCCCCGGACTACAGCTCCCAGCCTGCCGGGCCCACCCCCCGCACGGCTCGGCCCGGCCCCGCGGAGGGCGCGGCGACGGTGGGGGGGGGGGGGCGGCGGCGGCGGGGCCCGGAGCGGAGCCAGGTGGGGCTGGGGCCGGGGGGGGGCCGGGGGGAGATCGGGGGGGGGGGACCCCATGTGTGGGGCTGGGGAGGGGGGAGGGGGAAAAAGGGGATGGGGGGGAACAGGGGGGGACGGGGGGGGGCGTGAGGGGTGGGGGGGAGAGCGCCCGGAGCCCCCCCGGGGTGGGCGAGGGGCTGGGGGGGGTCCTGGGGGTGCTTTGGGGGGGTGTTGGGGGGGTCCCGGGGGGTGCTGGGGTTGTGGGGGGACGCAGGGGTATGGGGGGGTGAGCAGGGGGTGGTGTGAGTGTCCCTGGGGACAGCCGTGTCACCCGGGGGGGGCAGCGCCCACCCCCCTATGCACCCCCCCATAAGGTGTTTTTTGGGGTCGGGGCTCCCAAACTGCCCCCTCCGGGTGCCCCCCGTCCCCTGCCGGCACCCACGGTGCTGTTAATGAACGGGGGACGGGGCTCATGCGGGGGCCCGCAATGGGGACGGGGGTGTCCGGACCTGGACACCCCCCCCCTAATTTTGGGGTGCCCAAATTGGGGCCGAGCAGCGAGGTCCCGACACGTTTCCTCACCCTGGCCCCCCACCAACGCCACCTCTGCTCCCCGGCCCCGAGGCCAAACCCTGGCGGTGCCGGCCCCGTGCTCCCCGTGGGTTTTGGGGGCACCGCAGCGGGTGCAGCGCATGGGGGGCACAGGGGGACGTGGGGGCGAGGAGGTGCTGGGGGGGCTGAGCCCCCGCTCTGAGCGGCTGCTGCATGCCCACGGGGTGCGGGTTATGGCTTGGTGGGACCCGATCTGGTCATACCCAGCTTGGTGGGACCTGAACTGGTGGGACCCAGCCCCATAGCTTTGGTGGGACCTGCCCCGGTGGCTTGGTGGGACACATCGTGGTGGCACCCAACCCGGTGGTCCTATGGGCCCTGACATGCTGGGACCCCCTGCTGGGACCCTGTACCCATGTCTGCAGGTGCTCAGTGCCCCCCTTTCTCCTCTCCTGCCCTCTGGGGTCCCGGAGAGAAGCACCAGCGGTGCCACCACCACCCCGCTCCTTGAACCCTGTCTGGGGTTCACAACGTGGTGCTGGGCGCGCTGCCGGTCCCAAACCCCGCTTCTCCCTTCCTCCTCCTGCGGCAAACATCAGGCACCGCTGTCACTCCGTCACCCCGTCACGATGCGCTGGGCGACGCTCGCCGGGTGCCTGGGGCGGGTGGCACCGTGGGTGCGCCGTGGCCACGATGCCGCGCTCACCAAGGGCTGGTTGCTTCGGGCGTTAATTCTGCAGGAACGCCCTTGCAGGGTGCATTCACCCCCGCCTGCGGAGGGAGGATGCTCGCCGGCTGCCTTCCTCTCACAGCCTGGGCAAATATTTGAGAGCGGGTTAATAATTCGGGTGCCAATTATATTGGCTCTGCAAAGTGATCGGCCGCGGTGCCGGGGCGATTCTTGCCCTTATCCCCGCGAGGGCTTTGCGGGGAGCATCCCGGGTCCAACGTCCGTCCCTGTGCTCTCCGCTCCAGGCTGCTGTCCCCGAGGTGTCCCCAGCGCAGGGACGATGAGCGCTGCCGCAGCCCGGAGCCAGCTGGGGATGGGTCCCCGAGCCCGCAGAGCCACGGGGACGCGGAGCTACGGCTGAGCCCGGCGTGCCGAGCCGTGCCGCGCCGTGCCGCGCCGTGCCAGGCGGATGGAAAGCTGCACCCCGGCAGGTAGGGGTGCCCCAACCCACCCCATAGCAGCGCAAAGCCCTCCTGGCTACCCAAAGCCTTGCGGGCTGGGCTTTGTGCCCCCACCCCATGGTGACCCACATCTCTGCACCCCACAGGGAGCCCCGCCGGCCGCCTGCCTCCACCCCGCGCCCGCCAGCCCCCTCCTGCGCCCGCCCCGCGCCCCAGCCCTATGCCAGGCGAGCGGCGCCCGCCGTGCCCACCCGCCCGCCATGAAGTGCTCGCTGCGCCTCTGCTTCCTCTCGACCGCCTTCCTCCTCGTCTTCGTCATGTCCGTGCTCTTCACCTACTCCCACCACAGCATCGCCTACCTGGACCCCGGCGGGCTGGGCGGCATCCACCGGGTGAAGCTGGTGCCCGGCTACGCCGGCGTGCGGCAGCTCGGCCACGGGGGGCTGTACCCGAGGGGCTGCGCCTGCCGCCGCTGCCCCGAGGACGCCGCCGACGCTGCGGCCGCCTGGTTTGACAGCCGCTACGACGGCCGCGTCTCCCCGGTGTGGACCAAGGAGAACATGGAGCTGCCGCCGGACGTCCAGCGGTGGTGGATGGTGAGCGTCCCACCGGGTGCGGGGCCCCAGCGCTTTGGAAACTCCTCCAGGCAGCGCCTCAGCCCTGCCTGCATGGCCACCGAGTGGCTCCGACCTGGTTTAATTGCCACGTGGGGCAGGCCCAGCATTTTGGGCCTCATTTCCCCTATTTTTAACTTTTTTTTTTTTAATCCTTTCCCCACTTGCAGCTTCCCTCCCTTGCTCACCGCCCTGTTTTGTCCCCCACTCGGGATCCTGCAGCATCTCCGCCCCGAGCCCCCGTACTCGGAGCAGTGGGGAGGGGGCTGCCAGTGTCACCTCCCTCCCTGTCGCCCCGCAGATGCTGCAGCCCCAGTTCAAGTCCCACAACACGCAGGAGGTGCTGAGCAAGCTCTTCCAGATCGTGCCGGGCGAGAACCCCTACCGCTGGCGCGACCCGCGCCACTGCCGGCGCTGCGCCGTGGTGGGCAACTCGGGCAACCTGCGCGGCTCCGGCTACGGGCCCGAGATCGACGGCCACGACTTCGTCATGAGGTGAGGGCTGGGATGAGAAAACACGGCCCAAAATTGGGACCCCCATGGCCGGGCTGGGGGCTCGCCTGGTCCCTCAGCACCCCAGCACCCGCCTCTGTCCCCAGGATGAACCAGGCGCCCACAGTGGGCTTCGAGGGGGACGTGGGCAGCCGGACCACGCACCACTTCATGTACCCCGAGAGTGCCAAGAACCTGCCCGCCAACGTCAGCTTCGTGCTGGTGCCCTTCAAGACCCTGGACCTGCTCTGGATCGCCAGTGCCCTCTCCACCGGCCAGATCAGGTTGTAAGTACCCGGCGGCACCGCCGCCATCGTCACTCGTGTCACCTGCAGAGGTGGCGTCGCCTCGGGGCCTTTTTGTCCCACGCTGGGAGTGGCGAATGATCGCTGCCGGGGCTCGCTGGGTTCCTCCATCCCCTCTGCTTTGCTTTTTTGCCCCCAGCACCTACGCGCCTGTGAAGCCTTTCCTGCGGGTGGACAAGGAAAAGGTAAGGACGGCCCCGCGCCTCTGCCCCCGGGGAGGGACAGACACGGCGTGCCGGGCTGCTCAGCCAGCGTCCCTCCTCCCCTGGCTGCCAGGTGCAGATCTACAACCCTGCCTTCTTCAAGTACATCCACGACCGCTGGACGGAGCACCACGGGCGCTACCCCTCCACCGGCATGCTGGTGCTCTTCTTCGCCCTGCACGTCTGCGACGAGGTGGGTGGCGGTGGCACAGGGACACCCCCCAGGAGCTGGCTTATTTTTTTATTAATTATTATTATTTTATTCCATTTTTGGGTGCTGACTCTCGCCCCGCAGGTGAACGTCTTCGGGTTCGGCGCCGACAGCCGGGGCAACTGGCACCACTACTGGGAGAACAACCGCTACGCCGGCGAGTTCAGGAAGACCGGGGTGCACGACGCCGACTTCGAGGCGCACATCATCGACATGCTGGCCAAAACCAGCAGGATCGAGGTCTACCGGGGGAACTGAGGGCCGGACGGCGGCGCGTCCTCCAGCTCGCCCACGCCAAGGAGCGGGGCTCGGCGCCCGGCCGGCAGCGGGTGGCCCCCGGCACCCGTGGGTGCTCGCCGGCAGCCCCCGGCCGGCAGCGTGGCCCCAATGGAGCTGCCCCGGGCAGCGCTCGGTGCCTGTGACCAATCAGGTTTTGAGCGAAAAAGGAGACTTTTTGTTGTTCTGGGGGTTTTTACTTAATATTATTGTTATTAAGGAACCCGTCTCAGCCGAGCGAGGATTTACAGACGCACTCAGCGCCCGGCCGGCGGGAGCGCCCGACTTGCATCTCTTTACAGTCAAACCAAATGCTGCTCTTTTTAAAATGAAAACAAACAAAAAGAAAACACACACAAAAAAAAAAAAAACCTGAAGCCTGGCGACTTCGGGAAGCACCCGAGCCAAGGGTCAAGTGACAATCAGCCCCCGAGGGCGCAGTTGTGTCGTGCCACCATGCCGGTGTCCGACGGCCACCTCCTCCGGCTCTGCCTGTCCCCGGGTGCGGAAGCCACCGCTGCTTTCGTCCTATAATTTGATTTTTTTTTCTCCCCCTTCGCTTGGCGACGTCCCTTTGCGGCTGCAATCCCGTGGCCCCCAGGAAGGGGAGGTCGGACTCTCGCGGTCCCGTTGCCGGAGCCTGCTGCGGCGATGCTGGCTCGGGGACGCCACCGTGCCAACCCCGCTGCGTCGGGGCCGGCGTCCTGGGCACTCTTTGCCTGAGGTTAAAGGTTAGGAGGAATTTGGGGTGGCCGCATGCAGCCGGCAGCTGAGAGACCTGCACAGCGGCAGCCTGGTCCCTCTGCGGCACCCATGTCCTGGTTACGGTGACACCGATGCGCAGCAGCAGGCGCGTGGCGAGGGATGGAGCGGGCTTTCCCTGCCCTTTCAGAACAGAAAAAGGGCAGGTGGGGGCTGGCTTCAGCAGGTGGACGAAGCGTCCTTTTTCTTTTGTTCCCCCGTTTGCTGGCTCTGGTGAGAAGCTGGAAACCCAAAGGCTTTGCTCTGCTCACGCCGGCAGGCGAGACGTGGGATTTTTGGGATGGGGAATTGCAGGTCCCCAGGGCTAGCCCCACACTCCCTGCTGCCGGTGGCACAGGCAGGGGCGCAGCCTCCTGGTGGTGTAATTAAAACCACTTTTCTTTTGGGCAATCAAGCAGCTGGGGTTGGGACGTGCTGGAAAGCTCAAGACCAAGGCAATCATGGAGCCGCTGGGCGCCACCAGCCCCGCGCCTCCACCTGAGGGAGAGCAGGGAGCGCTGGGGGCTTCGGGTTTTTTCCTTTCACATCTGGCTTTTCTGTAGCAGCCCCTTACCTGTTTCTCTGCTTTGGATTGATTTATTTTTTTCCACGGGGTTTTCTTTTTTTTTTATTATTATTTTTTGGAGGTTTCTCTCTGCAGTTGTGAAGTGCAAGGCTTGGGGCACCCGGGCTGGGCCCTTTCTCCTCTCTTCTGCCCATGGGGCTCCAATCCCAGTTTTTTTTTCTGGGCAGGTTTTGGTAGAAGCAGCCCCAGGACGCATCCTGCACCCTCCTGGGGTGTTGCCTTGGCGTTTGGTCCTGTTGATTTTTTTTTTTTTAGGGGAAGAAAACCACAAAAAATCACAAAACCACGAGCAACAACGAGTGCCTTGACCATCTCCTGTCGGCCGCGCCGGACCGAGCCCGCTGCCAACACCACCCTGTGAGGTTGGGATGCACCAGGGCTGACCCCGGGGCTTCCTCCTCTTTTCCTTCCCCTCCTGGGGGGCACGGGGCGGCCTCGGGGCACCTCCTGGGTGCGGGGCAGAGGCTGGGGAGGACAGGATCCGGCGTGACGGGGCTGGACCAGCACCGCTCCCCGCTCCGGGCCAGACAATCACGGGGCGAGAGGATGCGCTGGGTCCCGAGCCCGCCGGCAGCACCGTGCCAGCATCCGACAGTTTTTCGGCTAACTTCCTTCCCCCCCCACACACCTCCCTTTTTATTATTGTTATTATTATTATTATTATTGGTGTTGGTATTATTTAAAGCGTCCCGCCACGAGGACTCGCGACCACTCCACGCACGAGCATGCTGCACGCCCCGCGGGCGCTGCGCCTCCGAGCACCACTGTACTGTACATAGAGGAGACGTAGGCAGAGGCTACGGGCAGGGGGTGCCCGTTTTGGGGGCACAGAGGCAAAAAAAAGAGGTTTTGGGGGCCTCCATCACACGGTGCCCAAGCGGGAGAGGCGGCCCCGTGCCCTGCGCCACGGCCAGGGAGGGGGTTCCCGTAGCTTCTGCCTACGCGGGTACTTCTGCACACAATTGTCTTAAACCAACTTTTTTTGGTTGTTTTTGGTTTTTTTTAGTCAATAAAAATCATGCATCCAAAGCCCTCCGTGTTTCCCTCCTGTCCTCTCCTATAGTGTGCTCCTACAGAGAGAGGATGGATAAGAGATTTTCCGTCTCCTGCTGGGAGTTAAAACTTGGGCATTTGTCTCAAGAACGGTTTTGGAGCATTTTCCCCAGGGCTTTGGGGAAAAATTTGGGGCATTTCCCCCATGGCAGGGGGCTGGCTCCATCCCTGCAGCGGGGCGCAGCTCTCGGTTAGCCCACACTGTGGGGTTAGGGGTGCTCCAGGATCCAGCCCCGTCTGCATCCTGGCAGGAAAGGCAATGAGCACAAGCTGAAACAAAGGAAATTCCACTGAAAGGGAAGCACGAGGGGGAAAAAAATAAATCAAAACTCACCCTTTGTGTTCTCGCATCCCCAGGAGGGCTGCTGCAGCTGGGTGCTGGCAGAGGGCTGGGGCCAGAGGGGGCTGAAACCCCACACAGCGTTCTGGGGGTTTCCTCCAGCCCCAGCCCCCAGCTCCCCTCACAGCCCCTGGAGGTGGGGACCACCACACGTCCCCCCTGGGAAGCCACCCGAGGACCAAGGGGTTTGGATGCTGACGGGTAACAGAAGGCTCTCGTGTAACAAAGCGCCCGATTCGGGAGTAGTTAAAACGCCTCTTTATTAATATACAAACCCAGCAACGTTGAAGCCAACCAAAAAAAATTAAATGAAGTAAAGCACGATATAAATACAGCACACGAAATAACGCGGCCTCGGAGGCGAGCAGCGAGCTCACCCCTCTGTGTGCACTGGGGAACTGCCGCCCCTCACCCCACAGCTGGGCGCAGCCCTCAGAACCCCTCTGCCTCCCCCAAACCCCCCCGAGGCAGCCCCCGGGGGGATGTTTCACAAACCCCACGGCTGAAGGGACTGGGAAGCGTCACCACGCTGCCAGGATCCAGCCGCTGGTTGCCCTGCGATGGGCGCAGCGGTCGGGGAAACCTCACCTGGGCCGCCTCAGCCACGTCCATTGCACGACATTCGCAAGCATAAGGCACTAGAAAGGGTTTTTTCGGATAGAATGGGGACTCGAAGTGAACTTGCCTCGGGTTCTGGTGGCAGGAGGATTCAGGGCTTGCTGCTGTCCGTGCGAAGCGGAGCATCCGTCGGTGGTGGCCGCCGGGTAACCATGCTGCTGGCGGGCGCAGCCGGCGTCAAGCACGTGCGTGGGAGGGTCAGCTGTCACCAGCTCGGCCAAAGCAATAAATATGAGCGAGCACCATTCCCCAGAGCCTCTTCTGTTATAAATCACCGCTCCTCCTCACGGAGATGCCTCGCTCGGACCGGGCAGGGTGCCCAAACCGAGGCGACGCCAGCTCGGAAGCCATCCCGCCAGCAGCAGCGCAGCCCTGGGACGAGCAGGAGATGAGGAGTCGCGGCCATCTGAGCACAAACGAGGTCCCCAGCACTGAGAAACCCTCGAACCTGCTACAGCACGAGCAACATCCTGAATAAACCCACTTCTGGAGGAAGAGGAACAGGCGCCGAGGCTCTGCCAAGGCTCTCCCGGCCTGCCCCGTGCGCCCCGAGCACAGCAAGAAACGGAGCGGCACGCACGGGCAGTGCACAAACACCCAGCCAAAAAGCCTTAAGGCATTTACAAATCCGTAAAGGTTTGGTTTTTTTTCCCTCCCTCAAATGCACTCGCTGAGGGCTCTAAGCACGCTACAATCACAACGTTTAAGGAAAAGTGTAAAGTGCAAAGAAAATTCCCAACTGCTTTTCAGAGACAGCTTGGAGTCGTCTGGTGACATGAATCCCTTCTCCCCCACGCCCCGTTTCCTGCCTGCACATTCAAAACAACAGCAACAAAAAAAAAAGAAGCAACCAGCCCTAACAAACACTTACAGAAATGGTAGCTTAACACAAAAAAAGCATCCCGACGTGGGCAAAAAAAATAAAAAAATCAAGGCGATCAAGTATGACAATAAAAACATTTGGGAAGACAAATCCGAAGGTGAAGAAGTTTTTGCTGGACTCCACCAGCAGCAGCGTTCTGTTTGAAACAAGAAAGGCCTCTGCCCTTTCAAGCAATTTCTTTTCCAAACATGGAAAACTGCTTTTATTTTTTTGGACATTTCTTCTCAAAATGTAAACGTTTTGGTTAAAGCGTGCTGGAAGGCTACGGGCAGCCCCAGGTGAGCGCTGCACCAGCATGGTTAGCTGCTGCCTGCAGGAACACGCCGGGGAGAAACGAGAGTTTTGGGCAACCCCATACACGCTCCCCACCTCCTCCATCAGGGCACGGCTTCCTCCACCTGAAGGAGAAGCAGCGGGGAAAAAAGTCATGTTGGGAACCGTGCCTGGCTGCTTGGTTCTTAGCTAATGCTGCCCCAGCTCCGCCTGGAGCTTGCACTGCTCTAAACGGAGGATAGGATTTAAAAAATAGTGTTATTTTTCACCTCATCTGGCTCTCGGTCCAGCTTCCTGCACAATGAGCTCTCCAGGCCCCAAGGAGAGGCTTGCAGGGGACGGGGCTGTAGTCCCAGAGCGAAGGCAGCTGCAGGCAGAGCCACAAGCCCGCGGGAGGCAGGGCGGTGGCACCACCTCGAAGCTGCAGAGCTGAAATTGATGCAAAGAGACAGATCTGGAGCAAAGCTGGCTCAGGCGATGAGGCGCCGGGCAGGGCGAAGAGAGGAAGGCTGCGCACGAGAGGTCCCAGCACCCGCCAAGCTGGGGGTGTCAGGGGAACAGCAACGAGACCTGCGGCAGCTTGAATACAGCAGCGGGAAGGGGGAAGCCAAACCCATGCTTACAGCAAGACCTGGAGATGCAGGCACAAGGCCTCTGCTCCTCGCCACTAACAGAGGAGCAACAACTGCCCCAGCACGGCCCGTCAGATCCAGACACCGGTGTCAGCACGGAGCAGACGAGGAGGAATAAGCCCGGCAAAGACAGAGGTGAAAAATCACCACAGCACACACTCCTGGAACTGAAAATGTTTCCGAATGCGCAGCTTTGATTTTAACCTCAGGCCACCAAAGACAAACCATCGAGTCCTTCTCCTCTAACACCAGGTTTACTCCAGCGTTTCAGCACCCCCTCAGGGACTGAAAAATACGAGAGCTTAGGCAAGGACACAAGGGTGAGGCCACGTAGCACGCCTGGAGAAGTCATTGAGGGGAGCTGGAGCGGGCTGCCCACAAAGCGCTGCCTCTGGCGCCTGCTCCCCGCGCTCCTCGGCCAAGCGGCACCTTCCTGGCCTCCAGGGACACCCCACAGCAGGGTGGATGCACCACTGTCAGCAAACCCACGGAAATATGGCTTTTGCGGAAGAAAAAGCACACCTACAAGTGCCACGTGCACATTTAATGGTCGTCACTGATGAGTAACACGGTTATCCTAATGTGGGTTATGCTCCACCTCCGTATTTCAGCCAAAAAGATGAATTCCTTTCTCATAGCAAACTCCAGCCAACCTCCCTTCAAGCCTCAGTCTTGGCAAAGGTGCCTGGATGGAGGAAACCTGCAGGGCTGCTCACGCTGGGGAAGGGAGACTCGGAGACCAGACACTGCTGCGACCACCACACGCGGTGTGCGCCCCGTCCTGCTGCTGCTCCTCCTGCGCCAGAGGCACCTCGCTCAGCCCCAGCATCTGGCCCTGTCCTAAAAGCTGCCACCCAGCTGTCCCCTCGGCTGCCACCCGAGCTGAAGAAGACAGACGACTCGGGGTACGGCCAGAAATACCTGCCAGAAGTCGCAGACTAATCTCGAGCAGCAGCTGAAGCCTCCAGGTTCAGACACGGAAGAACCAGAACTCATCACAGGGAGAGCAGGAGCAGCTGCGAGCCGCAGGACTGCCAGCAGCCTCCAGCAGCAGGCTGACGCTGCAGAGCACTGCCTACCTCCTGCAAGATGCACGTTTATCCTTGTTCTCTGCTCCTGGTACTGATAGATCTAGACACAAAATAAACCCGAGCAGTCGTAACGGCAGAAGGAGCTCGCAAAACACAATTTTTGTTGTCAGGACTGCTGCGGGAAGAGAAAACCGTATCACAGGTTATCTGAGGAGTGAAGGGGAACCTATAAAATAGGGGAAAAAAAAACACGAAGAGGAATATAACCTGGCTGCAATTGAAGGGATGCTTCAGCACCGAGAGGACACACGCTGCTGACCTTTTGGTTTGCTCTGTACTAATTATAACTCGCCAGAGAGAGTGGTTTAGCTGAGAACTCTCCAGCAGCTGCTTTCAGTACTTCAGCCTGCCTCAGCTAGCACTTGGTGTCACTTGGTGTCCTCCCAGGGAAGCCTCTCATGTCCCTCCAGCGACAACACGTGGCACAGGCATCCTCCTCGAGAGCCCCAGTGCATGATTTTCAGGTAATGTGCCTGTAGGGTAGAGGTCCTCCTTGGTACGTGCATCCAGAACGGGCACAGTGGGATCACGACATCTCTCCATGCACAAAAGGACTGGGTGTTAGCCTGCTGATGTCTCGTCACCCTTTCATTCCATCCCTTTATCCTAATACACCAGGCACAACTTCAATTCGGAGAGCAGCACCCAGGGATTTGGGAAGCCTGGGGAATTTTTGCACGTCCATTTCAAGTTTAGTTTGAAATCCCTTAAAGAGGCCAGATGCTACAAAGGAATTCACCGTTTACAAAGGAGAGCACGCTCAAAGACGCAACATCTACGTCCAAGCTCCTAGCCCACTAGCTTGAATCCTTCCTCCTCCCTTCATCCTACGCCCTGCCCCGATTCTCCACCGCTGTTTCACAGGTTCTGCGTCTCCCTGAATGGGGGAACTTGCTCTGACAACTTGTTTTTAAGGTGTAAAGGTTTTTCCCTTCGCACTTCTTGCCTTAGGGCCATCCAGTTCCTTTTGTGCGCTGAGAACATCTCCATCACGAGCTGGCAGAGCAAAGACACGACCGAAAGCAACTAAAGCAGCAGAAAAACCCAAAGCAACAACTTGCAGAGGTTTCGAGCTCGTATTTACACTACTGATGCTCACCAGTTAAGCGAAAAAGAAAATGCCCCACGAGGTTCTGGATTACAAAGCGATCCCCATGCTGCCAGGGCTGGCCTCCGTGCAAGCTGTGATTAAACTCCCCAAGGACGCTGGCATCAGCAGCAGTGGGAAGACGATGATGAGTGTGTGGGTGCCAGAGGCAGGGAGAACACCCACCAGGTCTCCTTCCAGTAAACAGAGAACGTCTTCGGTTCTGATTGTGCTCACATTGGGAAGGGAAGGGCGTAAATCCGTGCGGTACAACTCAGCACTCCCCGTTTTCTTCAGCATCAGTGCTTGAATCGGAGCACGCCGACACCCCAAGAAGGGGGGAAGCCCCTGAACCACCTGAAGCAATTCGGAACCCAACTTCCACAGCCCCAAACTCCCTCTTTCATTCCCTTCAGGAGAGGTACTACAAAGAGAAGTGCAACAGATTTGAGGAGAGAACAGAAGACACCTTGCTGGAGTCCTGCAGGAGCTGCTGTCACCACCAGAATCCCCCGTGTTTCTCGGGGTCGTCCCAGCCCCACAGGTGAGATGAGCGCTGCGGGGTTTTCCTCTAGTTTTGGAACAACCGAAGTCAGCCAAAACCACAAGATATCATCCCCTCCTGCTGCTCAAGTTCCATAAACACACACAGGTTTTACATGAAACCCTGCCAGACAAGCCTGATGGAGCCACACACACACAAAGGAAAGTGAAGGAATATTCACAGAGACTGTACACTGTGCAGCTGAAACAGAAGCAGCATTTCAACAGTGCTATGAACATTGAACACTAACATCTGCCCTTGTTAGAAATCGGTATTTTTGCTAATAAAAAACCCAACCCCATTCCTTTACGGAAGTCAAACACACATGCTGCTCTTCGGCTATATTTATAGAAGGCCGTCTAGCTTCAGCGACCCCAGGCAAAAAAAAATCCAACGGGAACAACACCAAAAAACTTACCAGCACTACTGTCACCCCAGGGATCTGATGGTTAAGCCTACTCGACTCCCTGGTAGGGAAAAACGGTGGATAAATGGTGAACAAGCTGGGTGATAACCCAAACCTGTCCGCTCGCTGCTGCTCACGCGGCGCTTCGCCTTGTGCCAGTGAGGTAGCTGATCAGACTATTGCTGCGCGCACCAACGCACCGACCCCTCTACAAAGTGGTTTGTGGGGAGCAAGGGGAAGTCCCAGCCTTCAGCCGAGGGGCCAGAGAAGGGCTGCAGTCCGCAGGAGCTCTCCTGGACCCTTCCCGTGTTGGAAGTTCCTTCCCGTGAAGGAGTTCCCCTTCCCCCACCGTGGCGCGGGGGAGCCTGGCAAGCGAAGGGCTGAAGGAGGGAGACGGGCAGGGTTGAGAAAGCTCGAGAGTTAAAAGTTTTAAAATATACAAAATGTAACACGCTGGAAAAAAGTTTAAAAGTGGCAAGACGAGAAAGGAAGAGAAAGAAATACGCGGGGTGAGGAGAGAGGACTGGGAGATGGTGGCAGGAGACTCCAGCCTGGGAAGAGGAGCGGGGGTGTGCTCAGCTCTACTCCCTCTGGTAGCCGCTCAGTTCCACCTCGTCCTTGCGGCGCCGCTGCGTGAAGAGGGAGCTGAAGGGGTAGAGCTTGGCTTTGGCCTGGAAGCGCTGCCCAGCGATGTCGATCTCGTACTCGCCCTGGTTGATGAAGTCGGTCGTCACCACCAGCTCCTCGCCCGTCTTCTCGTCGAAGTGGTGCACGAAGCCCAGGCAGACGTGGCGCTCCAGCGTGTAGCTGTAGGCGCTGCTGGTGGTCTTGCCCACGTAGCGGCCGTTGCGGAAGATGGGCTCGCCCCACCAGGGCCAGAGGTCCATGTCCGTGTCGTGGTCCTCGAGGATGAACATGGTAAAGCGCTTGTACACGCCGTTCTGCTTCTGTTCCAGCAGCGCTTCCTGGCCGACGAACTGCATTCCCTGGGGAGGGAAGGAAGCAGCAGCTGATAAAGGAGCGCGGCAGCTGCTGAGCTTTAACAGACAAGCTTCCAGCACAAGGTCAAGGGGAGCTTGGAAGTCAGCAGGGCAGGCTGCTTCTGCGCACAGAAAGCCCAGCTCAGACACAAGTTTCTTGTAACATTCGTTGTTCCGGATGCTAAATGTATTAATGAATTCAAAATATTTGTGAAGCGGACCCTTAAATTCATTCTAGTTTTTACCACAGTGAAAACCACCGTAGTTTTCACTTGTTTGGTCCCAGAAGTCTAACACATTTCATAAACCAGAGAAAACATAGCCACATATCTAATTTTTGTCCCTCATCAGCGCATTTTCCTCTCTGACTTATCTCATACAAGCATTTGTTTTGGCTCGTACAAATACATAAGAAAGAAGGTAACAAGCAAGTGGCAGAGATGGCACCTGTCACCACAAACGAGCAGGATACAGCTCGTACAAATACAGTACAAATATACTGAAACAGAACAGCACGGAGAGCTCCTGTCCCTGTCTGTCCTCAAATGTTTTTAACTTCATTAAAAGCCAGCCTGCACACCAGGTGGCATTTGCTCCAGCAGACCGGGAAAGCAGCTGGGAAAAAGAAACCTGAGCACTGAGCACCTGTAAGGTACCCAGCACCCTGCCCTAAAGCAGGACACCACATAAATCGCTGGGAGTGCTGCCCAGGGAGGAGGGCAGAATATTTTTGGTATTTCTACCACAAATATTTCTTTACAAAGCACAAGGACACGGGTTATAGCTATGCACTCACAGCTCCATCAGAAGAGTGACACATCCATGGCAGCCTTTTCACCTCTCCGTTTTACCCCCTGCTGCAGGAGGTTTCAGCCTCCCACCGTACCTTATCCAGCTTGACCTGGAACTCGCGTCCACACTCCATAGGAGTGGTAAAGGCGTCCAGATCCTGGCCCCAGAACGCAAAGAACTTCTCGATGCGCAGGCTGCGGAGCGCGTAGTAACCGGCGTTGCGGATGCCGTACTTCTGGCCCATGTTCATCACCTCGTTGTACACGTGGAGGGCGTACTGCAAAGGGAGGGCGAGACACAGAGCTGCAGACAAACACCGGGAAAGAGTGACAGCATCTGACACACCAGCGCTGATGTTACTGTGCCCAGCCTCTGGCACATGAGGTCTGGCCAGCTGGAGCACTATGCAGAGCGGGGAAACTCCGCTGGTACAAAACAGACGCTTCGTGACCCTGAGTCAGCATGGAAAGTGTTCCTGATTATGCATGCAAGCAGCTGTTTTAATGAGCTGAGGCTATCACGTACTCTTACCTCTATGGGAATATAAAGCATGAATCCAGGTTCTCCTGTGTGAGTGATACTCATCACACGGATGCCGTTAGCGTAGCCCACGCTCATCTCCTGCAGAATCAGAGGGGGTGAAAACATCCAAACTGGAACACAGCACAGAGATCCAGGAGGAACACAGTAATACATAGTGCAATCCACACCGGTCAGCCCTCTTCCCCCTTCCTCAGGCAGTTCACCACCGGCACATGCTTCTGAAGAATTTAGTGTAAAAATCCAGACTGCAGTACCCCATTATCCAGGCTTCTCAATCACTTGGTGATAAGCCTTGAACTAGGTCAGGACAAAGGCTCGTGTTCTAAATACAAGACGGGAGCTGAACTGCAGCTACCTTCCCAGCCTTTCACCATGACAGGAGACAGACTCCAGAGACACTGATCCCAGCTGCCCCTCAGATTGATGCTTTCTTAACTGATTACGTCAAACATGCCAAGCCTACAGCAAGCAGAATACTGAAAATAGATTTGTATTTACCTATATATTCAGCAAGTAGAATCCAAAGAAAATAGGTAACAAAGTGAGCCTAACGAGTACATGACTAACCTAGCTCAGCTACTGCAGTGCATCTATACATAACTTCACCTCTAGCCACCCAAAACATCGTTCTTCCCCTTCTTCCACGCATGCTTCAAAAAACCTAGCAGAGCGAGGAGGAAGCACAGCCACTCACCTTGCAAAAGAGAGAGGGAAAGTGTTCTGGAGTTATGGGGGCATACGACAACTCTGACAAGACATCCACAGCACGGGGGCCTATCAGGTTCAGAGCTAAAGAGAGGAAGGTAACACCATTAGGATGAGACCAGAGAGGTCTTACCTGCTGTCTAACTTGCATATATGAATGAAATGATTTCTGTTTCTCTTTGGGAAGTAAGGAGCTGTGGAAAGTCTTAAAGTTCACTGAAAGAACAGGTTGTGTCATCAGGCTGTCTCCTGACAGTCCATGTGAAAGGAAAGCTGCCTCCCAGCTCCCGGCTTGCTAGAAGGCAGTCTGAATTGAGGCTTTCATGCAACTGTTTGGAAAAGAGACCCAGCCGCCACTCTGGAGAGCTTAAACAATTGATTGACACCATTTGTGACTTCAGGCTGTAGAACAAGGTCTGCTTTCAGTGATTTCCTACCTGTGTACTTCCAGGTCACATCTTCCATGGTCAGGTTGCTGTCGTTAGGCAAGCGGTTCTTCAGCCAGGCCCAGCAGTGGACTTGCTGGTCAGTGGGGGAAATCATGAAGAAGCTGGAAGACAAAAATCAAAACCAAGAAACAATGAAACTTGACAGCCACAGGATGATTCAGTTCATTCTTTGTCCGCAAACTACTGGAGCCATTCAGCAGCTTCCAAGATAACGCCAGACCAAAATAAGCCGGCTTACAAAAACCACGACTGATGTCTCTGGATCAACACTACCACATCTGTCAGGACAGGAAACCTCAGCCTGCAAGTAGCAGCCTGGGGACAAGAAGGCAGCAGAAGGACCAGAAGCAGAACGCGGGCAGCTCTGCACGAAGTTCACAAGGTAGCCCCAAAGTCGGAGTCGTTTTGCAGACGGTATTTACAGCTCTTTGAGACCAGTGATTCTGGCTACTCTTGACGGTCAGAAGAGTGCTTCATTCTCAAAGCCGTTTCTTGTTTCAGTCAAACTCTTTCCCTACACAATGGTGGTTATTATTACCAGTTTCCGAAAACAGAACTCCACTTGATATGTGAAAACAAGCTAGTCTCTTTCATGCTGACTGCGAGTTGAAGTACATTATTGACAGATAATATCTGCAGCAGTGATTAACAAGGAGGAAAGCTACCAGTTTCACACAGAGGCAGACAATGCTTTTAAACAACACATGAATGCAGATGGAAGAGAAAGAGAATGAAAAGCTGCTTCTAATTATAAGAGCAGCAGAGAAGAATGCTCTCACACCAATACAAGGACAGCATACATAGAAAATGGTCTAGGGAAATGAATCTAACACTTGGCCGGGACATACCCGTGAAATAGTTTTTAAACACGAGGGTTTTTTTCTAATTAAATGCCAAACAGAACCCAAGTTGCTTAGTCTAAGGATGAGATCCTGTGATCAAGTCAGTTTGCACCAGAGAGCATAAGAAAGAACCCCGGGTGAGCGCAGAGCTGAGAACTCAAGTAATGACACCACAAGGCAAGTTGAAACAGTGAAAAAGAAATGTTTCAGCATGGAACTCCAATGAAAAGACTGGTCCGGAGCCAGTGAGCAAACATGTTTAGTTTGCTCTTTTAATGAATACTTAAGCAATAAAGTAATGACCGGAACAAATTTGCCAAAAACAAATTTGTCTTTCAATTGAGAAACTCAACGTCTGAAGGCCAAACATTTTGTAGAAACCTGTACTTATTGATGTGGGGACTACAGATAAGTTCGGGAGCTCCCTCTCGTTTGAGCTACAGAATTAGGGATGAGTGTAGAGTGGAGACTTTTCTTTTTTCCTTACAGGGCGTGGGGGTGGAATTTATGATCTTCATTAAGAGGTTCTCAGAGGCTGCTGATAAAGATGCAGTCTGCATACCTACCTGCGTTTGCTCAGCCGTGCAATGCTGCAGTCATTCTCATAACCTCCTTTCTCATTGAGCATGCCGGTATGCACAACGTGCCCAACTGGCACATCCAGGTCGTTTGAGAAGAGGTATTGCAGACTCTCCAGCGCCTGGTCTCCCGTGGACTATGGGAATTGAAAGGGAGAGCAGGCAGATGAGCTGTCTGAGCAACACAAATTAACTGGGGCAGTTTAAGACTGCATCAACGTCCTGACCCAAATTCTTTCAATTCACATTGATAGGGACACAAATGTCTCAAGCTTAATAAGAGACAACGGTCACACAGTGCCGAAGGTCAAATCCTATTTACAGACTAAACTGGTATTTCTATGAAGTGGGCCCTCAACAGACAAAAGGCAATCTCAGCTAAATATTTGTTGCAGCCTGAATCTGGCCGTACAGCCTAATTTCTCTATCTATCCCTCTACAGGACTTGGAGGAGTTTGAATGCAGCCAACAGAAAATAAAGACCACCTCTGCAAGCTGACGCCTTGCCACCTCCTGGGTACTTACACTTATTTCAAACTTGGTGAAAGATGACATGTCAATGACACAAACTGCTTCCTTACAGCACTTGACTTCTGAACCCACAATATCAAACCAGTCCGGCTTGTAAAAGGTTTTGCTCTGATCCAAATCCAGCAGATCTAATGCAAAGGAAGAATCAAAGGGCAACTGATAAACCAAATGAACTACAATCTAATACATCAATCTGGATGCACTAGGCAGAATAAAATGCAATCTCACCCTTCCCAGGTGGGACAAAGTATTTGACTCTCTCAAACCCGTGCTTCTCCATCCACCTGGCCCCCTGGGCATCCAGACGGTCATAGAGCGGGGAGGTGCGCAGCTGTCTGCCGGTCTGGAAGTCCCAGCGGGGAACCTTCAGATCACACATGAGGGCTGCAGTGGTCACAGAGATACGTTATTAGGTTAAGTAGTGCTTTTTACCTAGGATTTTACTCCAGATTACAGATACGCATTCTTACTACACCCAAACCACCAATGAAATTCCCTCAACACAGTTCTGACTTCTCCATTTTTTGAAATCTGCAAATCTCTTTTGATCCATTTATAACTACACTAAATCAGAGCAACAATATTTGCACAGAACACTTACATTTGTAGATACTCGTGGTCTCATGACAATACTGTCAACATAACTTACCCAAACTCTCTATTTTCCATGCAGCCATGCTGACTAGCATTAATTATGCATGGTTTTTCCTGACAGCACACTGCATCAGACACTGATCATTTAGACAATACCAGTAGCGGGGTAGGGAGCCCACAGCCACAAGGATCATCCACCTCCTTAAACACTGGCAGCTCAGCTTTTTCTAATTACTGAAGCTCTTCCAAATGTCTCCTATACCTTTTCAGCCATTCCATAATATTCTAATTTAGAAAACAAGTTACCCTAATGAATGTTTAGCATTCTCCCTGGTTGCCAGCAGGGAGTAGAACTCAAGGATGCTTCTTTACAAACGTTAAGCTTAGGGCTTAACGTTAAACATAGGGCACAAATTACTTAAAACTGATGCTGAGATAGCCTAATATTTCTTACTGAACAATTCTGTTTGTCTTTGCCTCCTAACTAGTGATTTTATTGTCATTACCTGGTATTGGCACTACTGAAAGAGCGGGTAGAGGGAAGAATGGATTATAGTGGGAATGTAACACCAGAAAAAATGAATACAGTATTTATCTTGTAAAAATTAGACTGATTCCTTAGCTATCTAAACCTCTAGAATCAAGATCTACATTGGAAAGCCCCTCTGGAATAATGCCAAGAGTACAAACTGATTTTTCTGGGAAGAAAGGTCAAAGTGTAAGGTTTTTATTTCCTGGATATACCCAGAATCAAAGCTTTACCTAACTTCTCTGCTTTCACCTGAACACGTTTTTAGTTTAGACTTGGTGTTCAAGTAACTGCTTTTCTTTTGCAACTTACACTTCTATTTGAAACTTAAAAGAAAGAATTGTCCAAGTTATCTCAGGACAGATAATCAAACAACAGGAGGAAATTATACACGGCTTTACACAGGAACAATGGCATCTAAGATCTATTGTGCAAGGCATTCATCACCAACTCAGGCAGGAGAAAGCAGAATATGTTCTACCAAGACTTCTTGAATGGCATAAGATAACTAGATCACGTACTTGCTACATCAGAAGTGATGGCATTTTCACGCTATACTGATGTGCAAACAATAACAGTGTTTGATATAGTGTAGTATTTCTTGTTAAGATCTTGGTATTGTTTTATTAGGCTGGAGTCCTACACAGATACACACAAACCTCCTCCTTATGGGAACATAAATAAATAGGAAAGAGCACCCTACCAACAGCATCTCTTTCAGAAAAGCTGGCAGGAATAATGCTAACAAAGCAAGCAGCCTTTGCCTTCTCCTGGGAAGGAACAGCCTTGTCCCAGGGGAGGCCAGGAGAAGGACAATGTTTCTCAGGGTTGTGACAGTTGACAGAGAACAGACAGCACAGCAAAGAGCAAGTCTCGGACATCCTGGTGAGCACTGCAAGCAGAGACCTCACTTACGCATTACTTCCATCACACGATGCCGGAGGAAGGTGCGACTGCTCTGCAGAGTACCAAAGCGTTTCAAGTCCAGAGGCCAGACATTTTCTGACGGATAACCATTTACCATCCACTCTGCCAGGTACCTGATGGAAGCAGTAAAGAAAAACCAAGAAATCAGTCAGTGTCTTAAAGAGTTTAGCTCTGAAGTCATAAGCAAGGCAATTTGGACATGAGAACTTCTTGCAGCAGGGATAAAACAGAACTAACATGGTATTCTGAACACTAGCTGAATCTGGAAGGCTTTCCCATTATAAAACCCATCCAGCAGCTTTCCAAATTACTCATTTCCCATTAGGATAAAACGCACAGGGCAGCAGGACACATGGTCAACAAAGCCAGGGACTGGACAGGCAGCCTGGCTGACACTGTGTCAAGTCCTCAGGCTACCCCACACAAAGGAGCGCTGAGCACATTTAGGTTGGAGTTAGGAAGCTGACTGCTTTGTCGTTTTTCAGTACCTGGTGTAGGCTCAGCCACAAACCATCAGTGACAGCGTTCATTTCAGCACGAGGTACCAGCCAAGTTATGTTTAGCTACACTTCTAGCAGTGAAGGAGGAAGGCATGCTCCAGAGCTAAAGGACAAAGGCAGCTCAGACAAAAGCAGAGCAGAAGGATCTGTTCACAGTCAGTAAACAGAAAAACAAAGGGGTTTGAGACTGATCATTAAAAGTTACATTAGCAAGCTAAGCTGCTTATTTTGAGGCTGTAGCAACAAACAGTCAAATAACGTTTTACCCTCAGAAGTGATTTTGATCCTCAAATAACCTTACTGCAAAGATTCTCCGTATTTCCATATTATTTATGACAAAGAAAAATCACCATTTCCTTCTCTGCTGAGTTAAATTATTAGACAGACAGAAACTAATGGAAACAAGTGCAGATACTAACACTTGCCATGAAAAATGAGCAGCTTGCTAAGAAGGCTGTACAGCAGAAGGGATGCTGGGTTGCCAAAACCAAATGGCAATCAGAGAAAGCGATGATCATTTTGCAAGCAACTTTGCTGCTGGGATCACACTTACATGCCTGTCAAAGTATTTGCATTAACACAGGAATTGGAGTGTACTGGGAAGTGGCTACATCCCTAGCTCGCTGGCAGAGGACAGTATTTAACTGTATTGGCAGCACCTGGCATCACACACACGGTGCTTTATCTGCTTTAGATTCACTCTCTTTTAGAGAAATGAATTGTTGTGTCAACTTGAATGCTCTAAGGACTTCAGCCAAATAATAAATTAAAGGGATCGTGGAGCAGAGAAGATGAGGGACTGTGTGCTTTGCTAAGCTTTTCTCTCTTCCAGGCAGAAGAAAGTTTGGACCGGTTAGTCCTCAGGGAGCTCCCTCGATCCCCATCAGGCTGCTGGGGACTGAGATGTGCAGGGGAGGAGAAGAATCCAGCCCAGAGCTGGAGTACACACAGGACCGCTCTTCCCTGTGACTCAAGCTGGAGACAAAAGCGTCCTCTGTTGGTAGCAGAGGGGAGGTGACAAATACTGACCAGAACACTTCACACAGAAGACTCATCTGAGCAGTCTTTTTTCTCGGTTAAAACCTTACTTACACACCGAACGGTGATAAACCACTTACTTGCCTGCTCCCCCACCATAAGAGATACCAGCCGAGTTCATGCCAGCCAGGACGAAGTAGCCGCGCACCGTGGGCGACTCGCCCATGATACACCGCATGTCTGGCGTGAAGGACTCCGGGCAGTTCACGAGCTGCATGATCTGCAGGGCCTCCAAATCCGGCATCCTGCGCAGAAGGGAACTCAGGAGCGGCTCTGGGATGGAGACAAAAGACAAAAAGTCAAGGCTTTCAATCTCAAAGCACTTCAGCATCAAAGCAGAGAGTGTGCTGGTGTCTGAACAGAAGTGAACACATTCACTGGCTGAACAGTGTGCTGGCAGAACAGAAACCTCAAACTACTCGAAACGGATCACCATTTTTCACACAGCACACCATAAAAGCAGCCCCACTGATTCAGACCAGTGGTGAAGGTCTGAGTCTGCAGCTGATTCAGGCCAGTGACGCCTTCCCCAGCAGAAACGTGTTCAGCTTTGTTAGGGAAAGCAGCAAGGAATGGATACCTAGCGAGGAGTAAGAACAGACAAATCTTTATGACACTGGCCCCACACATCCTGCCAGCCTCTGCTTACCTTCAGCAGTTTTCCTAAACCCCAGGAGGTTTTCCCTAAATACTAAGTGGTATTTACCAAATACTAACTGGTATTTGCTAAACACAAAAATAATATTTAATAAATGCTAGCTGGTATTTACCAAATAAAAATAATATTTACTAACTGGTAAATAGTGTTTACTAAATGGCAACCCTTAGCGGATCTCTTTTCCAAGTACTCAACCAGTCTTCCCCAAAACTCCTCAGAACACCTTGCAAGGCTGCCAAGGAGATATCCACACATCCAGTACTTGTGGTGAGAGGAATCACTGAGATTGAAACTTAAACTTAATTAACTTTTTGATGGCCCCAAGCTGGCACAACAGAAGCAGCAGTGAACAGGAGATCCCCATCTAGAGTGGGATCTCACTCAACATTTCCTAGACCTCTGTTTACCTCCCTCCCTTTGGTCATCTCTTTTTTTTTTTTTTTTATCCCTGTCAGTCAGTCATCCCTCTCTTGGGAGCTGCTCCAAGCCCCGATCAGCTTCTAGCTGCTCTTTTCACCAGTAAGATGACACCCTCTGCAGAACACCTCTTATCTGGCACGCCAAGGATAGGGAGCTGCATGATGATTTTGTTTTCTGCTCCTTTCCTAATAACTCCTCTATTTTGCTTTGCCAGCTACTGAGCTGACACCTTCACAGAACTAAGAGAACCCCAAGGTCAGCTCAAAGCCCGTTGTTCTGTGTGGTGAAATGAATAGCACTCCCCAGCAGACACACCCTCACACACTTGCGTCACTTCACATTTATCCTCATTGAATTTCCTTGCCACTTTATTGCCCAGTCACGCTGGAAAGGTCCTTGGGCAATTCACAGCCTGATATTTGAGAGCTTTAATAAAAGGGTAAGCTGTCTACTTTGATCTTCTTGCCCAGGAGTTCCCTCTGCACCGTACCCTAGATTAAAGTCCCCAAAATTCAGCACTAGTTACATTCCTCAGTTTTACACACAGGCTCTGAAATATTCAGATTCCACGTCACCTAAGAAGTCACAAGCAGAAGCCTGCTGAACTGCTCTTTCTGATGCCTTGTAACTCCCCAGGGCCTGTTGTTACAGGCTTCTTTTTTCCTACTGATAAAAAGAGGGCTCAGTTCTAGACTTGTTCTTACATCCAGCCCAACATTTCTGCAACAGTACAGGCTATTTTAAACCCTAAAGGTGTTCCAATCAGAGAGATTAGAGCAGGAACACGTGAGCTCAGGAGCTGCAGCCCTAGAAGAGGATCAAATATTGGCTGAGTAAGCTCTGACTGCTCAGCTACTCTGCACGTTTGAAGTGATAAAAAGGTAACGCTGGAACTTAGCGTGCAGCTGCTTCCGAAACCTGGGCAGTTTGCAGGTGCCAGCAAGCAGGGCTTTGCCATTCCAGCAGGATCTGGAAGACCAAAGAGGAGGTGGGTGCAACGCGTGAGCAGCTCGTTAGGGAAGCTGCTTTTCAATCAAGTCCGCGGTCATCTGCAGGTCTAAAAAACTTCTGCTGTAAGCCAGCACAGAGCTGCAGCCCATCCTGCCTCCACCCCATCTGAATTGTTTATGAAACCCATATATCATCTCTCAGACACAAAAACTAAATTAGTTCAACCAGGGGAGCAGCTGGATGAACACGCTACCGCTGCAGAAAGACAGCAGGGAGTCTCACTGAGCCTGGAGACACAGGCAGAGATGTGTGTGTTCACGGAGGAAGCAAAGAGCTCTGACGCAGGGCAGAACTGGTTCCCTCAAATAAAAGGGGAATTGAAGGCACACAAAACTTACGAGGCACGTGAGAGGGGAAAAACAGGACCTGGAGACCATGCTATATTCTTTCCTACAGAAAGATCCCTCCATATAAAAAGATTTATGCAGAATATCAAACCAGAAACAAATAATATGGGAAGAGAAAAAAACATTTGGAAAGGACCAAGCCACCACACTGCTGGTGGTGGGATGGATGGAGTCTGGGAAGCAGCACCAGCGAGTTCTGCTCGCGATTTCCTCCACTGGAAATGCACTTGGCAGGCAGTGCTGAAAAGGAGCCGCAGAAACGAAATGCCACAGCTGCATGGCGGGTCAGGAGTGCTGATCTACAGTCACAAGAGGAGCAGCACGTGGTGCTGACAGCCCGAAATCAAACACAGGGGGAGAAGAGCGTTGGAAAGTTCATGCAGTACGCCACTGCACTAGAGGAAATAAATACAAGCTAAAGGTTAGCGGGTGTTTTTAAACACTGCAAAGATGTTGACGTAGTCCTTGGTTGAGTGGTTTCATGCAAATTACTGACAAATGAAGAAATTAATGAATTTGAGAGAACGTTCATCCTTCTCACACCTGTCAGAGGCAGAGAGACGCTAGCTGGTTTCTAACAGCCTGTCTCATTGCTAACTGCCTTCTGCTGAAGCCACGTGCTTTATTGCTGTGGGCATCTCCCCACGGACATACCAAAATGATCCCAGTCTTCCTGGAGGTTCTGAATCTCCAGCTGGTTCCGTCCCTCCGTGAAAAGAGGCTTGGGGTTTTTCTCAAAGCCTCCCGAGAGGATGCCGCCCTGCCAGTTGCGGATGTAGATCCTGCCATCGGGGTCTACGATAGCTGCAGAGGAAAGAAAAGAGGTGGGAAGGGAGGTGAGAAGGGGCAGCGACCTCCGGCCATCTCACAGGCATCCAGTGACAGGCTCTGCTGCCAAGCTAGCAGCCCACAGCCAGGACCATTTCAGTCCCCCCAGCCCACACCTTTACGCTGTTTCTGGTCCTCACTTGGCCCCCTAGGGTGCTGGTTTAGATGCCTAAACCAGCATCGATTCCCATCTCAGCCACACAGGTTAACTTCTGAGCAGCAAGAGAAACTGAGGAGAATCTAAAGGGCACCATAGCCAGCAGGACAGCAGCACCGGGAGCAGGACACAAGGATTTGCATCCCTTGTGGCACCAGCAGGCTGTTACGCTGGCTTAAATCCACTGGGAGTGCACCCAGGACCAGACCAAGAGACGTCCTGCCCTCCCCATCTTTCCCTTCATGTATTAAAACAATTCAAATTAACGGGGGTGGGTCACTGAATCAGTCTGCTGCAGGCCACCAGCACAAAGACTGCAGGCAGCAATGGGGTGAGGGCAAGCAGTCAGGTCAGGATTGCCTATTCCAGTGGCAGTGTCAACTTGAGGCACTGCACCCGACATGTTTCAGAGTATTTTTTTCCCCATGTACAGAAGAGCTGTGAAGATATATACATTTAAATTGCTCTAGGAAAGTAAAAGTGAAGCAGAGAATCCAGTGAGAGAGCTGCATTCCTTGGAGAACATATATATGACTCCCTAGGAGCAGAAACTCTTACTAGAGACAGAATAAATAAGCAAAGCTTCCTACTTCCCCACCACAGATTTCAAACAGAAGGGCTTTTATTGAAGAGATCCAAAAGCCAGAACATGGGGGAGGAGCAATTACCTCAAGTGCTTGGGTTGCCCCTACAGCTCATAGACATGTAAATGCCATTGTAAAGCCTTAGCTTCAGTTGGAGGAAAGGAATAGATGGGCCATTTGGGGACAGCAGCCTGCAAGGAAAACACAGTGCCAAGGCTAGCACCCTCTCCAGCCCACAGACAACAATCCGAGTCTCAGGCACAGCAGCTAGCCAAGCTAGAGCCAAGGTCGTTCACCTGCTCTGCTGACAAGCTCTGGAAATCAATTCCTGCAGCAAAAGCTTTCCCAACAGTAAGGAAACAGATACCACTGAAAGAGGATATTCAAAGCAATTCAGCTAGAACACACTTCACAATTGCAATCGAGCTGAGAAGTGATAGTCCTTCGTCGGCTGTTTTGTCATAACACAAGTCACCTTGGAAAGGAGGATATAATTCATCGAGGAAAGTGGAAAAAAAGCTGAAGAACCCTTACTTGGTACACTGCTTGCCAGAGGTTCCTTCAAAGGATGTGTCAGGAGGTAGAAGTGCTCGCAGGCATGGAGCGGGATGTTGACTGGTTCGTCCCCAGAGTGGCCCAACTCGTAGGCCCACTGAAATTACAAAACAAAACCAGGATGTAAAAGAATAAAACTAACTCCAATGAGAAAGGCAGGAGAAAAGCATGCAAACCGATCATCTCTGTGGGTCTGCTTTCAAAAAGGCCAAATAAGATGTGGCTCAGCGCCCTAAACCTTAAACAAAGACATTTGTTTTCTGCTTTCCTTAGAATTTGAGCTATCTGGGGCAAAGACTGTTTTTGTGTTCCCCATGTAACTGTCTAGAAAAGCAGAACCCTGGCTCCAGCCTAGGAAGCATCAACATAAAACAGGAAAGAAAAATAAGATTCATGTGCCACAGCCAAGGTGCCTGTGGTGCTGCCAGGGCCCCACAGGAACGAGAGCACCAGCTGCACACTGAGCAACAGCGGCTGTCAGGTGTCTGCATGGTGGAGAAGCAATGATAAAAAGAAAAAAAAAAACAGAAAGTGACTTTTTTGTGTGTGACAGGAGGGTGAGCCCACCATGAGACCCCACGCAAGCTGCAGGGCTCCCCCAGCCTTTGTGCCGAGCACACAGCCACCTCCGCTGTCCTCCCTCAGGGCCCTGCTGCTCTGACTTGGAGCTACTCCAGTAAACCAAGCCAAAGCATGAACCATAATAAAGCCAAATAAAATGAAAATGAAGAAAAGAGCACGTGTTCATTCATTTTTCTAATAAAGAAAATGTTTTTAGAATCCTATACCCAAGCAGCTGTAACTCCACAATTTAGAGCAGAGGTTTTTCAGAGATGAAGAGAGACAACACTAAAAAAGGGGGACCGCAAGAGTTTCTTTAGCATACAACATGCAAGAAGTCAGGTGGGGGACAACTATTATCCTGTTCTGGCAGTCTGATCTAAAACAACAACATTCTTTGGGACAAACTGTTGTGGACTGGCAAGAGGCTTGCCTAGTCTGGCAGAAAGAAAGCACCTCTCTTTTTCTCATTTTTCTTTCTGGAATTCCCTTAAAGATTTCCTTTAACAGCACAGCTGCATCATAACCAAAGGGAAAAAGAAAGACAGGTTTGAATAATCCTACCTGGCCAGCACAGTTGACGAAGTACTGGCACTGAATCTTCCCTCGGTCGGTCTCAACTCCAGTCACACGGCCCTTCTGGATCAAGACGTGACTGACGCTCGTCCGTTCGTGGATCTGGACGCCTGAAGAGGACAAAGTCAGTGCAAAACAAGCCTTCGTTCTACAGCTACTCACATCAAACCCTTAAGCTCAACTTAAAAGCTAATTTTCTCATAAAGACAAAAGTTTCTACGTTTTGTGCAACCATTCTTAAGGGAAATCCTGTAAAACAGCATGCATACAACTTCTTCATTATGTAAGTGATAAGTTTAAGAAGAATCACAGTATTTTTCCCCACTTCTGGATGGCAGATAGACCCCAGAATCAATGACATGGGGAAAAAAAAAGTAAACCACAGATTTCTTTCAATACAATGCCTTTACATGATCAAGTCTGTTGTTGTGGATTGCAAGACTGCTTCTTCCATGGGAAATCAGTTATTTTGTGAAAAACTAAATTAGCAGTAAGCAAAATAAAGCTGCACAAAAAGAAACTAAAAGCGGTATCTTCCTCAATAGCTTCTTCCAGCCTGATGAACTTTTATCCTTCGTGTGCCTCACCTCCGTTATCAAAGTAATTTCTGCCCCACTTTTAGACCGCTCCAGTCTGCCAAAGGGCTACACGAACAGCATTTACTACTTCACTTCCAAAGCATGTATGTCTAATGAAGTATTCCACAAGGAGCCAGTCAGATCTTTTCACTTCAGAATCAATTAAAACTCTTTTGATGTGTGATTTTGAGCCAGGTCCTATGAAGGACTGTATTTCTGATGAAGCAGTGTGGGCTTATTCAGAGAAATATGTAACTAGCAAGTACGACAAACTGGTGCTTGATCCATCACATCAGTTCCCTAAAGATTCAGTATGTGAAAAAAAAATAAATCAGCCTGACTATTGAGACAAAAGGGATTTCAAAGAATACAAACCATGTAGAAACAACCAACTTTTGGCCTTCAGCGCTTAGCTAAGATCCCCAAACAGATGCAAACCATCACTTCCTTTACTGGGAAGAAGGTAACTATCAGGCAGGAGAGCACCAGGAGACAAAAATCTCGTACCATTCCGTGAGGCAGCAGTCGCCAGAGCCAGACTGACGTTGGCAGAGGACACGAGTGCATCTTCTGGCACATACATGGCCCCCACAAGGTCGTGGATGTTGATAAGCGGGTGAAGCTGCGCCACTTGCTTCGGGGTGATAATTTCACACGGGATCCCCATTACACTGCCACAGAACACAAAGAAAACATCGTTAGCCTTGCAGGAGAGCTGATGCAAATTTAAAATCGGTTTTATTTCCTGCTTATACGTACTTCAGCGATGAAGCAATGCGTTTCAGAGAGATTAGTCGGTCCTGAGTCTGAGCCAGTGATATAGAGCCTGTCTTCATGTACCCTATGACAATCACCAAAGTCAAGTCAGATTTGGACAGGAGCTTGAATTCCTTTTAATTTCAGACCCGTTGCTTTAATTAATCGCAGACCCGGTGCTTCCACTACTCAAGAGCCAGGAAACCCCAGATCCCCACGTAACTTTAAACATTTATCAGCCAGTAATCAAAAATTGTATTAGTCAACTTTTCCAAAGAGCACTTCAGTTCTGACTTGGGCCCTAACTCTCCTTCGCACTGCGTTTACTTGTGCTTATAAAACAGAGCCTACACATGGTATCTATTAAAAGAGAGAGAAGTTACTGGCAAAAAGGTGAAAATGAGATCGAATACACAGAAAAATAAAACCTCAACAACTAAAGGACGACATTTTGTGACTCTACCACCTGTAAAAGTTTAATAGTAACCTTAATGACATGCACATTTATTAATCCCTGTTGAGTTTGATGTGTATCACAAGTCTTTGCCAGCAGCAAACTTTCCGTGCTCAAGTTCTTCATCCCAGGCACATGCCTGAGCGTTTCGGAGGGAGAGGGGGAATTTCAACACAGTATTTCCAGGGAGAGACTAGAGTAAAATACCTTGCTTTGCCTGGGCTTTAGAGCTGCTGTGAAGCTTTTTGTATTTCTGATAAGCGAAACAGTGCAGAAAATGGGTCCTTGCTCTCGTCTCTTTTTAGTGCCCTTGTGAACAAAAATCCCCTATGTTTGTCCAAGCTACAGACGGCACCTCGCAGGCAGGTCTGAGCACCTGACACCCTTCCTCCCAACCCTCCAGTCAGATCACTGATGCTCTTTTGCATCTGATTCAGTCCAAATTAATTATTTTGTTTTGAGCAGGAACCACCAGCGCTCGAGACACTTTCTTCAGGGCCAGCACTTTGACCCGCCCTCCCAAAGGTTACCCGGTGCTCACCCCCCAGTACCTGTCTGCACGCCCGTCTCTTGCTCCAGCTGCTGGTACAGCTTGTTGGAGTAGTCTGCCATCTTCAGCTCGATGGACACGTGCCTGGCTGTGCTCACGATGCCAGCACAGAAGCGGGTGGTACCAGCAGCCAGCCTGCAAGATAAGTTTAAAGAAAGCCTCAGGCAGCTGACGGGCAGGGAAGCCAGCACAGCCCCCCAGGAGGCTGCCCCAGAGGTTCCTGATGGCACAAAACTCCCACCCGCTGCCCTCCGCACCCACCAGACCACGACTTTGTTCAGCTGGCAAGCTAAATACCACCACAGTCAACTTGAAAATCAGTTGTGCCCCTCAGGAGAAGCCTGCTGCACGTGAGAAGCCCCAAAGCCGTACGGTGGCTGATGCAGGGGTAACACAACAGCAGGGATGCTTCTGCTTTACCTCGCTTTTGGAAAAACCTTCTGTTCCAAACCCACTTCTCTCTAACTTTTCCTAACCACTCGCATCTTTGAAAGAAAGCATCTTTGAAAGAAAGCACTTAAAAAAATATTAGCTGATGGGCAAGCCAAGCTGCCTACCTGATCGCTTCCTTCTCCAAAGCCAGGTTTCCCTCAGAGCAAAATTAACTTGGATTCCTTTGAGCCCTGCATCTCTGCAGCTTGCACCGAGTCCCTCTTAGCGTGCAGCAGCTACGTAGATGCACATTTCTTCCCCTTTTTAATCTGCCCTTCAGGCACTGCCCACCTAGCTTCCTGGGGAAGCACTTCCACAGCGAGCCCTATAAAAAGCTCAGCAGCAGGGTTAAATTTAAGCATTTCTCTCCCACTGCTTCCACGCCACTCGTGGCCACCTTCCCTGCTGCTCAAGCCACCCCGCGCTGCTCCACGCGCTGACCTCTGGCCTCGCAGCACGCCCTCAGGAAACTCAACACGAGCACCAGCTGCGTAAGGCATTCCCCTTGCTACACCCCTACAGCCGCAGCCAAAACTGCTGCAGCGGGGCTTTAAGCGGGCTCGCCACAATCCTAAACCGCTCCTGGGAACGCAGCGGTGTTTTTCTGCGGGCACACGTGTGTGGATTGAGCTCGGAAACCTCCGAGGGAGAATTCCCTCTGCTGGCAGCTGCCAAGAGCCTGACGCTTCCCAGCCAGGCGACGCCAAGCAGCCGGAGCTCCCTGCTCCTGGAGCTCTGAGCTTCCAGCCCCACTGCGTGGTGCCCAAGGCCCCAAAATGCTTAATGAAGGCACCAAAAAAAGCACTTCCAAACCAAAAACCCGACCAGGCACGGGCTGGGCAGTCAGCTCCCAACAAGAGCGACGTGCTCTGCCATCTCTCCAAGCCACGCTGTGTTTCACATCATTACCTGCGAGTAGAGCACCGACAGATGTGGCTGGAGCTGCTGCCTCTTGGGCCACCCCTACCAGCAGCTGTCCTGACCTCTGGGGCTCAGATCTGCACGGATGGGTGCAAGGTAAATCAAAACCCCCTTCAAATACACACACGTACAAAAAACCACGAGCACCTTCGTTGACTACACTGTTTCCCATGCCTACACGCAAGTAACTTCAACATTCATGGCTGGGAGTCTGCAGAGAGAGGTTTAGGTGAAGAAAATATCCCCTGCTTCTCTGCCTAGGGGTCAGCTGAGAACTTGGTGGCACTGTAACGGTGGCCGAGCACAAGCTTAGTGGGAGAAACAAAACCAAGAACGTTCAGATTTCACATCCGTAGTTTGTGACCTCTTGTCTTGCACGAAGGCTTTGTCTTTGCACTGTGCATTATCAAAACACCCCAAAACATCAGGGTTTGGTAGCAGGGGTGGCCCCTGTGAGAAGAAGTCGGGGCTGTCCCATGCCAGACACAGCCACTTCCAGCCAGCCCCCACAGAGACACCCCACAGGGCACCGCCGGGCTCTCAGCAGCACCTCTAGGAACGCAACTCATGGGCAACAAACACAAGAGAGATGGAGGAGGAGCAAAAAGTAAACAAGGAAGAGACGAGGAAACCCCAAGGACAGGGAGAAGGAGGAGGTCCAGCTGCTGGAGCAGGCATTTGCTGCAGCCTGAGGAAGGCCCCACGACAGAGCAGACGGATGCCTACAGAGGAACTGCAGCCCCTGGACAGCTGGAGCAGCTTTCCCTGAAGGGCTGCAGCCCGGGGCAGAGCCTGCAGGGGACCGGGAGGAACCAGGGCAAAAGCAGGAGAGGGAGAAGCCCCCACGAACCCCCCTGTGAGGAAGGAAGGGGGCAGAAGGCTGTGCAGGGCAGGAACAAAGCTGAGGACAGGCCAGAAGAAAAGGAGAGCTGTTCTTCTAACATTTCTGCTTCTCCCTACGTGGCTATATTTTGATTGCCAACACACCAATTAATTTGCCCTGCGTTTCTCTATTCCACCCCGGGCAGTGCGGGGCTGCCCATGGCCCTGTGCTGTGAAGCAGCACCAAGCAGTCATGGTCTGTCCAAACCCACCACGGCTGCGGCACTCAGCAAAGCGGCAGAAATGACAGAAACAAACACGGAAACGCCAGAAAATGATACAGAAATGGTAAAAACACGCAGAGAAACGCCTCCAGGCCCGCCCCGCTGCAGCCCGCAGCCCCTACCTGCCCTGCTCCAGCAGCACCACGTCCCTCCAGCCCAGCTTGGCGAGGTGGTAGGCCACCGAGGCGCCCACCACGCCGCCCCCGCACACCACCACCCGCGCCTGGCCCGGCAGCGGGGCCGGCGGCGGCGCCTCAGGAGGCCGCTGAGGTGCTCCGCGGGCAGCGGGCGGCCCCGCTCCAGCGGGGGGCGGCCGGGCGCCACCGCACGTCGGACAGCAGCCGCAGGAACATGGCAGCGGCGGCGGGGGAGGCCGGGGAAGGGGCGGGAGGGGAGCGGGGAGCGGGGGGGGCGGCACCGGGCCCCGCGGCCCCTCACGGCCCCGCAGCGGGCGGCGGAGGCGCCGCTGACCTTCCGCGCTTTACGGCAGGCGGCCGCCGCGCTTTACGGCAGGCGGGACGCGGCGCGACAGGCGGCCGGGGTCGTGAGGCACGGCCGGCGCGGGGCGAAGGGGGCGTGGCTAATCGCACTTGACCCCGCCCCTTATTTGCATAACACCGCCCACATTCATATTAGTTTCTCGCCCCTTATTTGCATAACCCCGCCCACCGGCCGCATGACCACGCCCCCTAACTGTATGACCCCCTCCCCCTTCCACATGGCCCCGCCCCCCTCCCTTCCCGCCCCTCTCTTCCCGCCCTCCCCCTCCTGACAGGAATTTTACCTCAGGGTCCCCCCCAATGGTGCGTGAGGGGGGCAGCTCGCTCTTTTCTGAGCTGTTCTGCAAAAATAGTGGAAAACGGCTCTTTTTTCTCTCCAGTTTTACCTCACAGCCTGAGGGGTTCACCCCTTCTCCCCTCAAAAAATGTGTCCTCACAGCGTCCCACCCTCAGGGGAAATTAGGGCATGAAAACAAGGCAAAGGCTGATATTTAGGTTTTTTACACCACATAGATCCAGGCACCCAAGGGTGTACAGAGGCTTTACCCAAACCCCATGAGCTCAATGAGCACATTCAGTTCCCGTATAACGCGCCCCAACAGCGCCGACTCAAAAAAATGTGAACACAACAAGTAAAAACCTGCAGACTCTTTTTATTAAATTCTCCCATTTCATCTGTACAGAAAAAATGCACATTATGTTCAGAATCTCAGTAACATCTCAAAATTACACAGCATGAACATGTAAAAAAAAAAAAAAACAAGGAACGGCCAGGATTTTATACACAGAAAGGAAAACAATTTACAAAAAAAAAAAGTCTTGTTAATGTCACATTTTTTTAAAAAAAAGAAACAAAACCTAAGTTCAAACAGCTTTTGCTGTACAATATGAATTCGTTGGGTCTGTTTTGTACACTATTCGGGGAGGCTTGCAGTATCCCTACACACTACCCGGAGCTCACTACGTGCGCCTGCGTGATCCCCTCTTACCCTCCCCTACCAACACCTCTAATTTCTCTTTTTTTTTTTTTTTTCCAGTCCAACACAAACATTAGTCACAGTTTCTGATCACGTCCATTCAGCACAAGTGTCAACGCATAATCTACGGGCGAAAGTCACACCTTTCCCTTTTCCTCTATTTTTAGTATTTCCCAAGCCGACAGCTACACAAGCACTTCTATTTAGTAAATATACCGGGGACGGGGGGGGGGGGATGTGGTGGGATTTCTGGGTGTAACGATCCACCCAGGAAGTAGCTTTTGCTCTTGATCAGCTACGATATTAAATTCAGATGTTCTGGAAAGAGAGAACAGCGAGCTGCTTCTCCCCAGGATGTGGCAATGGATTATATTATTATTCCTCCCTGTCCCACACAGGCAAGTCTGCAGGTAGCATTCAGGAACCGTTGGGTGGATACGAAGCAGAATCCTAACAGTATAGGATAAAAACAGCTGTACCAATCTAATTCTTGTTTTTGTGTGAGAACTGGGTCCCCTCACACAGTAACTCACTAACGGAGGCGAGCCTGCGGTTTTGGCCCCCGAGGGGAAGGACTGCACAAAGATCAGTACCTGGCAGCTGCTTTTAAGGTTTAAAAGCCCATGCTCAGTAGCGTGTTTTCACACAAACCACCTCTAAAGCTGTTTTGAGTCCGCAGAACGGTATTTTCATAGGGGCAGAAGTGCTCGATGAAATGTCCTGATTCCACACCACGCTCATGCACTCGCGCACACACACCTCAAAACTACCGTTTTTAAACAAAGCTGACAAAGTTAACAAAAAAAAAAAAGTACTACAATCTTCTTGCAACTAAATAATAAAGTTGTGTTTTAACAGAAGTCACCATCCAACTTGAACACACTTCCTCTACAATGTTATCAGATTCAAGTGATCTCTGGCTTATCACATCGCTTCCCCACGGTACCCCCCACGATAAGTTCCCATACTGCTGCATCCTTCGTTCCTCTCCCTTATTTTCATACGATGAGCTTACTGTGGATTCTTTCAGAGCAAGCTTGACTGTATTTGCATGGATCTTTACATGCCAGAATCTGGGTGAAATGCTTACATTTTATTACGGGATTATTTGAGCTCCATCAGGGCTTTTTCAACCCTCTTCAGTGAGGCAGACACAGCTGACGTTACTTCAAGTGCCAGGAATTTTGTTCCTACCCACATCAGTTCCTACAACAGCCTGAACGACAGAAGCAAGGCAGGAGAATCCAATGTTGAAACGAAGCAAAAGGACTTGATTAGACCCACTAGATAACAATAAATAAGATTATTTCTTAAGGTCAATGAGAATGCACACCAACAGGCTAGCTGGAGCACAACAACGAGGTGCACGTTGTGCACAGCCCTCCCTACCCACGTCATTTAAACCCATGCCACCACTCAGAAACACAGCTGAGCCCTCACCTCAGGAGGAAAACTGCCCCTAGCAGCAGCTCTCATCTCAACCAGGAGAAGGAGAAGAGACTCACGTGGCTGCACTGAATCCTGCACCGAGCAGTGAGGGTCAGAGAGAGGAAAGGGCACCCCGAGTCCTACCACACCACCACTTGTGGCTGATCACAGTTATTTCTAGTACTTTCCATGGAATCACTAAGTAAAAAGGCTTCCTTAAAAGTCAAGGCAACAGCACAGGTTCATACAGCCATTGATTTCCCTTCCCACAGGGGAAAAATGTTACCTGCAGGCAAGATGTGCTGGCAACAGCACCAGCAGGTTATTTTTGGAAGAGTACTTGTGTGGGTTTCTGTGCTTTCTGAGACCTCTGGATTTTTAGGCATACACATGAATAGGAGGAGAACATTTCCAGATAGGGATTGGTAAATTTCTAGTCAAAGAAAAAAAAAGGAAAAAAAAAAAGCAAATTTGGTCATTAGCAGTGTTAGGAGGCCTGATTTTGAAACATGGGGTATAATGCTTACAGATAAAATGGCTTAGATCATCTGACAGTGTTACACTATAAAAGGCGGGTCTTCACCCTAACAGCAAGGAAGGACGTCTGAGGGAATCGAGCAGAAATTCACTCAATATCCCACCTGTGCTCCACAGGGGCTCCTGGCACCTCCGCTCGCACTGAACCACGTTCCCTGGAGAGACTCTGCAAGAAACGCCGCCGACTGCAGACCCCTCACATGGCACCGCAGGTACCTGCACGGGCTTGGGGCTCGCTCCGCCACGGGGACACTTTGCTAAACCATCCCTTCAGCAGATGCTCAGCTCAGGTGAAGGTCCCAGCAGCACGCCACCCAGCAGGAACCGTGCCTGCAGGCAGCCAGGCAAAACGCTGCTCCAAAGAGCAGGGGGCACACCGTGGGTGCACTGGCTATGACTAGGCACACATTTCAGGGAAAAGCATCTATTCTAAACCATTTAGGACAGCTCTCTAACAGAGCTGTCTGTTCTAATGATTCTCAAGTGTCACAACAAAACACGTCAGCACAGTCTCCAAAGCCTGCAAGAATAGAGGAAGCTTGGTTCTTGTACCTTAACCTTCTCCAAATTAAAAAGAAAGCAAACAAAAACCAGAAAGCCAGAAAGTAAAGAAGTTACCTTCAGAGCAAAACATGATTTACATTCAGAGCTACAGCTACAAACCTACAATTTTCACTGCAATGCCATTTGGAATTTAGTGGAAGATGCTACTTTTAGACAATAAACCATCTTAATTAGGTATTTCATCAAGCTAACCAGGTTACAAAATGCCTTTTCAGAAGTTATTTAGAAGCTTCAGGAGGTTAAAAATCCTCTGATAGGAATTATTTCTGACAGACATTCAAGAAGCAGGGCTTGTACCACGCGAGCAAGACTGCACAAAGATTCCACTTCCCTTCCAGGTAGCTCTGCGAACACACCTCGACAGCAGACATTTCAGCACTTGGACTGTCACACCAAACAAACCACTTTTATAACTGCCAAACCATCATTTGTGGTGTTACACAGCCAGTGCTACCTCGAGAGATGTGACCAAATGTCCCTTTGCTGTTCCAGTTCACCTTTACAGAGGGCCAGCTAAGGTCTACTAGCACCAGGGAACAGGGGTGAGAAAAAAATCAGGTTTCACTTCTGTTCTACCTAAGAACTTCACTGGAATCTATCACGTACACATTCTCTGCTCAGACTTTCTCTACTGCTTGCTTTATGCTCACACTACTTGGAGACAGAAGGGCTCGTGAAAAATTTGCTAGCATAGCAAGTCTAAGAGCGCATCGCTAACAGTTTGCTGTCCATCCTCGGAGTGGGATGAAGGGGCGTTGCGAAAAGCTTCTTTGTACACCTTTTCTAGCACTTCTCAGAGGCAGCAAAAGCCATCACAGTATTTTGTATGCGCCATTCTGTACATGCAGCATCAAGAGAATCAGCTGGTCCACATTCCAGAAGGTCTCAATACCGTCTCCCTGTTCTTCTAGAGACCACTACAGAGAACTGGGAACGTCAGATCTTACCTAGCAGGGCACTAAGTGGGAAAATAAAGTCGTGGTTCAAGCATCAGCCCAAGCTGGACAGGTTCAGGCTCATGATTGTTTTTGCAGCACGCACAGGGGAGCACATCGAAGGGGCTAGTAACGTCCATCCTGCTGTACAGGCTGACTTCGTGAGGTCACCTCTGGGTTTCACCAACATATTCAATCCGATCTCCTTGGGTTTTGGCCACTGCACGTGGCTTCTGACCTCCACTCCTCCTCGTGCTCGAGGAAGAAGGATGACGGCAGTGGGCCACAACTACAGGTGCAGCATTCACAAGATACCTGGGCACTCAGGTGTGAGCATCAGGTTCTGGAAGCATAACTATAGAGCTGAAGTGTGCACGCTGATGTTAACTAACAAATGTGCCATTTCCCTTATGGATCCAGACATTTCTGCCTTTCACACAGTACCCATCACCTTCCCATCCTCTCCTGCGTAGCCTTTTGGACCAGCACCCACATCCTACATCCCAGGAAACACCAGCCACTATCCTTATCAATTGTAGTTGTGGAAAACCTAAAAACACTCTTCAGTGCTACAATACAAACGATCAAGACCCTGGACAGGTCAGCTGCAAACCCCTGCACTAGCCCACGAGGAGCTGTTTCACTGGGTACGTCGAGTGATCAGTCGCATCACTGACAAAGCACTGTCCTGCCAGGGTGTCGGTACCGCCGGAGAGAGTTAATTCAGAAGGGGAACAGCTTAGCAGCAGCAAGGTAAAATAAAAGGAGTGTTAACATTTTACTTCATCATCACTAATACCAAGGTTGGCCGAGTTAACTGATCCGGGCACTCGATGCCCTCTGACAGCAGCACTGCACGCTACCGACAGGCTCTACGTGCCTCGTGTCTACACCGTGCCTTTGATCTACCGAAATACAAGTTGTACAGCTCACGTGAGGATTTGATCCTGGTCAGTATTTTATTCTATCTTGCGAGCGGCAGAGGAAGAAAAGGGAGGACATCTTTTCAGCCAAAAAAATCCACAGTAACAAAAGCAGAATATTCACTAGATGACACCAGCGACTGGCGTCCTTAGGTTGTCCAAGACTATGCTCTGAAGATGCTTTACATAAGATGAGCAAGATGTCCAAAACAAGGCCAACTGTGGTGTAAGATGCAATTTACCCTTAAATTTCCTGCCTCGATTTCACCCAGCCACAGAGGATGACTATATTTCAGTATGAACCATTACCTAAATCATGGTTGGTATGCAGATATATGTCTTTCTTTAAAAATTTACTTAAAAACTGCTTGAGCTGCAGGTCATATCAGTCTGATCTGGAGAGTGAAGGCAGTTCCAACAGTACAACAGAGACTTGTCTACAGGCAGGTCAACGAGAGTCTGCTAACAAAGGGATAACAAAAGCTGCTGGCTGGGCTGCCAATGTTGCACACAAACTTTCATAGGATGAAGATGCTGTGGATGAGATCCAGGATGGGAAAACTGAGCCAACACCTGCTGCTGTTCTAATTTTTTTTTTTTTTTTTTCAATTCTCCTCTCACGAGAGGGGGTGGGTAGACTATACAGAGGAGGGCTGTACAAAACTGGGCACTGGGCAGGCATTTCTTCAGCAGGCAATCCAGGCTCTACCTGTCCTTGAGCTCTCTTGTCACCCGCTTGGTGATGCGTCCACACATCAGGCCGATCAGGAAGAGTACACAGATGCCAACCGTGATCACAGACAGTATGTAGTTCTTGGACGGAGAGGTCATTACTTGCATGGCAAGGTCAGAAAAGCCTTCCGCTGGGGCAACCTGGGGGCGAGAAGGGAATAAATGAACCGGGCAGCACTTTTTGTACGACTCTCAGCCTCGTTATTTATCAGGGTTAGTGTCTGCTACTGCTGTGGCCTCCCACTGCAGTCAGGTTTGGCTTGATCCCCAAGCAGCAGGCCTGTTGTGTGTCATGGAAAGGAACAACTGCTCAGGAGACAGCTTTACAAGCAGGAAGCTCTGCTGACCCCGTTTCACCACCCCAGACCTTCGCCACAGGAGGCCAAGCCCCGCGTGCACAAAAGAGACTTTGATTCTGTACCAGCACAAATGCATCCCAGATGTGGAGACAAACACAAATACATGTTACAGAAATATAACGAGGCCTGATTTCTATTTTTTTTCCTGGACTAAAACCTCAAAATGCTAAACTTCATTCAAAGGCAAGAGCTTCTCTAGCATTCAGGTTTTCAGTAAAACAGCTTGCAACAGAAACATCCAGTGCCAAAAACCAAGCGGGTTTTCTGAGCTCTGTCACCTTTGCAGCATAGCTCCACATTTCGATGCGATCGTTGAGGCGTTTCTTGCATTCAGGCTGCAACCTCACACGTTTATCTTCCAGAGCTTCCATTAAGCAGGACATCTCTGTAATGGGCAGAAGATGGTGTTACAAAACAGAAACGGACTTCAACAACATGCTGCGGAAGGGCTGCTGGAGAGGAGCGTTCGAGCATTTTAGTTCTATTAAAGGCTGAGAAATTTGAGAATCTTTTTTTGAGAATTTTCACTTCTAAGAAGATTAACATTACATCTTGAACTGTAGTTCATGCAATTGACGTGACATTTTAGAAAGTTTCATAGATTTGCACCTTCAGCAAGCTGTTCTTTTAATTGTGCCACTATCTTTTAGTAGTCAAAAAGATCAAATTCAGCTCAGCAAAGTCCACAGTGCATCTGTCTCCTTTTGCTTGTTAGGAGTTTCTCTTGGTCACCAAGGACATTTTAGAAAGGTTTCACTTCCTACATTTTCGCAGTCCTTGCAAAGGAAATGGGATCACAACGTTTTGGGTGCCTACAGAGCGGCTTGGCTAATTCACAAGTTCTTTCGTAAGCTCACAGATGAGACACTGGCACAATTTTTTTTGTTGTTTTATACTTCAAATGCCTTATTTGAATAATCCCTAGTGGGATGCTTTCTGCTTTGCAGCAAAGAGTTACTTAATTCATAGCAAACAGGCTGTAAATTTAAACTAACTCCAGACTTTTTCAAACAATTGTCTGCAGTTCAAACATGCAGCGGCAGATCCCTCTCTAGGCTACAGGCTTCTGCATCTCTTCAGTGCAAAAGACATTAGAACACACATCAAAAGAACTCCGACAAAACGGGAAATAAATAAAGGATATCCAGAATTTCAGAAGGGCATCCGGTAACCACCACGAAAGATAACAGTCAGGAAAACATTTCATTGCTATTTTTAATGACCAACTCAGAAAGATGGAAAAGGTCAGGGCTTTTTAACCCAGCAGCTTTTCTTAAAAAGCCATATGTACCAGCCAGCCAGCTAACATAATAGCGGCAACAGTGCAAGAGTTTTGACTTCAAACATGAAGAGAATGGGTTAGGAAATACCAAATAAATTATATTTATTTCAACTGGCTGGAACCTGTTGTAGTCCTAGAGGACTTGAAACAGTTGACGAAATTGCAAAGCCTTAACAGCTAGGTGAACTTAGAAAATAACGATTACCTATCCTCTGTAATATTGGAAAAGAAAAAAGTGATATATTTAAGCAGAGAAGAAAAGTAAGAGGATCAAAGGACTTTGGTTCAATTTTACCTGTCAAACATAGCCAAACAAAGGAAGGAGCCATGGACATACTGACGTGAACAAAGAAGGATCAGGGGGATTGGCTGAGAATAAATCTTGTGAGACCAAACTGATTTGCTTCTGTAAGAGAAGCAGCTTAGTTCCAGTGAAGCTTTTGATACAGTCTAATGTAACGCTCTTATGAGCTTGAGAGCTGTATCCTGTCTGAGGCTGATACAGGCCGGAGATAAGCATCACTGAAAAATTGAGTCCACTTAGTCCAGCCCATGCGTAGTAGGAGCTCGTTTTCAGCAGGATTTAACTGAGCAGGGGTTTTACAAGAGGGTTACGGATCTGGTGTCACACTTTTTTCAGTAATCACATGAACATAAAATATTCTCTTTTAAAATGGCACATAAGGCTGCAAGAACATTACATTAGGATCACGGAACTGATCCTGCCTTGGGCAGGAGGGAGAACCAAAACGTTTCTTGATACACCCCTCAACCAGTGGCATCTACCACCTCTGCAGCAGTTCCACCTCATTACCCACAAAAGACCAGCAGAAATATCTGGTACTTAAGATAATGCTGGCAAGAAAAGGCAGCTTAAGGCCCTGAGGACTCAGAGGTTGCATGAGTAAAGCACGAGTACTTACGGCGCCCTCTCCCCGGTGGAATAGCAGCACAGTGGTGCTTGATGTCTAGGGCACAGGCTGTGTGCAGCACCGGGTCCACAAATATGTCTGCTTTGCTTTCTTTCAGCATGTTGAGCACTTCCTGGGGAGGGAGAAATTACAAATACATCTCAAAAAAAAGGAGAGAACAAAACAGCATAGCTCAGACTGCTCAATGTTTCTGACAGGTGCTCCATTTTTTAAATCTAGGATCATAAAGGCGACACTGTCGCTGGATAAGGGTACAAATGCTGGTTTAGGACGGATTAAATGTTTCTGCTTTTATAGTTACGTTTGCTAAAATTGCCATATTAATCTAAAATGCGAAACCAGTTTTTGCAAGGGCTACTTCAGCTGGAATTGCAGTAAGGTGCCCATGCCACCGGGCTGCTCATACAGCCCTTGAGCCGAGGCAATGCTGAGGCCACGCTCAGTGTTCAGGAAGCGTGCAAGGGAGACACCAACAGCAAACAGATTAGCAACAAGAAACTTTAGCAACTCTAACTAGGAAAGGATCCAAGCCTGGAATTGCCAAGTGAGTGCTGTTAAGGCACAATTTTCACTGGCAAATTGAAATTTCCAGAGCTCTGGCTTCACACTGACTGTAACGTGGCCTGGGCTGTGATCTGGAAAAATACTCGAGCACCAACTTCTGCAGGGACAGGATGCCTTTCAGAGCACGTTCAATTTACTTCCTTTACCTTCTTGCACATTTCAGTTTTTATTTTCAGCAGATTGACTTTCAGACATTCTTCCACCTGCCCGGTCTGCTCCTGAGCTGCTGCTTCTTCAGCACACAAACTGGAAATCTATTTTGAAAAAGGTATTTTAATATGAGAAAGTAGTTCATGACAATCCTGTTTCTTGTAGCACACTGATATCTCAATACATTAGCTCATCAGAGCGTACAGCCAGAGAACACGAGCTACTTTACCCCCAGGAATCCCCTAAGCCAAACGTGAGCTGGCTCATTCGATTCACACACCCTTTGAAACTGAACAGCAAGAAGTCAGTGTTGCTGTACTGAGAGGAAGAGGAGGAGGCAGGGAGGAAAACAACACAGAAATACTGTTATGGTATGAAATTAGCAATATTTGAGACCTGGCCTATCTAAAGCTATTAGAAGAGAAAGGTCAAAAATCTGACTGTATTCCAGTTAAGGCTGACAAGACCAGAGAACAACTGCCCACCATCCTTCCACCCATCTTTTTTTTTTCTTTAATACAACAGCAAAGCAGTATTTTTGCATAGCGACAAGTACTGATGAGAAGGGACTTTGTAAAACACCAACGGAGTTTCCATCCTGAATAAGCAACTGCTGAGCTACTTTTCCTACCTCATCCGAACAGTGCATCTGGAGCTGGGGATCCAGACGATAATCAAGAGCTGATTCCTGGATTATCACTCTAATTTGGTCCTCGCAGTCTGGAGAGAGACGCTATTAAGCGGAGAAAGTCATTAACCCATTCGATCACCTTTATTATCATAAATCAATCACCTGGCATTTCAACCTATGTATTCTATAACGCTGCATAGGAGCATAAAAACTCATTTACGTGCAGCCTATCGTATATACTGAACACATCACAAGCCCAATTTTAATACGTTGTTCAATGAGAGTTGCACAGCACAATCCTGCAGCACAATCTTTTCATACATCAGCTCTACTCACCTGGTCTGCATATTTCAGCTTCAGGCAGGAGATGACTTGCCCCTCCAGTTCTGTATCATCCTTAGCCCTGTTCAGGATGTTCTGGCAAAATTTCGGTATGTCTGCTTTGCAGGCCTTCCTGAGCACTGGGTTTAAACGGTAATCTAACCAGGAAAGAACACAGAACTTCATTAGATGTCTCAGATCACAGAACGTAACAGTCCAAGAGAGATTTGACAGAAATTTCCTGGATGTCATTCTTTTTCCCATAAATTTAATTTTGGGGATAAAATAGTATGTTCCCACTAATTCATTTTAACTTGTGAGGTAAGCGATGCTTCAGGAGTAAAGCAGACCTAACAACGCGTGCCGACCCTCAAGAACTTGGCGGAAGAAAGTCTGTGTGCACTGACAACTGGGAAAGAAAAAAACGAAGCCAATACTCTTCCAGCCATGCAGAAAATTCAACAGCTCAAAGGGCAGTTAGGCATTTTCAGAGGGGGATACCTGTGTTCTGGGTAATCTGGCGCTTGGTTATCATTTGCTTGCATTTAGGATCCATCACTTCACTGTTCTTGTTTTGCTTCAGACACTGCAGCATATTTTTTGAGTCTGCCTCTGGACAGAAACGCTACAAAGAAAAAAGTCCAAATTTCACCACAAACACTTGAAACAGCAGGAGCTCACAGAGAGCAGAACCACACACCCGAGCTGGAGGCGCACACAGCTCCCTGCTCCCCAGCCCATCTCCAACTAGCCAGAGCAGAGCCACTGTAAATTGGCCATGGGCGTGAATACAAATATCTGTGCTTACAGAGCAAGCACTGAGCCGCACAGTCCTGACTAGCTTTTAGGCTGCAGCTTGTGTTGGTAATATCAAGAGCAATTTGCCTTTGATTTTTTCTTAAGTTACAGCATATCTTTACAAGACATGCCCGTCGTATCAGATCCCATATCAAGCTGCCTTCATTCCCCTTTATTTTAGAAACTGGAAAGGTAATCCGTTAAGTCCAGACGCACTCTGCTGCTCTGCCTAAGTGCTGGCTGGACAAAGTGACGAGAAAATACTTCATTAGTAGCATTCATGGCAAGTTAAGACCACAGATAACCAGCAAGTTGAGAACAGGTCACTGATATTAACTCCATTCATGTCCTGAATGAGATAGCCAAAAGCTAACCAGCTTACCAACAATTCAGACCACATTATTTGTTTCTTCTGTTAGAAACCAATTCTGCAGCTCTAAGGTAAGGCTGGTGCATTTTCTAATCCTTGCTGTTTCAGTGAGGTTACAGGTCTTCCTTTAAAAGCACAGACCTGCCCTGAAGAGCACCAAATTCTCAAGATGTTGAGAATTGCATGCTTGATGAAAATCTGCACACGCCAGGTCAGCAGTGAACCGACGACGTTATTCCTCTCTGTAATCATAACTTCTCAGTGTACAGGCTTTGATCTGATATTTAGAGGACGTAAAACTAAAAGAACCCCAAAGAAACCTTTGCCTGATTCTGAGTCAGGAACCTGATTGCTTTGCATAAAAGCAATTGTGCTTCTGAAACAAACACAGCCATTTTCTAACAAGTCTTTAAGGGAAGTTTAAAACAGATAGTTTAAGACACTAGAAAGGCTCTCCTATCCCGACCTCCCCCCCAGATCAGCACACTATCCATCACCTTGATCATCTGCTTGCAGACTCTCATGAGCGTGTAGTCCAACTCCGGATCCATCATCTCTGTCTCCTGCAGTTTAAACACCTTCTGGTGGCACCGTGTGCTCAGCTGCTTCTTGATTTCTTTCAGGCATTCGATGATCTACAACACAGCGTTACAGGCATGACGGAGGCACCGTGGGCAGGATCGTGCCATATGCTGCTCCAAACCCAGCTACGTGCTCCCCTGCTGGCTCACCATCTTCACCTGACTTGTGCAACTAAGTTTACGATGCTAATATTTACCAAAAAAAGCAATTACCAGGGCTGATCCAAACCACTTGTCTTAAGCTCATCTTTTCCCACAAACTTAATGAAACGAAGGTCACCTGGACCTATTCCAAAACCCCAAACCTCATCTTGTAGATTACACCTAGGCAATATTCAGCAACATTTGCACTAACTGGCAAATAACTAATAGCTTAAAATCAGCATTAACTGAGGGACGCCTTGCTCACAGCACTGCATTCCCTCACTATTAATGCTTGCGAACTCGTAAAAAAAAGTGAAATGCTCCAAAACACTGACAACAGATTTGAGTGATACCAAAATGAAAACCTAAATCTGCATTCAGAGACAAAAAAAAAATGATCTTCACAAGTTTTCCGAAATGAAAGCACAAATTAAAGTGTAAATTATTAATATGATCCATTACCTGAGCATTGCCATAGGGCACATTTTGGCAGTAATTCTTGATGTCACTTTTACAAGCCTCATACAGTTCTGGTTCAAGCCTGATATCCTCGGTCTGCAGGATAAATTACAACACAAACTTTTCACTGGGAATAATAATTAAAAGCTTAAACAGAGTCCTCTACGTACAAAAAGAAAGCAACTGTCCCAACAGGCAGGTTGAATTTAAGGCTCTTAGGGGTAAGAAATGGTGTCAGTGGGAACTCAACTACACAAATCCGTAAGTGAATCAATTTTGTGTGGTGTTGTTTGGTGTTTTTTTTTTTGGTGGTGGTGAGTTTTTTCATTTGTTTTAACACTAGAGAAAGCCATCTCCATTTAAACCAAATTCCAAAGCTAGGAAGTTGTTTTCCCTGCTCCTCCTAAAATAGCATCAACACAAACATCTGAGACAGCTAAAACTTTTCAGGTGAAAGCTAAAGGAAATTTTCATAGCCAACCATCAGTTGGGTGATCTAGAGAATGTGAATGAAGCTCCCTGCTTTTAGTGATGCCCACCACTTAAATTCTTCCACATGAAGGCAAGAGCACTGCCTCTTCTGCTACAGGCCTACGAGAGGTGAAGCTCTGACACCCAAACTACCAGATAAAGCCCTTAAGTTTCTTGCTGTCAGTACTGCAGCAGGAAGCTAAGAGGCAGCCTCGCATACTAGAACAAGCACTATTCCTATTTATCCACTGAGCAACTTCGAGGGGCTAGAGTCAAGGTGATTCATCTGTTCTTGTTGCCTCAGTCTGCAAAATGAAGCTCGTATTATCTCCTGGAGGACTTTAAGGACATCAGCACATTGCTATCGAATGCCCAACATCATCATTTCTAGCTGAAACTCCAATGACCATTCAGCTTGCCTTAGCCTTCATGAGACTATACATAAGGCACTGAAGTAGACAATCAGTATTTTTACTGTGAAGGTCAATTGAGCCTGGATTTGTAAGAGAGGAGCGGAATAAAAATAAATTAGATACATCTTACAAATGAGCTTTTTTTTTTTTCCAGGGTGGACAAGCTAGGAAACTCTGACTAAAAGACCTTGCTAGAAGAGCAGGCAGGCAAGAGTTTCATGCATGTTTACCATCTCCAGCTCCTCAACGCGCAGCTGCTTGCGGCACTTCAGAGACACCCTGTGCTCCTTGGCATCCTGCAAAGTATCGTTGCGCACGGTTGTGCTCAGACAGATCACTACGTCCACCCTGCAGAAAAGAAAAAAAGTTTTTTTTAACCCATGTACTCTCCACTTCGATCAGCCAGCACTGGCGTTGGATCACCACACCAGGGAAATTTACACAGAGGATCTAAACATAAAAGTCCTTCCGGATCTATGGCTACTTCTAGCCTGGGTACAGCTCTGTACAGAGTAACTGATCACGATTAACCCCCTAAATTGGATGGTATCTAATTGGGGTCTAAATCAGCAGGTGCAGTAATATATTCCAAACCCCACCACGCTCCCTGCACAGGGAGACCTCCCCTCAAGTCACTGAGCGCTTGAGAAAAGCCTTACTTAGCCTCAGAAATGCACGATGAAGGTGAATACCTACATGGATGGCACTGCAAACCACCCTTTTGTGTTATGGGAAGGGCATCTCTATCATAAAATGCAAATAGCCTTGCCACCCATGAACAGGACCGACCTTGTGTGTGATTTAGCCTTACATCGCTGGAGAAGGATATTAAAAAACTTCCTCCTGAAATGAACAAGCCAGCTAAAGCAAGTGCAGTGTTTTCCTTTTCCAGCTCAGCAACTGAAACATTGGTAGCCTGTATCTTGGGAGGATGATGGATCTAGCAAGGATATAGAGCATCCTGGGACAAGCAGACCACAAATTGTGATTGCTAGCTATTTTCAGAGCATGAAAAATAATAAAGAGGAAAGCTCATATGCAAGGGTAAAGCAGAAGTACTTTAATAGAGGTAGGCAATGCCTCTACCTTAAGCATCTGCAGGACAGTTACTAAGGAAAAACACAAAAAAATCAGCCTTCAGAGGAAGTCCAATGTTTTCTGTCACATTAAGTATCTTATAACTTTCTTACATATTTATACAGTCAGAATGCTGCTTAGTTAAGTACTACCTACTTTTTTTTGATGTTGGGGCAAAGCTTCAGCACATCCTCCTTGCAAGCCATTTTAAACTTGTACGAGAACCTAAAATCTTTCATTTGAACCTGCAGGAGAGAAAAGAAATTAGAAATGTTGGTCACCTGGAAGAAAAAAAAAAAGTACATGCTGCCTGAAAGGATGCTTGTTGAATCACACAATCAGCAGATGCTCCTGGCCACAACTTATCCACGTGGAAGCAAGGGGAATGAAGAAGCTGGGACCCTGCCTACCGTATGCCAGGCTGGAGGAGGGCCTGGGGATAAACCATCTCCAGAAGTGACCATTTACGACCAGGCATGCAAGTACAGTTGTCTGAACTCACAAAAGCAACTTCAATACAGTTGGAAATCAATCTCAGAAAAGGAAAGGGTTTCATAATTAGCTAATTCCTGTCAACACCCTCAACACACACAGCCAGTTTCCACTGATAGCACAGAAAAGCACTACTCACCAGCTGGAAATGAGTAACTCCGATGGCACATTTTTCGTTCATTTCCTTCTGGTGTTTGTTCTGTATTAGACACTCCATCAGGTCCCCAGAATCAATCTGGTTATCTGCAACCTCCTGAAGGACACACAAAAGGCTTAAAAAAATGAGCTACTCCCTCCAAGTCATGATTTTTTACACTCCTTTAGCCCACTGCGACCAGGAAATAATTGAGAGCAGTGGAATTTACAGTCTCACTCTCGTGAGCTTACACTCACCATCAACTGACCACGTAGCACACAAGCATTTATACAGTTCAGAAAAGAATTGTCTCAGACACATGCATGCTTTACACTCATGAGAAAACAATGCAGAGGCTCAATGCCTACATGAAATATTACATTTAGGTGCCTCTGCTGCTCTGTAACTACTCAATCCTAGAGCAATGTAAGAAGCTATTTCAGCAATGCGAGCAGCTGCACACAGAGGAGTGGCTGGACGCAGTGCTCGGGGGCAAGGGGAAGGAAAAGCTTAATTTCCAATCTACTGTGAAGAGTAACTTTAAAATTGCCCTGTAATTGGAAATCTTCCATCTCCAGCTTTTGTGCTGGGGCTGACAACAGCAAAAGTACCACATGGAGCTAAGAATTCCTGTGTTGGTCCCCCCCCAGCCCCCATCAAAGACTTCTGTAACTGCTTACTTCTGATTTTACCTCTGGAGAGCAGAAAGTACGCCAAGAACTAATAATACAACCTCTAACCTTTCCCTCAGTGCTCTTTCCCAAAGATATTCAGACTGCTAAGCACTCACGTGACAGAAGGTCTGGATAATAGGCTCGCACGCTCTCATCAACAAGGCTTCGATTTGAATGTCCTGCAGAAAAAAATGCACTATTTCATTTTCACAGTAAATGGACAAGGAAAAAACTGAAAAAAAAACCTGTCACAAGTTAACTGGAGCCAGTGTAGAGGGCCTTTGTTCAGCTGCAATTCAGCCAGCTCCACCCTTCAGTTCTGGAAATGCTGAAGTTCACTGCTGCCAGCAATGTGGCAAACGCACGACAAGCCTTCCAGACTAAGGGACAAGCTTGGCCTCCACAGATTCAAAACTCACTGCTTGGATAATTTAGTCTGTCTCCTCCAAATCGGATACTGCAGCACCAGAAGGCACCCTACACTCGGGTAGGAGTTAAAAATTAATGGTAGTTCTGAGCAAACCATTTTGTAACGCTGGAAGGAAGTGTCCCCTAGGGCACAGTGTTGACTGAAGAGGTACAGGGAACAATTTGGTGCAAGACAGTCAAACACGCAGCTTCCGAAAGCAAACAAAGCTGCTGACCTCACTGAAAAACCCTACACGACACACCTGGTAGTTATTTCCTGCAAAATATTTGGGACCCAGGGGGAAGTTGCAACATGGTACTCAAAATTACTTGCAAGTAGAACAAAAAATGAAATCCCAGAAATGTTTTCCTCACCCCTGGAAGTGTTTAAGGCCAGGTCGGACAGAGCTTTGAGCAACCTGGTCTAGTGGAAGGTGTCTCTGTGCATGGCAGGGGGTTGGAACTGGCTGAGCTTTAAGGTCCCTTCCAACCCAAACCATTCTATGATATTTTGACTTGTACTAAAGGCGACTGGGTTACCTGCTCGAGACATCCTAGCTTCAGTGCCACAAGCTACCATAGGCTGGTGATGGCATTTCTCCTGCTTACAATCCTTAACTGCTGTTCCATTCTCTTCCTCAAGAACCTCACATGAAAACTAACACTGTACAGGGTAAAAGAGATGGCCTCTGCTTAATCTCAGAAATGTGCATTTCTGCAGCTACCTTTATTTATTTTTTTAATAGTGTCAAAATGATATTTTTAACTAGACGTGCTCAACTCTCTCCTGAATTGCAGGCTGGAAACTGCTCACCTCAGACTCCAGCTCAGTAAGGTTTCCCACTATGTCTCTGCAATCAGACACCAAGTCGTCAAGATGGTCCTGAAGGCATTCCAGCTCCTATTAAAACAGACATTTCAGCGTGTGGTCTGAGAAACCAAGTTCAAAATTCAGGCTTGAAAGTGCAACACATAAAAAACTGCCTTCCTTTTCATAAAGTCTTAAATCTCATTTAATGCTGCCCCTGCGACTGGCACTCATAGTTCAGGCTCCTAAATGCTCAGCACCATCTTCTTTCCTACCTTTGCCTTTTACAGTATCATTTGGTGAAAAGAATCAGCAGTCCTGCAGCTTTACTTGCACAATAAATGGAGGATTACAGGCAATATCCCCAGAATCTGCACTCTGGCAGCAAGTGTTAGAACCGAAATGCTGTCAATACGCTGATCTTTCATTTCTCAAGGAGAAGCCTCCCAAAATAGCATATTATGTGAAAGCAGTTAAACAGTTGCTTTGAGCCACTATCGGTATTTTCTTTTTGATTAGTAACAGTTCTGAATACGGGGAACATGGTATTTTTCTATCTGATAACAACATATTCGCTTAAAAACCACGTTTTTTTCTATTCAAATGAATAACATGCCAAAAATTTTTCTTAAGTTGTACAGTTTTTGCATGTTGCACAAACACACCAGTTTGAATTCCCCAGACTCGGTGCTGCTGGATTTTGTTTAGGTTTTGCTTTGTTTTACAGGGCAGCGGGTATGTGCAGAGAGTGACTGAGAGCACCGGTCTAAAACGTTGCCGCAGTTCTCAGAAGCCGCACGAAGCACTTTCACTTCTGGAATATCACATTTAGTTTGCCCTTTGCATAACCTTAATGAGGAGTTAATTACCCAAACTTCCAGTCTGCAATAGACACTTCAAAAAGTCAATGGTGTATGCTCTGCTGCATCTGCTGGCGAATGGCTCCTTCCCTACAGCTATGCTAGGGCACAGCAATTTAACATGAAAGTATTTGTTGAAACTTTGTTAAAGAGCAGCAGATGTTAGCTCAGCTCTCTATAAACACAGGAAGCATGTCAGTATTTGCCAAATGGGAACGGGATAAAGTTTATGTGGGAAATGTCAAGCTCGTAATAGAGTATTACAAATAAGAGTCAGGGTGGGGTTGCTACAATGAAGTCCTTCTCGTTAGCTGTCCCCTTTCCCCATCTCATTCCTCTCACGTCGCTGCAGCCGTGCTGTCGGTGCAAAGCTTCTTCAGACGCCCTCAGTCTCAGCCTAGTGTAGTTTATGTTTCAAACTGCATGCATTTTTAATATAATCTGGGCTATAAAGGGACAACCAGCTACGAGATGTTCCTTTATCCCGCCCTCCTCGTGCCCTTCCCACCCTCCCGGCTCTGAAGACGAGGCCGCAGCCGTGCCGTGCACAGTACCTGCCCTGTCTCTGTCTTTTCGCTGCACCACTTCCCCAGGTCTATCATGCACTTGTCCTGCAGGGCTGGGTCCAGCTTCACGTCCATGGCCCGCTGGTGGAGGATGCGCTGTACCTCCGCTCGGCACTCCCGCGATAGCTGCAGAGGGGGCAAAGAGCATTTAGCACACGGGGTCTCCAAACGTGTACAGGACACTGCCGGGTGATTTAATTGGAATGACCACAAAATGCCCGGCCATCCGCACTCCCAGGAGTCCTCCAGTGCTCAGCACGAGCCTGCTGGGGCCCGCATGAGCCATCAGCCTCTGGGAGTTTGGAGTTTTGTCACGCCTTTCTTGCCATCAAAGGAAATTCAAAAGCAAGAGAAGGTTTAAGATGTCAAAGCAGCAAAGGTCCCTAGATTATCTGTTGCATCTCCTCTTCATTCAAAGCTGCAGGCTGCTTAGGGAGAAGAAAGCCAGAATGGTTTTTGGTCCTCAAGACCAAAAAGGGAAGCCCAGCACAAGGCAGCGTAGTCCAGCTACAAATTCCTTTCAGCAATCCCCACTGCGGCATTACAGAGCCAGCAATTGTCAAACATTGTCGAAGCTGAGGAACAGACTAACTGTAGAAAATTCAAGGGATACTGCTGTGGTGCTTGCCAGACCTCAAGTGCACCGGTCAAAGCTTAAAACGTTACACACAACTTCCAGGGCTTTGGATCTTAGCTGGCATTTCACAGACAGCACCGCAGAAAGTAGAGATACAACCTCTAATGAGCTTGCTTTCAAACACTAAATTTCAAAATGACAGCTGCTCCCTTGGCCTACTTTCTAAAAGAAAAATACATTTAACAGCCTTTTCTCTCTGATATTATTTGCAGGGTGGCTATTGATTTCTTTGGTCAGCACTAATATAAAATGGAATTAAAAAGTCTCTACTCAGCACGCTAAGCAAGTGCATTAAAAAATATTCCTACAAGTGAGACGCTTTCAATCAATACTTGACCTCTGCCACAACAGACCTTTTACACCAAACTGTAGAAATTAATTTTTAAGCCAGCCCATTGTGTAACCCCAACTCCTGGGGGCCGTGTACAGTACAGTGCCACAAGAAACGGAACGGAGAACCCAGCTGCTTTCAAGGGAGTGTCTTGATAAAGGCACGAGAGGGCAGCAAACTTGAAAAGAGTAGCTCTGAACCCAACCAACGTGACGATGGCGGATCTCCAGACTGCAGGGCAGCAAGTCAGATCCCTACTGTCTTCTTTAAAGGCAGCATAAGCACATTTACCCGGCCAGTACGCTCCGAAGAATTGAAAGCGTGCTTTATATCAATAGGAAGAGTTTAACAGACTATAATCTGAAGTTGCACTCAATTCCAAACTTAATTAGAAACAGCTGAGGAAAGCTGGGCTTGGGAAGGCCTTTTAGCATAAAACCCATTGTGTAGCTATCTGCAAGGAATCACATTACACTTTGGAAAGAGGAGGGAGGACTGGCTGTGTCTGTGCAGACGTTCACAAGGAGCTGTCAGCACACAATTCCCCCTGGGGACAATTGGCCCATCTCAGTGTGATCGTTTTGCCTTAGCAGAACAGTAACACAGACCTTCAGGGCACGCTCGAGGAGGAGCTGGGCACTCGAACTAGCTCAAGAAATGCCCGTGGTAAAACTTCTTACCAGCTCCTGAGAGTTCTTGCAGTTGCAGCACAGCGAGTCCCACTTCCAGATGCAGGTTGCAACCAGCACATAGCACAAATCAAGCAGCAGAAGGCTGCAGGCCAGCACTTACCCTCCTTCCCTGCTCCTCGGTGCGGTAGGCATGCCTGTACAGGCAGGAGAACACCGCCCCTGGGGGCATCAGCTCGCTCGTCTCGTTCCAGCCGTGGGTATGGCACAGGCGGGAGGCGTCTCCCTGACACTTGCGGTACAGGACCGTGTCCAACCTGCAGACAGAGAAGTCACCACTAGCACTTCCATTCCTGGGGCACCTCACACGCTCCAACCTTCAGCCTTTTCTCATTCTGAAGTGCTTCTGAGGCAGAAAAATCCATCTCAAGTTTCCTACAGCACCACATCATCTAGCAGCAGCACCTAGCCAGCTGAACCACCTGGTGGCAAAATGCCTGCTACTCCGTTTGGGATCAACTCCGCAGTCTTCCAAAATTGCATCAAGATCTTTAATTACAGATCCAATCTTCAATGCTTCCCATTCTCTTCTACCTCATGTCAGCCAAACGCTGACATGTGAAAAAAGAAGTCATCTCCTTGATGTGCCACAGCAGCAGAGAAGTGGGTGCATGCCGTGTTCTGCTCGTACAGTATCTTACATTTACCTTGCACTGCTGCCATTTTGAAACGCCAGTTTCATACAAATCCGAGCTAGATTAATTATTGTCTGCTCCGGATCTGTGCTAACTGCAGGCTCAGCGTCCCTTACTTTTGCCTACAAGAAAACTGCAAGAGCAGATTTCTTAAGACAACGCCTACTTAGATTAAAACTAAGGCAGAGATTGCCAACTTTCCGGAATGGAAACCTGATTTCTACAATGCTTTAGAAGGTATCAAAGTATACCAGTGGACAAAATTATACTGACAGCAATAAAAGTAGAAAGAAAACCATGAAGATCTCTCTTCTGAACATCTACACTAGGCATCGAGTACAACAGTTTCAGGGCACAGTGGTTAAACAAGAAAGGCGAGCCAACGCTGCCCTGCCTGCAATATGAATTAAGATTATCTTTATTCCCAGCAAAATGCAAATACTCATTTTTTGCTTTCTTCCAATCAAAGTTTGACTCAAATAATATTTCCAGCCTCAGCTGGAAACATGGCAGAGGCAGGAAAACCAGTGATGAAGGGGAAAAACAGGAGGAGGAAAAAAATTAAGTATTCTTGTCTAGCTATGGACTATTCTTGTCTAGCAATTATCGAGATGACTAAACAAGCAGCCGCGAAGCCGTAGGTTCTGTGGTCCGTGAAGCTTCATGTGTTTTAGAAGCAGAAGATCACAGAGCATATCAGCTCTTAACTACCAGCAGCGCTGCCCACAGGTACCGCTGGGACTCAGATTTTCCTCATGTCTGATTTGAATGCCCTCTGCAGCAACTGCAGCCCACAGCTTCTGGCCTTGCACTCCCCTCAGGGTCACTGAGAATCATTGTTCCATCTCTTGCAGAACCCCCCCATTTGATGTACTCCATTTCTTTACCTCTCAACCCTCTTCAGAAGAAAAGCCAAACATTTATTTTTTTCCTCGTTGCTCATGTTTAACAAATTTATACCCCACTTGCAGTCATCTTAACCCACACAGGCACAGTGGGCTCTGCAGATATCTCAAAGCCCTGCTGTGTTTTGATGAAAAAGCTGGAAAAGTTGTGCTCCGAAGGGAATTGTGTCCACTCTGCAGGCTGTAATCACACCTAGACAGTTTCAAACAAGGCAGAAGCAGGAGCAGGAGACCTCCTACAACCACAGCTCTGTAACACTTGGTAGCTTGTTTTCCTAACTCGCCTTTTGTAGCACACAGCAGATAAATTGGCTGCCTCCTACACGTAAAGTGACCTTCACTGTGGCCAGAGAAACTTCTTTTAATGAAAGATGTGTTGAATTTCAGAGCTCAAACCCAAGGCACCTCCTAGGGTTGCACCATTTCTTTTAAGTGCCTAAAGGGTGATGCCCACTTAGGCTTTTTACTTTTCCTCACCAGTTTTTGCTTTTATTGATCTAGGCAGGTATTGATGCCCTACAGACCTGACACAATTAGAAGTTCGCTCTCATTTCAACAAGAACAAGCGATGCTGTTTGGAAGGGATTCCTAACGCATCCAAACACTAAACACAAGCAGCAAGCGAGGACACAGTTTGTTTTACAGTACTCACTTCCAGTCACGAGATATAAAATACTGGAGCTCCAGGAGCCTGTGCTCACAGTCCTCCACCATCTTTTCTGTATATAAGTGCTCCATCAGGCAAGACAGAATCCTGCAACCAGAAGAAAAGGAGTTAGGCAAGGGACATGATCACGCTGAGCTCCCTTGTAGCAGTCAGCGTTGCCAAATCAGTCTTCCCAACAAGCCATAGATAAGACACTCGAACCCTGTGAAGATGATCTTTCTCCTTCAAAAAGAGGACATCAAAAACAGCTACATACCACATTTACACCCTCACATTTCCCCTTTTTAGTTATCTCAGCAAAGCTGACACATAACAAACCTGTAAGGGGTATTTTAGAGAGAGCCTGGCTCAGGAGATGATACCCATCAGGCCCACGATGAAGGAGCCGTTTGGCCCTGCAGCACGGGTTTGCTTAACCAGCCTTTCAAGGCTTGCTGCCTCTCTTTGTGATATTGCTAAAGACTTACGTAGTAAGGGAAATTAGCACATCAAGCGTTACAAATGTAAGCCTGAGAAATCTACATCCCTCAGCAGCACAAACCAGCTCTGTTACGGTAACTCTAGGCCTGCTTACAGGGCAGGGAGTGAGGCAGAGCTTGGTTCACACCTCAAACCCTGCGGGAATGGCAAGGACTCATTCCTGGCCTGGATTTAGTATCTACACAGCTCAGCCACGCAGCCTCTGCGGGTGCCCAAGGTGACCGGGAGCCCGGTGTAACTGCGAGCCACCTACATGGGGTCCCCGGAGCGGATGTGCTTGCAGGCCGTCTGTATGACCGACTCGCAGGCCTCGTTCAGCGCGCGGTCGATGCGGTAATCTGCCCCGGGGTCAGTCTCCTGGATCAGCGTTTGGAGCTGGAAGAAAGAAATTGTGGACAGGGAAACTCAGTGTAACGCCCAAACCTTTCTTGTGCCTTGATGGCAGCCGCATCCTATAAAGCTGACACCAGGCATGCGAATTTGTCACATTTCCATGGCTATTACCTACTGCTCTAAGCTGAAACGCAAACCAGTGTTTAAAGTACAGCTGCCGAGCTACAAACAAAGCTGAAAACATTTCTGAATTGTCTAGAGAGGACACCAGACAAATACGGGATGAAATGTCACACCCCATGCAGCAGCGTCTCCGCAGGGATGCCCGCTCGAGCTTTTAGAAGCGCCAAGGGAACCACAATTAGACCTATAGTACAAAATTTATTAGCATATACACAGAAAAAGCAGGGTGCTGGTTTTCCTTCTCCTTATCTACTTAGTTCTGGGGGAGCAGGCAGCTTTCTCGGCCATCACCAGCCCCGAAACCACTTCACCTCCCAGAGATCGATGAGCCACAGGGTGAACCAGTATCACTGTTCTACAGGCAAATGTTTTCAGCCGACAAAATGAGAAAAAAAAAAAAAAGAAAGAGCTTGCTTGGAAGGCAGCTGCACATGGACATCCAATGGTTGTCCTGACACCTACCCAATGATCTTGCCACTGCCCAACCAGATCCAAAGCACAGCTGCAATTTTATCCTCCAGCTTCCACAGCCTGCACCTAAACGCCACCCAGCAAGCCTTCAGCCTGGAGAAAAGGAAAGCTGGCACTATTTATCCAGCGGGAAGCTTCTGACCAAGGCAGACCCCACAACAGCTGGGAGGTACACCAGGTTTTCTGCAGCTCAGTTCTGGCTCAAGGATGCAGGCAGCTCGGAAGAGCACTGCTGAGCAGGCACAGACTGTTGGCTCAAAAATTCTTGGGGTATTTTCAGAGCAAATGGATGCTGCACATAGGACACTGGTCCTGCTCCGTGTCAGAGAGATACGTAAAACGGGGTCAGGTGTGATACTGGAGCTCCTCCCTCGAGGGAGGATGGAAGAATAAAACCTCAAACCTGACGTTTTAAGGTTAAATTTAAGGTGAATAAACCGGCAGCGTTTCAGAGGTACCAGCTTGATTCCAAGCCTCCTGACCTTGCTGTGCTGCCTGGGGCATGACTGCAGGATGCCCAGTCCCGATTCCCACCCCAGTGGGAGATGCAAAGCTGGGAGCCAGTGCCCTGGCTGCAGGGAGGGGAATATTGGCCCCGCTAACAGGAGTGAGGGTTTTACAGGAGTTTCTCCCCTCCACAGCTAACCCTGGGTGCTAAAAGCAGCTGGATAAGCTTTGTAATCCACAACTTTCAACTGACTTGGAGCTAAATTCAGTTAATTATCGATTTATTAGCCATATTAGGAACTGAAAGCAGGGATATCTGCCCTTTTAGCCGGGATTACAGTCTTACATGCTCAAGGGACTGAACAGAAAAACCCACCAAGGCCAGAGCAACAGAAAAGCCACTTATTTTATTTTCAAAGCAAATCCGAGGTGTTAGCTCCCCCAAAGCAACACGGAGCTTGCTTTATGTGGCAGGATGTGCTCCAGTTCTACCTCCTTTGAGAGGATTTTTTTCCCCATCACAAAACGCAAGGGCCCACAGAAGCACGCCAACAGCACGCGTCTCCTCACTGAGGGCAAGGAACCTTTTATAAATCATCTGAGGGCTTGTAGTTGCTCTTGGCAGATGGGCAAATATCCTCCTTTGGTAATGCAAGACAAGCAGAACGATGCAGGTCAGTCGAAGAGAAAACAGGTCCAAGTTGGACGCTTCCCATCCCAATTTTGTCTGGCAAATAGCACGGGCAGGAGCCCGGCCATGCAGCACCTACAGCAGGGGACTGCAGGACAACCCCACTGCCCCGCGCTAGCCAAGGGACCAGGGCACTACCAGCAATACCTAATGACGTTAATTAGGCACCAGGACAAGGCTGGGACACTCCAAGTACAAAAAACAATGTCTTGAGACGGACCCAAAGCAGTTTTCTGACAACGTTCCCCTCCCTCCAAAGTTACCATAGGAAGTAAAAGCAAGGAGCTCGTTCCAACACAATAAATCCAAACGGAACAAAAGCAGTGACAGCAGACAGCCACACCAACCCCGCCAGCACCACTCACAAGCAAATCCACCAACAATTTGGCACCTCGGAAGTTGTAGGTAGCTCTACGACAGCACTGTGCCAGACCCCAGGTACCAGGACATTTTTATTTTTATCCTTGCAATCATCTATTTTCTTTTGCCCACAAAAATTAAATGGCATTTTGTAACATCGGCATTCAATTTGCTCACATTGCCTCTTGCAGAGGCCACAGCAGAGGTCATTCCACATCACGGGGAGCCGTTACCAAGCCCAGCTGCGGCACAAACATACTGCACAAAATCGCAGCAGCGGCTTCACGGGAAGGGAACCGAAAACAACCTCCGTCTAGATTTCCACAAGCATATTTTCCCCCAAAAGTCTGAAATCTCCTACCACTTTTGGGGGGGTTTCCTGCCTCAACTGAAGACCTACTCTGAGCACGCACTTCATCATTTAGAAGTTATTCCCAAGAACCAACTCCTGATAATTTGCAGGTACCCAAGGAGTGAGGCAGCAAGTTCAGGTTCACATTTAAAATTTCATCACAGAAACGTCCTATGCCTTAAAAAAATAGCAGATACTCATTTCTTTGACAACACACACAGCTAACATTTAGGATAGCATAAATGTTAACATTTTGGCCCCAGGCTTTAAACTACATTTCCAGTGGAAATGGACTATGGAGGCTCCATATATTGCGGGAGGTCAAGAGCATCCATCTCCCAAACTCCTACATCAGCAGGAGCACTCCTCAGCTGCTGTCTGCATTGGTGTCACTTTTCCAGGCTCATCTCACACACGTGGGCTGAAGGGTCACTAAAACCAGGATTAGGTATGAAAACATAACACCATGTTAAGCAGCACTAATGAGTTGGGAAAAGTATTAAATAATTGCTTTCAATTTTAAGAGACTACAGATGGGACACAACTGGGCCTAAACTAATTTTTTAAAAAGGCAAAAAAAGAATCAGCCCATTTTAAGAAGGTATTTTGGAGAAGAATGACCATTGGCTTCAGTGGCTGCAACCACAACGATGCGCACAGCACGCTGTCCCTGAAGTTCCACGTCCATCATTCAAGATCAAATAGCAAAAATAAAATAAAAAAAAAATACTGAGTGGGAAGTTTCTTTGAGAAGGTTTGGAGCATTTCCACCAACAGAGGCACAGGAGGGGAAGGAGAGGGAATGTTTTAAAACATAAGGTTTCCCTACAGCTTACATCCAGGACAGAATTCCACAACACGAGAAGTGCTGGAGATCAAATACAAAACCCAGAGCAACTCAGGTGGTATTTTTTGAGAAGGGAGCACTGCTGACGTGCTGCTAAATCCCAAAGTTACACTTCCTATCACGGTAACAGGTAACCGACAGGCAGGTCGCTGCCTGTGAGTGCTTTACCAGCCCCGCACCCCAGACCCAAGGTGAGGAAAGCCCCCTTACCGCCTGCTGGCAGTTGAGCCCGACGTTGCCCTTCTCCCCCCGCACCACCTTCATCAGGCAGTGCAGCGTGCGCCCTTTGCGGTGCAGGCCGGAGCAGTGGTGCTCGATCTCCCCCCGGCAGCTGAGGATGATCTCGGGGCTCAGGGAGAAGTCCTCCATCAGCATGCGCCGGTAGTCCAGCATTTCGCCCTGGCACTCGCTGCTCACTTGCCGACCTAAAACCAAGAGAAGGAGACGAGATTTAGTCCTGGTGCCCTTCTCGACCTGGATTCTTTGGGCTATCGTGGTGCTGGAAGGACGGGGACAGCACCCACACGATGAGCAAATCCTGATGGCAACCAGCATGCCACCAAGCATTGCTGTGGATCCTTTCATTTCACTGACCCTGCAAGATAATAGTTCTGTGGATAAAAAACAGTTCTGGGAAGATGAAGAGAATATTACGTTGGAACCCACAGTCCAGTAGCTGCTTTTGAAGAGCAGCTGAAAATGCTCAGTGCATCTGCAGCTCTGCTGCACGGGTTACCTGCCGCCTGTACACTCCAGTGTGTGCTTTTAACTCTGGGAATGGAAGTCACCTCTGGTAATTTACCAGCTTGGTACGTAACCAGGGGAGGAATCTGTCTGGACAGCATGGTAAATGCCTTCTCCAAGGAAAGGTTTTCTAGAGCAACAGCACATATGTGCTCAGGAAGCCAAAAAAAGTAGGACACATTACCAGGAGAACATACTGAGCGTCTAGCTAACCAACTGTGGTACAAAATTCACCTTTAAAAGTGCTTACACCCACTGTAAGCTCTTCTACAATCCCATCTAGATAGGTTGTTTGGGAATCAAGAGGAATGTGATGGCTTTTTTCTCCTCCCTAGCCTCCCACCACGCTCTGTTCACACGGCCACAGCTCCCCACTAACGGAGGCCCTACCCCACCGCAGCAGCTCCCAGGCATTTTTGGGCAAATACCTGGGAGTGTGAGGAACAACAAGTGTTCCTCCAGGGCTGTGCTTCATGCGTGAGCCACACCAAAGCCTGTTCTGTGGAAGCTGAAGTCAGGAACTGAACAGAAGTTTTCTGTAAACCAGCAAAACACCTGCCCTACTGCAGGGTGAGGAAGAAAACTCTTCTGCAAACAGCACACATCATTTCCACATCAATCGGGAAGGACGAGCTATTCAAACTCGTGAATGCAGGCTGCTTGCAGAGGTACAGCAGCCTTCCCCTCCTGTGCCAGAGGCACTGCAGCACGCAGCCATGCCGCTGAATCATAAACCACCAGCTGCACGCCAGGGGAAACACAAACAGTTCTCCAGTGCAGATGCAGAGGATTAAAACATGCCATTTTTACACATTATGGCAACTTCACGGAGAACCTTCAACATGGCCTCGCTGTATGGGGGGGGGCTATATAGCCTTTGGGACTGCCACTGGTGTTAAGTTAGTGTAAGCCGGAGATGTCTTAAGTGTATAAAGGATGTTCTCACACGTACCAGCCTTCTATGCAGCACAAACTAGGGAAGGGGTACAGAAATTAAGGCATTTACCCAACCTACATAACTGTAGAGGAAGAGACATTACTTACAAGAGGCACAGGATTAAGTGGAGGCATGGGACTGAGCCCTGTCTTTCCCCGAGTGGTGATAAACAAGATGCCTGTTGTGTTTTAAACTAGCACCACAGTTTATGCTTACTACAAAGGAGGGAAAAAAAAAGAGCTGTTTGAGTCCATAGTGAATAGAAGGATTTTCAATTACATATCAGTCCAAGTGGGATTTGCTATTTTGCATTTTAAACTTCTTGCCTAGGCAATAAAAGCCAGCGTCAGAGGTTTACTCAGCTATCCTCATCCTCAAAAACACCGCCAAGGAAAGCGTCGCAATGAGGAAACCTGCCTTTGGAACAGATGATGGGAGGTTACTTGGAGGAGGTGACCACAAATAGGTGCTGAAGCCGCTCGTTCAACGTCCAAGAGAAACTTTTAACATCAATACCCCACAAGTGGCATCTCTCGGGTCAGCTCCACTCACCTCTGTGCACAGCCGACTCCAGGCACATCAAGAGGTAGGACAGCCTGGCCTCCCGGGAGCGGGGAAGGTTCTCCACGTTGCAGCGGTACTTCTTCAGGTCACTCTTGCAGGACTTGGCCAGCGAGTAACTGACTTTGTAGTCCTGGGCAATCAGCTTCTGGCGTGTGGTCAGCGCGTCACGGCACTGCAGGGGACAGGGTAACTGGATTAGCCTCCACGTGGCACAGCAGAGAGCTGGATGCTGCCGCTTAGGCTTCAGGCTGGGTTTTTAAAAGACTAAAGCTCTAAAATTCACGCGGTTAAGCTGGACTGCAGTTAAATCTGGCTCTGCTCACAGGAGCTGGGTGGTTAACAACCCACACAGGTCGACAGGCTGAGGGTTTTAAAGGCTCTCTTTTCAAGGATCCCTTCTTCAAACTGCACATTCATCCCGCTGTCTGTGAAAGGCGCTGGCTGGGAGCATGACTCACGGCAGTAACTGAGATCAGGCGCTGACATTTATCCCAGCTCTGGTACATGCTCACCCCGTGCCCTCAAGCAGCAACTTTTCCCCGTCACATTTACACAGCAGCAGGCTCTGGGGATTCGTGCCATCAGACGACAGCCAGGAATTTCTTCCCATTTTCCCACAAGCGATGGGACTCACAAGGATGTGCTGTGCCCAGACCTGAGCCCAGGAGCTGCATGAACAACTCTTTAAGCCCTCACAACACCAACGACTTCGCCTGTCCCACCCTGGCAGCCACAAAAGCGAGAGCAGATTTTGTGCCCCTGCTGCTCAGCAAACTGGGCCCTCAGAGCACCCAGCCATCTGCTGCAGCTCTGCCTGACCTCTCGACACCCTATAGCCAGGCTTTACAAAGCCAGGCAGCTTAGGGTGGAAGAGACCCCGCAAAAACAGCCTCTCTACAACCCAAGAGGGGCTAAGCAAAAAGAGCAGCCCAGTTTGGTAACCTGTCTGTACAGAATGAAACCTTTCAAGCCCTCGGGGATTACTCCCTCAGCTTTGGATTTGTTAATTGGAAGTAAGCTTGCAGATGGCTAATGTCTTTAAAGCAAAGAGTCTGATCACCCCGGCCTCTGCACTGGGCTTCTTCAGCAGAGCTGCTCCGAAGAAGGCCTTACAGATTCCCATCGTGGTATCCCTTCAGTTGATGTAATTCCTTTTAATCCCCAAAATGCTGCTGCTGCAGAAATCACTGAAGGCACTGCTGCCTCCCTCAAACACCCACGCTGACACAGCTGCACACAAACTGCGTTCAGGACTGACTCTTCAGAACAACTTTGTTGGTGGTGTTGCGGAGCACATCCTCAGGATTAGCACAAGGAAAACTTCCCTAACTCAGCTGTGCCTCTTTCCCACGCACTTCCCTACTTTGTATCAGCCTCCTAAAGCCTTGAAAACAAAATAAAATAGACAGCTTCCCGTGCCAAGACATTTGGTCATTTTGTTTCTGACGTGCACGTTGTGAGAGCATTTACCAAGGCTTATACCCACCACGTGGCAGCTTCCACTTTCAGCACTTAAATCACAGCGCTCCCACTTCAGCTCCGAGCTTCCCTTCCCCAGTAACCCTCCCAAAAGCTTTGATTTCTTTAAATCCTTCAACTTTAAAGGCTGGAACTCGAACACAATTAATCCAAGCTATCAGCATGGAGCTGGGAACACAAGCGTATCAAAGCAAAGGCTCTGTTGGAGCGGCTGTTAGCGGACCACGGAGGTGATGGATTTTCCCCAGCACGGGAGAGGAACAACGGAGGAGCCTGGGCTGACGAAGGACCCGACGGTTTCTGCATTAAGGACGTGTCTCCCTGAGACAGACACCTACCTTCTCACTCATCGATTCCTCAAACTTGTGATTAAAGAGGCACTTGTAAACTCGGCCTTCCCCAGCCTGCGTCTGTGAAGCAGAACAGCAATATTTACCGTTACAGACGGGGCAGCTAATGCTTCACGGGCAGGCTAAACTACACCGCGAGGGATTTCTTTTATAACCTTGAAAGATGTTAAAGTTGATATTTTAAGTGACAGTGATGGCTTCAGTGCTATTTTTTTCTAAAATCTGATCGCATTCAACCCCCTTTTAGCACGCAGCCCGTCAGCAGACAAAAGCTAACTCTGACGGAGCACCACTCACCTCTGCTGCCTCCTCCCCATTTGAGAGGCTCCACTCCCCTGCTCACCCCCCGATGCCCGCTCAGCCCATTAACCCACTAAAAATAACGCCTGTTTGTTGGGCAAGTGAACTCAATACCAGATTTATTGCAAAATGACAGCTACAAGGTGCGGGTTTTCAGTGTTACATGATCTTGCTCAGGCTCCGCTCTACCATTTCACTCCCATTCCCAATGCATTCCTTTTTTTTTCTTTATTTTTAACGAAGGCTGGAGGAAACTACTCACATTTTCACAAAATCTCTCTCTGTCGTCCCGGCAGGCGAAGTAGAGGTGCCGGTCCAGGTGGAAGTCATCGGAGGAGAGCTCGGCTACCCGCAGAATGGCCTTCTTGCACTGATCGGACACCTGCACCCGGGGATCGGTCTCCTCCGCCTCCTTCACCAGGCCTTTCTCCAGGCACGCCACCACCTCCCCTTGCGAGTGGGCATCCTGCACGGAAAGAGCAAGAGGGAATCTGTAACCCAGGCATTTACACAGCCCAGTGACCCGTGACGCTGGATTAGCACCGCATAAATGAAGCAAGAAACAAACCACCTACACGCAGAGCTCAGAATTAATGACATTTCCATCCACAGAGGCAGCTGTCGGTGTCTGCCCTGTCCCCACACTTCATATATCTCCGTCCTGATGGTCACCGTGCCATTCCCCCTTGCTGGGCTCTGGGTTTGGTTCAGTGGGACTTAATGGGATTGCCAGCACCCGGAGCAGTTCACCAAGGCAGCCAAATTACCTCTCTGCCCACGCGGCTCTCTCTTGCCATGGCAACAGCAAGTGCCAGCATCATGCTAACAACATCCTGGGGGGAGAAAAAGCAGTGTTTCTCCAGTTTCTCCATGCCGAGGCAAGCCCTCGCGTTGGGGGGTGATCAGGAGCAACGCTAAAAGGGCCACAAGGGAACTTTGGCCAAACGCAGGGTTCTCAGAGTTAAGCCCTCCAAAAAAAAGGAATTAAAAAAGTCAAAGTGTTCAGTGGTAGGTGAAGTCTTGGACAAAAAAGCAGCTCTGGCCCAACACCGCACCCCAAGTCCTCTGTCCAGCAAGCCCGAGGGAGCCTGTAGAAAACGTGGGTCCACAACCAGAGTCCACAAAATAAACAGAGCCCACACTCTGTAACAGAGCAGGGAAGAGGCAGCACGGGGCTGATGAAGGCTCCTGGTCCTTTCCTACATTTTTTGTGTGTTTAGGAGGGGATCCACACCCCGCTAATACCCCCATGGGTCCGGTTCCTCAAAAAACACTTCTGGAATAGATCCCAAGGCTTCTGCACGTTTTTCCTGCAAAGACAACCTCCTGTACCTCCAGTTCCCAAATTCACACCGCCCTGCCATGAGAGGACATTGCCACAAAGCTCATGTCGGGCAGGCAGAGGGTACAACGAGGTCTGAATGTCTGCATAAAACCGAGCCACCGAAGCTGGCACCGCAGTGACTGCTCAGGGCCAGCCTTCCAGCTCACGCTGCCACGTCGGGGAGCACCAGCAAGGGACCCGCATCCTTAAAACGTGACCGTGACTACTCAAAGCCAAGCAACTCTCCCAAAATTTTGTTCTGCCATTCCTCCTCCTTCAATTCCCGTTTTAATTCTGCCCCGCTGGGAGCACAGGCGGAATCAGCCCGCTGAAGTCATGAACCAACACCCAGCTGCACCGTCAGGTTCAGAGGGCTAAAAGCAGTTCCCTTCCTAAAAAGCAGAAAACCCCAAAACCACACTCCCCAGCCCCCTCCGTTTGTTTGGTTTTTCCCTGCAGTGGGAGCTGGCAAACTGCTCACGCTGGCAGGAATCAGCACCTTTGAGGAAATTAATTATATACCATCAGCCGTTTTAGGGCTGACCCCAACAGCAACCCGAGCGATGCCAGTTAGAGGAGCACGTTCACCGCATGCCTTGAACTTGCCATTTACCCGTAACCACGCCAAACACAAACTCCGTTCCCCAAATCCTCATGGTCAGCCTGAAGCAGTGATTACGGACAGGAGCTGGCAAGAGCAAACGCTCCTCTGGAGGGGCAGAAGTTGCCAGGTTTCTTTCAGCGTGGCCCACGGTCATGCTACACGTGAAATGAAACCCGTTTTAACCAGCAAGAAGACACTGATTTATGGATGCAGGACACTGGGTGTTTACTGCTGCGTTCCAAGGACACAGCGTGTTGTAACAAATTCACCACACCGCTTTGCAAACCATTTTTACGTCTGGGTACATCAGCTCGCAGTGCTGGCTACCCCGTGCTGCTGCCCTGTACGAGAGCAGGTTTCAAACACACCAGAGTGAAGTCAGACCCACGTACAGGTCAGCACCTGTGCTGAATTTCGGCCACCGTGCTCCTTCGAGAGGCAGCCCCAAGGTAAGTCACCTCGTGCAGGTCCTGGATACTTCGTCACGTGAAGGCACCGCGCTGCTGGCCGAGGGAGGAACACGGGCAGGGCTCGGAGGATGTGATTTGGAGAAATGTCAGCTCAATTACTACAGGGTGAAAGGAGCAACCTGAGTTTTCAAAGCTTAATTAAGGTAAATGCTTAAATGCCCAGCCCAGCCGAGCATCACTAAGCGCAGAACACGAGCTCCTGGCAAGGTGAAAGGCCACCAGCTTATTGCATCTGTGCCATGGATCAAAAAGGCATACAAAAATCCCACTCAGGTGTACACTTGTTGCCTTACTGAAGTGCATTCTAACTTTTCCCACCTTTTCAAGTCTTAAATACAGCAAATATTAGCCTGTAATTAAAGACTGTGCCCCCAGAAAGCTGTTCCTCTCTCCGACACCCTGTCGCCAAAAACCCTCCACCTTACAGCTGAAGACCTCTGAGCTTTTTCCCCAACTCAGGACTCCCCAGAATTGCTGCAGAGACTGACAGTCTAGGCTTCACTTCTCCAGCACAGTATCGAAATACAAGAGATCAAATCTAAAAAAAACTTGCACATTTCTTGGAGCTGTTGCCTCATCGCTATCATTCTTAAAGAATTTCACCCCAAAGTTGCAGAGATCCGTTAAACATACAAGATAATTATCTAGGATGGGGTGTCTCGAAACTCCGCGTCATTTTATGAAACGATATATTTAGACCACAAAGGGTACGAACAACTTCTCAATATTGTCCTATGGCACTTGAAGCCGCAGAAAAATGGAACCGAGTTCTAAACGTGCCAGAGCAAACCTCACTTCAGCACAATGCTTTGAGAGACTTTAATGCTTCTGGCCAAAATTCAACCTCTGGGCATATGTCTTGGGGGAAAGACAGAATTTTAAACACCTCGTTTCTTGCTACTCTTTTTCTATCCCGAGTCCCTCCCCACAAAAATAGTTGAGGCTTTGCAATCCCTGTTTATTTTTTCTCATTTTCGGAAGCTCCCCCGCACAGACTTCATTCTTCCTGGGACCTGGCACCCGTTGAGCTCAGCAGTTCCAGCTGCACACTTGCAGAGATGACCTCGGAAAGCGAGCAGATAAGAGTACAACAAGCAGCACGCAGGAGGGAAAACACAACCTGCCTTATCTGCACAGCACCGTGCTCCGAACAGCCCGGGGCAGCCCTGGGAAACCAGCAGCCTCTGAGCCCAGCAGATCTGTCAAAGCTCCCCCGTGGGGCTGGTTTGGGTGCCAGGATGGCAGGGATTGATCGTGATGAGGTGCCTCGTGGCACTTCAGCTGACAGCAGTGTCCTAGTAGCATTCCGTGTGAATTAGACTGAAATTATTGGACTTCAGTGATTGTCCAGTACTCCTGTGGAAGCAGGGACAGCGCGAGAGCATCCACACTGGTCTCTGTGTGGGTCTATTTCAGCAATCTGAAAAATATGATTACCTGGCAAACTGCTACAACAGATGTACACTTCTGTCCCCTTCATTACGGGAAATAATCAGCTCCAGCCTGGACATCCTGGTGAAACCCGAATTAGCACCAGGGCAGCTACACGCTGCCATTAATTTGCTCCAAGCCCCTGAATTACTGGGAGTGGGAAAGCAGCGAGCTCGTTCTGACAGGCAGCTCGAGAAGAAGAGCTCAGTTACAATTCCTGATTTCAATTTCAAATGAGATTCCTATCACACAAAGACAAAGCAGGCTTTAAATGCCAGGAGACCACACTCAACATAAAGCACAACAGCCAACTGGAAAGGTGACCCAATCTGCTCCTAAACATTTCTCCAGGAACTGGGGAAAAAAAAACAAAAACACAATCCAGGCACGCTACGAAACTTAATGCTTTCAAGTGACACTTGTACAACCTTTCTTCTACGTCCTGCAAAATGAATTCTACCATCAGACTGAGACTTCCAGGCTGCACTTCTCGGCTCTTAGAGAACAGAAAGCCAACAAGAAAACGTGGAGGAGAAAGCACAGCAAGCACTACATCACAAACAACAAAAGCAGCAGGAACAGAACTCAATTAGGAAACAAAAAGCTAAACTAAAGGATAGAAAAGGAAGATGGTTAGCTAGCAGAACAGCTGCAAGAATACCTATCAAGGAGTCTTTTACAGTTCAAGCAGCCCGTTTACCCCAGCTACGATGATGAAGCTGTCACAGGTAATGCTGCAGCCCATGGGCAGCCTGATGTGGGTGCAGTTAGCGGTCTGGCAGCGCTTATCTCCATAAAAACGAGACGCATCTCTTCCCTCATCTTTCTCCTCAGGTGTCCAGATCCCATTTATTAAATTCGCAGCTATGTTCAGTCACACAAAAGGCTAACGACTATTTCTCTCCAGGCAACTCTCAGAAGCTGCAGCACGGAAACAAAACCCCAACCAGCATCTGATGGGAGTAAATGAGATGCGATTTCTCCACAGCAGAAATGGGACAGCACAGAACACCAACAAAAGAAACGCTTTCACAGCCATTTATAGCTGTTCCCATAGCAGTACAAAACACTCCAATTGCTCTAAGTGCCGATGATGACAGCACAACAAAGGAAATCATCCGACAGGCTGCCACGCTTTCCCGAACCGCGGCAAAATATCCTGGGTTGGGCACCAAAAAAGCGAGGAATGTGCTCAAACTGCGCCAGCCCCCACAAAGAGCCGGTCATGGACTCACTTTGCCATCCATGCCTGCTGCTGCCCCGAGTGGCAGGCACGGACCAGAAAAGGGACACGGGCTGCAGAAGTAACCCCCGTGTTAACAAACCTGCCAGCACGGGCTCCACGTCCACCACAAGACACGGCTCACCTCCATGAAATCCACGCTGAGGTCCCCGTCATCACCTAGGTCCCTTCCATACTAGCACAACTATTTTGGTTTTAACTCATTTCAACTCGGTGACGCCACAGGTAGCAGGCAGACCTGGCAGCCAGGACTCCCAGAAACTCTTCCAACCCCCAGGGACTGTCAGAAGCACCTTCTCACAGGGGCTGAAAGGACTCATGAGAGGAAAAGGCAGATGCTACTTTACGGAGAAAGCCTCCTGCAGTCTGAATCCGCGGTGCCTGCAAATTCCTCCCACTTCTACAGCTGCTTTTATTCCTGAAAACGAGGACTGTGCTGAAAACAAGTATTCCTGTGCTTTGTGCTGCTCAGATGGGTCTTTGGAACATACAGCAGGACCTCAATTTAACACCCCATGGATGCAAAGCTGCTTAGAGCAACAAACATCTCAAACAAGAAAGACTCACTATGACAAGATAGCTTAGCATCCAGTTGAGTTGTGTTGTTTTTTTTTTTTAAACAAAAGCATAATTATTACATTTTTTCACCTCCTCATTAACAGCCGATTTAACAGCCTAATTCCTAAAAACGGAAGAACTATAATTTAGAGAGCACTGTAAAAAGTTGAAAGGCTAATTTTAACTTTATCCCTAAAAATAAAACTTACCATCAAGAAAGGCCCTCGTTTATGCAGCACCACATAACTGCTGCCTGCATTTGCCTTACTGAAGTAGGGAAGGAAAGGCAGGGCAATGAAAATAAACCCACATCTAATAACCACAAACTGTTCTCTGCATCAACTTCCACTCAAGTCTCATTTGGCCCTGATTTATTTAGGAAAACCAGCACAGTATTAGATCAGTGCTACTGATCCGTGATGCTAGGTGTAAGTGCCCTTCAAACTCTTCTTTTGGGGTGGACAGGGAAAAGAAAAAGCGAACAAATAGAAGCTCTTGAACCCCTCTGTCACTGCACATCTTACGGGTTAGCACAGGGTGCGTTACCTCGATAACTTTCCTGCAACAGCATCGACAAGACTGTGCAATGAGTCTAGCAATAGGCGTGCTTAAACCTAGTGCCCGGTTTCATCATATCGAGTCAGGCCTGACAGAGAGCAATCCAAAAGCCAGCTGCCTACCGCCTCACCTGGGGTGCAGCAGGTGAAGGGAAGACAAATGAAAGTCGTCTCTAGGAACAGCAGCTCCTCAGAGCAATAAATGCTTATTTATTAAAAAGGAACTCTGCAGAATCAGGACATCCTTTGCAGATGGATTAAATACGCCACGGATTTTCTCAGTTGCAAGTAAGACAATAATACGGGTGCAGAATCCACATCATTTTCCTTAAGCGAATCGCTTTTACAACCCCATCGACAATCTCCATGTTCTCTGGATACCTTTTCTCCGGGTCGAATGCTGCCACATTTCAGGAGATTGATGTCAGCCTTGCAGTCGTCCATGAAGCCACAGATCAGCCGATAATCGCTGAAGATAATGGCTGTCATTTTAGTGATGTACTGATGGCACTGGTACTCAGGTGATGTTGCCTCTGTGATCCACCAAACACGACACCAGGAAGCCTTTACCAACGGGTTCGTCTGCACACTCCTTGATCTGTTAAAAGAAAATAAAAATATCAGTACAGTGGGGCTGCAGCTACTGATTTTAACCTTTTTTGTTTTGTTTTGTTTTTGTTTTTTTAGAAGTATCCTCAAAGAAACATGCATCCAGAGTTTCAAAACCTGCTGGCAAAGAAACTCTCTCGGCTTTGGGTCCATTTTCAGCAAGTCAGAACACTTGAAAATTCCTCAGAAGTGAAAAATGCCTCATTTGTGCCAGTATCTGGAGAAAGAAAACGCAGTGACCTTGAGGATTATAAGCCCTCTTGCTCAATAATCATCTTTCATAATAATCACATTGAACCCCTGCAATCATGTGCATTTGTAGGAGAAATTATAGTTTGAGAACCTTTATTTAGAAATCGGAGCATATTACAGCATCACTAAATCACGCTTGGACCCCCATTAACCAGCTGACCTCACACAATATAGCAGTTTGGCTAGAAGTGAGAATGATTCAAAAGCCAACACAATATTTATCGAACTGTTTATAACTCGCTGCAAGCTGAAAATATTACTGTACAGGAAAATTCTCAATTTCGTTTTTATCAGGCTCGCAGGAACCGACTGTTGGCAGTAAACCATTTTACAGAGCGGTCTGAAAAAATAAAAATAAAAAAAATCAGCGCTAACAGAAGCTGAAAGCTGCGCAGGGATCGGAGGGCAGCGTATGTGAGCAGACAGGTCCCCAAATTAAATCACAGCCTGCCCTGCTCGGGGAGGCAGGCAGCGAGGCAGGAACATCACCTCCAGAAGTAAGAGATGCAGGAGGTTTTGGCAGGGACTTTGCAAAGACAGGGGAGAAGGAGGCTGCTCGTCAGCTGCGACTGCTCCCCGAGGAGGGCTGGGATCAGGAGAAGACCCAAATTACAGACCTCTCAGCCCTGGGATGTCCACACCGAAATATGTGCCCAGTGCTGGCGTCCCATTAAAGGGAATGCTGGAAATTGAAGCCACGAGGACAGCACGCTTGACAGTGAGATACTAAAGTCCAGCCGCAAGCATTTGTCAAGCAATAGGTACGTGCGTTGACTTGATTGCAAGGATTTGCTCCTGTGCAGACTGCTGGAGGGCTCGTCGGTCCCAAAGGAGCTCCGACAGCAACCCAAACCCCAGCTGGGCTCTGATACCTGGCAGGGGCAGCGCTAAGAGGTGCAGTGAGCAGTTTCCTCAGCTCTCCAACACCACGTTGGAATCTTCACACTGCAAATATTAATAGAGACACATTTCTAGGAAGACACTAATTCGAAAAAGAATTAATTCAGGGCATCCTGTGACAGACTCAGATGGGTCTGATGCAATGAATGAAACAGATCTGCCTCCACCTCACTTTATGAGGCCATTTTTTCCATGTAAGAGCTAAAACATGCTACATTTTTAAAAAAAGATTATTTGAAGGCAGGTGTAGACTGGTAGAGCATTTCGTATTTAATCCTGGGGTGTCGTGAGCCAAGAGCCCAGCTTTGGAAACAGCCCCAGAGCTGCATGGCAGGCCAAGCGGTTGCGTTATTGCCTCACCAATTCTAAGGCAACCAGCTGTAATTCTGGATTTAAACTAAGGCCCAAGCTCATAGCATTGCAACAGTTAAGGAAAAAGTTGGCATTTGCATCAAATCTATGATTAGCTGATAAAATTTAAGGTGGGACTTCCAGAACATACCCAGTTGGGATCGTCATCAATGCCCAAATGACTTTTTACTAGGAATTGCTCTTCTGGTAGTCTTTTGTTCTTGATACGAAGCAATACTAAGACTCCAAGCTCAGTCACACAACAAGAGAACACCTACCTGGTAGCATCAACTAAAGACAAATACTACTAGGCAGTACGTTAACAGTACACTGCCCGCTGTATGTTCAACTTCTGTAGAAATTCCATCATAAATTAGCGGCATGGTTTATGCACCTGCCTCAGAATCAGGCGTCAGAAGATCAAACAAGATTGATACTTATCCAGCCTTTCTTCTTCCTTTCAATAAAAAGCACTCGAAGGTAAAATACCTGCAATTCATGCCATCGTTCGCCACAATTTAAGCAGAACTCCACTGGTTAACACACAGTTGAAGTTCTGTGCTGCTCCCGCTGCTTTTAGACACCGTATCCCAGATTTAGAGGGCACCATTTACAGTGCCAGGCTGTCACAGTACAGAAGTGGTAATTACACAGACTGTTAAAAGAGCATTTTCAAGAATGCCTCGGTTGTAAAAATTCTGCAGTAGTCTCATGACACGAAACAGGGAGGGAGAAATCTTTCCTGTGGCTGCAAAAAGCGGGATCCAACAGGCAGTGCCTGATTTTGGGAGCTACCAAACTCCAAACACAACATAAAGCTTCCACGCAAGCCGTTCTCCTTCCACTGTTCAATACTCTAGCCTTCTGTGTTGGCTCTTTTCCTTGACCCTTCCTTATTCTAAATGCTTTATCACTCACTGCTATTCTTATCACAACTCATCTGGTGCTAACAGAAGGAGAAATGGGCCATAGTCCAGCCACGAGGAAACAGCAGTGGCACATCCCTTATCTACCCCACTAATTCCTGAACTTTTGGGGCCATGCTGCTGTTGACACCCTCAGTTTCTCAGATCTATGCATGTTCTTCTTAAATCAGCTGAAAATTTTGTAAAGAAAAGGGAACAGCGGAGTTGATCCCAACGCAGTTCCATCAAACGCGTGAGGACCTGGGGAACCACAAAGGAGCCAGCACCTAGGGTGAACTGAACCTTTAAAAAGGCAAGTTTAAAAATCATGCCAGGCGGCATGATTCCTGCCCCATCAGCTCCCCTGTGAGGCTGAGAGCACAGCCACAGGAGCTCTAAAATGAGCACAAGGAAAGACGTGATCAGGTCTTGGAGGCTGGGCTGAGGTGTTCTGATGCTGGAGACAGAGCACCAGCTCCTCGTGCACTCTAAAAATAGGGAGTTCCTAATAGAGAGTCCCCGGAGTATTTAGCTTTGAGCTTAGAAGAAAAAAATATGTTGATTCATGATTTGACGTCAATTTGTCTATCCCTTTTGCTAGCCAGCCAGAATCAAAACTAGCCTTGCTCTAAAAGTTCAGCAGAACCCTTGCTACAGCAACCCTGCTACGGCTGTTGAGCACTTGCTAACAGGGACATCAGCCCATCATTTCTTCCATTTTTTGGTACCTTTGCCCGGCACCACTAAGGTCACAGGCTTTTTCAGCAAGAAGGCTGCATGAATTACACCCAGAAATCTGGCATATAAGACAAGAGCTTACCCAAAATGCTGCTGACACACTGATTTTCCGTCACAAGGAGGCAAGAAAAATCTTAGTGCCACAAGAGCAGCCGTGCCTCTCGTGGCTTACCTCTGCAATAGTGGACTTGCAGACTTCTCTGGCCACGGATTCGAACTTCGGATCTGTAGTCAGGTTCAGCTTGTAGTTCCACAGGAGCTAGAGAGGGAAAAAAAAAAAGAACAAAAAGAAGGTTTAAGAGCTCCCCGTGGATAATGAGGTATTGCTGTTTTGCTTCAGAAAAGCAGCAAACATCAACACCCCACACTGGTACCTTCGTCCTTCCACAGCACAGCCATCAGTGCAAAGTCTCCTTGACAACAACTTCTGTCTTTCATTTCCTCAAGAGTTTTATCTTGGACACATTCAGAGTGCTAGAAATCTCCCTATAAGGTCATGAGCTGACTCATTACAAGGAAATACATTTAATGAAGAGATTTTCATAACCAGAAGGGATCACACAATGAAAGCTGTAGCTTGCCACCTGCTGCATATTTAGCAATCTTTAGCCCACCACTTTCTGTGCCGTGGCTCATCTGCCTGACACAAATGCTTTACCAGAAACAAAGTCCTCGATACGAGCAGATTTCATATAGAAAAAGCTAAAAAGCCTAGCAAAAAAAAGAAGGGGACGATGCATTTGGTCCCGTATTCGCTTCCCTCTGCCAGGGGCTGCACCCAGGCAGCTTTTTGGATGCAGACACAGTGCAGCCCTAGAGGTTCTCTCCTGTTGAGCTGTTTCATACATTGCAGGTTGCTCTGCAAGACGGCTCAGGGAGGATGACTCTTCTGCTAGGAGCCAGAGATTAGCTCATGCAGAAGCCTGGATGCATTGGGTCATCCCGCAGGAATCAATCTTGGGCAAGTTCCACTCTGCAGACACACACACACACCCCGGGTCTCCTCCTCAGGCACCACAAAGTAAAAATAAAAGGCAGCAAAACCTCAGCAAATTAATTGCAGAGAGGTTGCCCAAGAGCAGCTCTGTTAGCTCATCTGGTTTTCTCTAGGAACTCGTTACATTTAAACATTTTCAATTAACATAAAGATTAAACAGTTTTTAAAAATTAATTTTAAACGCTCTGCCTTCACGGCAAGAATTAAAATGCTAAATAGTTTGGTCAAACTCCTATTTTGAAAAGCGTTGTACACAGAGGAAAGACAGAAACATGCACAGACACAGGGCAGGCAGCTTCGCATCGCCGCCACGAGGGTGCAAACACAAAGAACTAGGAACGCACCATCTTCCACACCTCCCATCACGGCTCTGAAGTTGTGAAAAGTTAAAAAATATATATAAAATTACACGATTCTAGCCTATTTTGGAGGGTGTGAGTTGTAAACATAGAGGTTTAACAGAGAAGTGAACTAGCAGGCAGCCCGCCCCTGCAAAGAGCCGCGTGCGCCTCCCAGCCAGGACCAGAAGGGCAAAAATAAGGGGCGACAGCATCAAAAGGCACTCTGCGCTTGCAACCTCAGGCTCTGGAGGGCATCTCGCTTCAGAATTGCCCTAGGAAAACATCCCACAGGCAGAAGAGAGGTTACGCTTGTGGCTTGAAAACCCAGATTTTGGAGCTCGGCAATGTTTTCCCAGGAGATGACCAGAAGGCTGCAGAGAAGCAAAGAAAACTGAAGCAAGACTGCGTCTCTGCGGCTTGGTTTTCCATTTTTTCACCGTGGATTTCTGCTGGCATATGGGTTAAGCGCCAGGTACACATTTTAACCCTGAACTTTCCTCTCTCTCCAAAATAAGACCTAAAACCAGAAGCCTGATGCGCCCTTCACCCATGCAACACGGACTTACAGCTGCCACGAAGTCGGACAGCACAGGGCTAAGGGTTAAATTAGAAACAACTGGAAATGCCAGCTTGTACAGCACGGCTGGCTCTTGCTCCTGGCATTTATCTTCCAATAATAAACCTGAATACAGCTTCTGAAGCACCTGAAGCAAAGACCACTGCTGATGAACGTGTTTGTCTGTTCGTGTCCATGGCTAAAAAATCAAGGATCCCAATACCGTGTGCTGTAACAGAAGGCCAAGGAGAGAAGCCAAAGGAAATGTAATGCCAATCTTAGCTCTGACCTTTTTTTTTTTTCCCTTTTTCCCTGTAGTCTTGGGATTTGAAGAGTCAGCTTGATAGTCTGAAAACTGGCTAACAGTTTGCTCAGTGTTAAACACAGCACTGCGAGGGAATCTGCTCTAAAACTAGCCAAGTGGTTCAAACTGCCTCTAAATATCACACCCTGATGGCATTTCCCAAGCAAGTCTAAGAATTTAGCAGCTGTGAAAGCAATACAGAAGGCTTCGACAGCTGAAGCTGAGAGTTTAAATTCAGCACCGCTCACATCTCTCCCAGAAGGAGCACAGCGTATGGCTCCCAGCAACTCACGGGAACCACCCCCCGAGCGTAAATTGGGAAATAAATTGGGAAAGACGTCTGCTGTCCTCCTCCGACACGGAAATACAGTGTGTGGGGCACTTGATGTTCCTTCCTGCAGCCTCCAGTAAGACCACGCTGGCTATACTGGCCTACAGAAGTCACCATGTGCTCTTCCTCTGTTGGCCAACGACTCAGGGGTGTCCTGACCAAGCCCTGTGCCAAACAGGGAACGTGAGCTGTGAATGCTGCAGTGAAAGGCTGAATAAAACAAAAGAGTACTTACGTGGTTGCAGTCTGAAGAGATTTCGTTGTCTGGCTGAAAGGAGAAAAAAAAAAAGGCGCGTCAGGTCACGGCTGCGTTTAACACGCAGAACAATATAAGCTTGTAGGAACTACCATATCATCAACTGATTCCCATTTGGCACAGCTGATAGGAGATGTTAGAAGCTGCACATGGTATCTACAGGCCAGAAAGAGAAGAACACCAGGGACAACCCTGTCCCACCTCTGCACAACACAAATGGCACAAGCAGCAGCCTTTATGTGAGTACCACAGAGCCGCAATGGGAACGCTTGTGCTCAAGCCCAGCTTCCCAAACTGACAAAGCACCTGTAGGAAAACGTGGCCATGGAGTTAAGACAAAAACCCACCTTTCTGCACACAACTGAAGGACAAAGGCAGCCTTGCTTGCCTCGATTTGCCAGCCCAGGTAACTCTCTGGGAGCAAACGGTGGCGCTCCAGGGGGAGCTGCTGGCAGCACCCTGCCTCCTGCTGATCCCTTCAGCCCCGACTCGTTGCCTTTCTGCTTTTTTTCCTTTTCCAGCCACCACAGAGAGCTCAGGGCCCCAGGGATGTGAGGCAGAACCAGCCCTGAAGCTGCGGCAGCCCGGGAGCCCCCCAAAGCAGGTGTTTTTTCACCATGGGGTGCTCGCACCATCACTGCTTCGGGGAGCGCAAACACAAGTCATGGGAAAAAGGGAGCACAGAAAGGCTTCCAAGCCCTTAATTACAGCCATTATTAACTAAAGCACTTACTTTGTATAGCAGGAAGTGGCAAAAATTACCTCTGCAGTTAAGAATTAAAACAAAGAAATCACCTGAAGGCTCACAGCAATTAGTCACGGTTTGGTCAGGATGCCACCACCCAAACCATCTCTCCCGGAGTAACCATAAACTTGAAAATTAGGGTTTCAAGCTTTGTCTTAGAGACTAACAGACACCTGCTTTGGTACCCTCAGACTGCAGGACTGGTCCTCACAACAGAAAAAATAGGATGACACCCAAACTGCACCGTTTCAGAGAAGCACATCCCCTAAGCCAACGCTATCGGGACTTAGGAGGCGATTCCCCCTTAACTTTCTGCACCCATGCTAATCGCTCGGTGACAAAGCAAATTTCAAAAGCAGCCAGAATACCCTCAGTTGGCATCGCTGTTTCAGCCCAGGCCAGCTTCTTCATGAAATTCTGTACGCCAGCAGTGCAATTAGCCTGTTGTGGCCAGGACGTATCTGCTGCCCGGCCAAGCAGGAGGACTTTGGAGGGCCAGAGAGCTTTCCCAAAGCACCTCTTGGCTGCCTCAGCTCCTCCAGCAGCCTCCAACCTCATTCACTTTGCTTCAAATTTATCAAAGATTAAAACTTTTTTCCTGGAAAGATAAGCCCAGGAAGATAACAGACTGGTTTGCACTAGCCTGGGAAGCTGAGGCAAGCTTTTCCTGAAACGCACGACATTAACATACCAGACGTTAAAATACCCGCCTTCCCCGCGCTCTGCAGCAAACCTCAACTCTGAAAAAACCAGCCTGGTTTCTTTCATTGCGATGGAAGCTCAATGGGACTCCAAGCAAGCCCTGCTTACACTCAGAGCTCAGTGCTCCAGCTCGCAGCAGCGCCCGACAGGGCCGGCAGCCCTGGGTCCTCGCCTCCTGCCACGCGGGTGCAGCAGGGGCAGGCTCGGTGGAGGAATGACCTCCACCTGGGAGGCAGGAACCAGGGGGATAAGGGAAAGGTAAGGAGCAGACAGCACCAGGAGCTGCACCACATCGCATTTTGGGAAAGGAAGCCAACGGGGAGGAGGCCGTCATGCAGAGCAAGGAGAGAGAAGGACTCCGCTTGCACCTGATGGAAGGATTAAAGGCTGGTTCACAGCAGGGACGTGTCCCTGGGGGCTCCTTCAGGCTCTTGCTTTTTAGCAGTTTAGTTTAAGACAGAAAAAGCACTGCCTTGCACGTGATCACAACAGCCCCGTGAACTCCAAAGGCTGGTGTGAAGCCCTGCCACAAGCTCGCCAGCACTGCCTTCCCCATCCTCCTGGCCTCAGCTCGCTCAAGGAGCCGTACCACGGAGTGACCTGGGCAAGTCCCTGGTACAATTCATGCCACCAGGCTGTAACAAGCAAGTCAAGAATCCCAAATGTCCACCAAGGAAGAAACAAAGTCTTGGGAGAGCTCTGCACGGATCGCTTTAATCACCAGCCTGACCTTCCTTTCCTTCGCTCGTGCAAACAGGAGAGCCTGAGGCCAGCCACGTTGAGTGCCTTCATCCCCAGGTTTTAATCCCTCTGCAGAGCAGGGGATGACAGCAGCCGCCTCCACTGATCTTTTGGGGCCAGAGCAGCAAGCACTCATTGGAAAGGACCAAGCAAGCCAGGTGTTCTCCACCTGAACTCAGGATTAGATCGCAAGGAGATTGAATGGATCAATGAGGAAAGGATGCCAGCTAAGGCAGCCGCCTTCCCACGAAGGAGAGGGCAGGCAGCACTCTGGGCAGCACGTGTGACCTGTTAGAGCACAGCACGGATGGATACGCAGTAGGAATCAGCTCACGGTGTCCAGCCGGTGTTGAATTTCCCCGTTTTGACCTTACACAAACAAACATTTGTCACCACTACCTGCCGAGAGGCAGCAGGTGACCCAGGGGTTTCTAACACGGAGGCTGTGGAGCTGCTCAAGGGAAAGGATTTGGGAGCTGCGTCCTTCCCCCGCGTACCAGCAGTCCCTTTGTGCCAACACACCCCGCTGGGACGGGCAGCTCACAATAAGGCAATTCAGTGCTCAGGTATCAGGGCTGCAAAGAGCACGAGCCCCGTGCAAGGCAGGGAGCGAGGAGAGATCCGGGAGAGCCGCCCCCCTGCAGACCTTCCCCTCCCGAGGCGAGGGCAAGGAGCGATTCTGCAGAACAGCCTGGGGGGAACGTCAGCAGATACAGCAGCCTGGGCAAGAATCAACACGGCTTTTGTTTAAAAAAAGGAAAAAAAAAAAGAAAAAACAAACCATCGCACAGCCACCCAGGCCTCCAACCTGCTGAAACTTCCTGGAGCGCGTGCCAGCGAGCAGATGGCTACAGTAAGCCATTTTCACACATCCTGCAATCCTGCAAGAGTCATGTGCGATACAGAAGTTAAACCGGAGACAACCGGAGCTCCGAACAGATGAGCAGGCTTCGGAACTTAATTACACGTTTAGTGAGCAATGAGAGTTCAACTCGTTAAGCTGCGCTCCCAACGCCCTGCAACGCCGAGAGATGGCGGTGCCAAAACCAAACCCGTGTCAGCGAAAGCCTCTCACCTTCATCATTCCCAATTTTAAAGGAGTTTTTTGAGGAAGCACGGCACTGAGCTTCCACAGACCCAGGTTATTTCACCCCAGTTTTCACACACTGCTTTAGCTGAGCTGGAAGGGGAGGGCCGAGCTAAGGGACCCCCCTTGGAGCTATTTTCAGCAGTTCATTTTCGTACCCACACACTCAGCAGAAAAGCTCCAGGTGCCACACACCTAGCAGGAAAACCCAAGGGAGACCTGAGGCTCCCCAAGGCCACGGTGACAGTGGTGTAAAACTGCTTGTAGGACGTCCCAAAGCATTTATGGCATCAACTATTTTTGGGTTTGTCACGCCGTACTGTATGGAGCTGAGAAGAGCCATGCTGCACGCCAGTTCTCGCCTTGGCACCGCTTCAAAGGGCCAGAAGTTTGGACTTCAAAATGCTTCAAGAGATCAGCCCCTGCCAGAAAAAAAAGCTGACTTCCTCCGTTACTCGTTCCCGAGCTCTCCCAAAGAAACTTCTCGGCAGAAAGCCGCCTGGTTGCCGAAAAGCAGCGCGTCCTGTCCCACTGCGGAATCCAAAACCGCAGAGAGACGCCTCGATAAACTCCTCTGGGAAGGTGGCAGGAAGCAAAAACAGGCCTGGGGCGGCGGTGAGGGGCAACTCCCCACGGCATGCCTTCAGTGAGACTCTCACCTCCACCTGCAGAAGCCTGTGGGATGTTTTTGGGGAGCCCCAGAGGTGCCCTGCTTCCACATGGAGACCCTCGCTAACGAGGAGGGCTGCCAGGGAGACGTGTGCCAAAAAAAATCCTGCTCCCTACGCTGCCCAGTGCCTCAGAGGGCGATTTCAGAAAGCAGCATGGAGCTGTGCAGTGCCTGGGACAAGCCATGAGGGGCTTTGGTCACAAAGAGCTGCCTACCAGCAGCACATCCCACAGAGAAACCCAAGAAATTTGGGAGTGCACGCAGCAAGGAGAGCCGAGACCTCTTGTCAATGTCAGGAACCCAAAGCAAGCGTCTACAGGACGGAGCCAGGAACAAGGCCGGGGAAGATGCGCCCACCCTACAGATCACAGGGTGATAGCATGCTGCTGGGGCAGCAGGAGCAGCATTTTTGGGGATCCCCGGGGGGCTGCTGGTGCTGAGGACGGCGATACAGGAGCCCTGTAACACGCAGCCACCGCGAGCCTTCGGCTGCTGCTCCAGGAACCCACACGGGCAGAGCGTGTTCTCCATCACGCCGTACCCTGAGGCCACCGAAGAGGAACTGAAAATCTTTTTTTTCATAAACTAAGAAATAAAAAAAATAATAATCATTTATGCAAATCTTAAGGTCGCGACCAGGGCAGCAAGACTTCGAACAAGTCACAGAGGTTTTCCCACGTGCAGCGACTGCTCTGATCCCGTATTTATTTCGGTTCTGCTTTAACAATACTCATCGTCTGCTTCTTAATTAAATCGCCACTTCCATCCAAAAGCAGCTTGATGAATGGAGAAGTAATTCAGGAGATAATGCCTTACCATTTTTAAATGTTACTTAAAAGATAGAAACATTAAGATGCGAGCATTTAAATAATTACAGAGCTTATCAATTTAGTCAAGAAAAACACCAAGCTTGGCAGCGAAGGCTAAAATTAGCCGCAAAATAATATAACCAGGCTAGAAAACTCTAGAAAGATTACTACAGCGTTCAAGCAAGACTGAAATTATTCAAATCTGGGCTTCTGGCTTATTTAAATCAACCTGCCTGGGAGCGACGCAAATCGTGGTGG